TATAAGTCTTCCAGGGTACCTTTAACTACTAAATAGGTCTTTAAGAAAAAATTCAATATTAATAGTAATATTAATAAATATAAGGCCTAATTATGTGTTAGAGGTTTCTAGTAAAAATATAGGCTAGATTACTTTTAAACCTTTGCTGCAGGTAGTAACCCTACTACTTATAGGGTACTATTAGCTATAGCAGCAGCTTTAGATTAGGAAATCTAACAAATTGATATTATTAGAGCCTTTCTATATAGGGATTTAGAAGAAGAGGTATATATAGACCCTTCTAATATCCCTTTATCTAATTTCTTTAATAAATACCCTAATTTAAATACTATAAATTAGGAAAATAATAAGAATTAGATATTATTACTTTTAAAGGCTTTATATAGCCTTAAATAAGCTCCTAGGTAGTAGCAGTTAAAGATTAAATCTATATTAAAAGATATAGGGTTTATATCTTTAAAATCTAACGAAGCCACCTATTATAACTAAGATAAAAATAATCCTTATTATATTATTACCTATATTAATAATTTTCTTATACTTAATAAAGATATTAAGTATATAGAAAATATAAAGGGTAAAATCTCTAAATATATAGAGATTTAAGACCTAGGTGAAGTTTCTAAATTTCTAGGGCTTTATATAACAAGAGATAGATCTAGAAGATCTATAACTATCTCTTAAGCCTATTATATCTAATAACTTCTAGAAAGATTTAATCTACTAGAAGCAAAAGGAAATAATATACCTATATCTTTAGGTATATTAAGTAGCCCTCTAGGTAACAAATTAGAAGGTTATACTCCTTCTAAGGACCTATTAAAGGAATATTAATAACTTATAGGTTCCCTTATATACGCTATGTTTATAACTAGGCCTAATATAGCCTATAGCGTATCCTTTACCTCTTGTTACCTCTATAACCTAATAGAATTCCTACTTAAGTAAGGAAAAGGTATTTTAAAATATTTAAAAGAGACTATTAATTATAATATTACTTATTAAGGTAATATAGATATTAATAACTCTAATAATACCCTTAATCTAGTAGGATATACTAATTCTAACTAGGTAAGTTATAAAGAAACTAGAAAATCTACTTTTAGTTATATCTTTACCTTATTAGGGGGCCCTATTAGTTAGAAATCTAAAAAACAGTTAACTATATCCCTATCTACTACTAAGGCTAAATTTAATAGCCTATAGGAAGCTATTAGGGAGGCAGTCTAGCTAAAAGGCTTATTATCTAAAATAAGGTATAATATAACCCCTATAAATATTAAAATAGATAATAATACAGCCTTAAGCTTAGCCTATAATCCTAAATATTATTAGAGGACTAAGTATACTGCCTTATACTACTACTATACTTATTAAGAAGTTAAAAATAGCAATATAGAAGTAAAATATATTCTTACTTCTTCTATACCTACAGATAGCTTAATAAAACCTCTTCCTAGGGATAAATTTTAAGAATTTATTAAGCTTATAGGCCTATTTAATAATAATAAGCCTATATAATATACCTATACATATAGTATATTTTTCCTACTATTATTAGGACTTTTTATAAATAAGTTATTATACTTATTAATATTTACCTTACACGCTACTGCGCAACTCTAGGGTAACTTTTTTTACTTAACTACTTTTACTCTATAATAGAGCAAAAGAGGGAGTATTAGAAGTAAGAATATCTCTAAGTATTCTTATACTTCTTTATCTTATATTTCCTCTATTATAGAGGTTATATATATATAAGATATATATATTTATAGTCTACTTACTTAGTAGATTAATATATATATTAATTACGTAAGCATGTCTGATTACGTAATTAACTGAAGATTAGAGAAGGTACTAGAATGTCTAAGATCTCTCTAGATCCTACCTTCTACCTCTGTTGTTCCTATAAGGTTATTATTTTAAGTTAGGGTTATTTACTTAAGGTTATTATATTACGTAACTAAGGGTTGATTTATAAGCAGCTTACGTAAGTATGGAATATTCTAGTAAGCTGTATAGGTCTATATAAGGGCTAGAATTCTTCCTGTTTCTAGTTTCCTTTCCTTCTCTCTCTAAGCAAGCAAATAGTTAATAATCTAACTACTATACTCTCTTTTAACTATATATCCTTATATCCTCTATTTATTTACCCTAGGTATAAGTATTTATATCTCCCTTTTATCCTATATTCTTGCTTCTATAGGATATATCTTTATACAAGAGATATACTCTCTTATATTCTCCTAAGCTAGAATTCTCTATCTAAGAGACTAGCTTACCTGTTGTGCTAACATAAAGCCCTAAGCTATAAAGGGTTACCTTATTAGATATAGCTTTTTATATAGCTATATCTACTATATCTATATCTTAAGTAAGAAGTAAGTTATTTACTATTATAACGTTTATTTCTATAAAAGACCTAAAAAGACTATTCTTTACCTTATTAATAGAGTTACTATTATAGTAGATACTAACTATAATATACTATTTAATAAGCCTAATTTAATAACCTACTATCTAGCTTATATCTTTAACTTATATTAACCTATTACTAAAAAGTCTTATAACTAGTAAATTAACTAATCTAATAGTAGTAAGTTAGATAGTAAGTATATTAATAGTAGCTACTATACTACCCCTCCTCTAGAGGATTATTAATAGTAACCTATTTTTACTATATACCTTACTTAATAAACTAATAATATAGATACTACTAAAGATAAGTTTTATAATATAGAGTAGTAGGAGGCTAACTTTCTAGCCTTTATTATAGAGGAAGATTAGCTAGACCTTATTACTAAGGTTACTACTACTTTAGTTACTAAAGGGGGCTAACTACACTATACTAGTACTATAAAGCTACCTAGCTACTACTAAGATACTACTAGTATTAGAAAGTATAATAAAAAGGCTTATCTTACTATAGATATTTAGGTTTATAATAACGCCTATTATTACTTTATTAGTATACTTACTACTACTACCTTATTATATATACTACCCCCTAGATATAACATTTTATTTACTATTAAGAAGGCTAAAGAAGGCCTACACTAGCACTACTAAAAGCAGGCTTATAATACTAAGATCTAATAATTTATTAATAAGGAGGTCTATACCTTTATTAATCCTTTTTCTAATATAAAGATTTTTCTTAGTAAGTAGGTATTTAATATTAAAACTAATGTAAAAAATAAGATTATTAGATATAAGGCCTAATAAGTAGTCTGTAGTAACTATAAGTAAGGTAAATAGTCTTTATAAGAGGTATATACTACTATAGCTATTACTACTACTATATATTTATTTTACGCTATTATTACCTTATATAGATTAGTATATAAAATATATAACTTTAATACTACTTTTCTTACTGCCCTTATACTTAATAGCACTTATATTTATGTCTATTAACCTACTAGTTATACTACTAATAATAATAAGGTATAGTTACTCTATAAGGCTTTTTATAGCCTTTATAAGGCACTACTATAGTAGTTTACACTTATTAAGAGTAAAATAAAAAAAATTAGCTTCTACCTAGTTAAGGGAGAAATTTACCTCTTTATTAATAAGGAGCTTAATACCTACGCCTTAATATATATTAATAATAACGTAGTAGCTACTACTAATAAGGAGACTACTAAGAAGGTATATAATATACTTACTAAGGTCTACCTATTAAAGGACCTTAGTAAAGCTTCCTAATTTCTTAGATTTTAAATTAAGTAATCCTCTACTAGTAAGATCTTTATTAACTAATATAAGTATACTAATAGTATACTTTATTACTTTAGATATAGTAACCTTTAACCTATTAAGACTTTATTACTTACTAACTATAAGTTACTTACTATATAAGTAAAAGATAAGTGTTCTAAAGCTAACTAATAAACCTATATTAAGTAGACTAGCTACCTTAACTAGTTAGCTACTAGTATACGCCTAGATATTACTTTTATAGTTAGTAAGCTCTCTTAGGCTAATACTAGCCTATTATCTACCTATTTAGCTGCTATTAAGCACCTTTTTTACTACCTTAAAGGCACTACCTATTATAGTATCTTATTTAGTAGACTTAACCCCTCTACTAACGTTAGCCTCTATATAATAGTAAATACTTTTTTTACTAATAATTACCTATTATAGGTATCTATAGGTAAATATGTTATCTACTTTATAAGATTACTAATTACCTAGAAGTTAAAGAAGTAGACTTTTATTACTTTAAGCTCTATAGAGGTAGAGTTTATTAACCTTATACCTACTACTATTACTATAAAGTAGATTTACTATTATACTAAGTAGCTTCTTAGCTAACTAATAGATATACTAACTATCTTTTTTGCTAATAGTACTAATATAATAGTTAATATAATAAATCCCCTTAATAAGGTATAAACCTAAAGTATTAACGTCTAATATAAATAGATAATATAAGAGGTCTATACCTAAAAGAATATTACCCTCTAACTTATTAAGGGCACTAAGATAGCTACTAATAGTCTTACTAAGCTACTAGCACTAACTAAACATAAGGATTTTATATAGTTATTAGGTATAGTAAATAGGTTAGATTAAAGAGCCTTATAGGCTATAATAAAGGATATATATAAGGAGAATATATATTTAGAGGATTTATATTACATAGGGATTTTAGCGTACAGATTAATTATTACTAGACTGAAGGGACAATAGCCAGCATATTACTAAAGTTATTATATACTTTAAAAACTCCTCAGATTTAGAGGATTTAAGATTAGGCTGTTATTTTGCCCCTATATACAATATTCATTAAGTTAGCAGAGCCTGAGGGGGAGTGTTATAAGGGGGCACGTGTGCTGGGAGGTCACGTGACCTCCCGGGCCCCTCACCTTATCTCCAGCCTCTGCCGTAGCCTTGTGGAGGATTTCCTCTATCACCACCACACACACACTACAGATCAGCAATACCACCGATTGCCTCACTTCGTTGCTCTTGTGCTCCCACAGACAATGGGGAAGACCCCCGCCGAGTTGGACGATTTCTATCGTTTCTTCCGTATTTCCGGAATGGCTCACTGCAGTGGTGGTCCTGGTGCTGTTAACATTGGCAACCAAGCCCAGAACTTGGCCAGCTATGACCCCGAAGAGAACGTCCTGATGGCCATGGTCCGTTGGGTAGAGGAGGGGATTGCCCCTGAGCACATCACCGGAACTGCCTTTGTCAATAATACGAGAAGTGCCGGCGTTGACTACAAACGCAAGCATTGCCGCTGGCCTACACGCAACGTTTTCAACGGGACAGGGAGCTATAAGAACGAGAATAATTGGGAATGTGTGGCATAATAGAGGACAACGGGGCTATCTAGTTGTCGGAAAATTAGTCGGCCACCAAAGTTCAAATGAAAGCGTCCATATCCATAACGTAGTTGAAAACGAAACTCATCTTTTGGCAATTCGAAAGATATTATACGACCGTGCCTGCTCTCAGACTATTATCATGCAGACAGGGTCAACGTCGAATTCCGTGCCGCAAAACATCTGGCAAACTTCAAACCCATTCCTTGGGCTTCCTGAGAACTTCGAGAAGCTTCCCTTCCGGGCTGTCGGGGTTCGGCTCATCGTGCATATATCTCCACTGGGCCGTTATCGGAAGACTGATGAGGATGCTCTCAACCCTCGAACCGGGAACATTCAGACCGAACGCCATCCCCCGATCATGCACAAGGTTGAACTCGACGTACCGTCCCCGTCTAATCTGTTGCCATTCCTTCTCCTTGTCTTTGAACGGCATATCCTTCCTCTTCTCGGCGATAGGAATGTATGCTGGCAATAAAGCGTCAATGGCCGATTGAGCAAAAGCGAAGCCTTCTTCAAGGTCCACACAATCTTCATCGAGGTCGTCAAAGAAGATGCCGCCAATGCCCCTTCTTTCGTCCCTGTGCTTTCATGTTGAAGTACTCGTCACACCACCTTTTGAACCTAGGGTAATATGCGGGATCGTGTTCATCGCACGCCTTCTTCAGGGTTCGATGAAAATGTTCAGCATCATCGTCGAACAGATAGCTGGGTGTCAGGTCGCTGCCACCGCCAAACCATGCCGTTTGTGCTGATCCATCCGGTCGGACGGTCTCGAAATATCGGCCGTTCATATGTACTGTTGGTGCCATTGGATTCCTGGGATGGACGGCCATACTCAGGCCTAGTGCGTAGAACTCCAACTCTTGGTCATCCGAGGGCAAGCTTTTGTGATTTTGCCGCATCTCTTCGATCGCCGCCCTGTTAAGCTTCCCATGCACGATGCTGATATTCACGCCCGCCTTTTCGAAAACCTTGTCATCCTGTAGGACGCAAGTCCGACCTCCGCCGCCGTCATCGGGCCGCTCCCATTCACCTGTCCGGAAACGTGTACCGTCTACATTTTCCAACTTGGAGATGATCTCTTGTTGTTTTCGTCGGATGAAAAGCTCCATGCGGGTACGCATGGGCAATTGCTGATCATCCTGTGAGGTTGGCTATGTGTCGATTGTGGTCAGCATGGCCTCAAGTTTGCCCCCTCAGACTCTGATAATACAAACCATGGTGTGATTTCACTGTTTCAGGACGAGAACGCCACGGGATAGCGCTGCGTAACTATTCCGAATCCCTTCCGGAGGAAAACCTGGCGACTTGTGTACCTACTGAATGATATAATATTGGCGGGGTAATCGACTACTTGGCAACAACACTTATCGGCCATTCAACATTTGCATCTGTGGCGCAGTGATCCTAAAACAATTTGCACCTTCCGACTTTGGTAATGAGAGAGATAAGTTGGTTTCGGTGGCGTGCTATCAATAAGCAGGCTGGCATAGTGGTTCGCAGCCATTGGAGTCCGAAAAGCTTCAAGTAGTTAACTGAATAGAAATGTCAGAGACAAGAATGCACAAATTCGCCTTGTCTACATAATCTCGAGCCATCTTCTAAGTTCATATGCGATGCCGTTCGCTCATTATGAGTGGAGACTGGCATGAGGATGCCTTGCCCCAAGCCAAAGGGGAACTGTCCCAATTGGTGAACCACTATATGATGTTCTGGGGCAAAAGCAGATACGGTAGATCTGAGCCTATTTCTGAAACTCTGTATAAGGTAAACGATGGGAGGAGAAGACAAGATCTCGAGACAACCGACTCTGCATGAATATGATGATGCTGAGACTTAGATCGTCTCAACCTTCCCTGTCGACTTGATATGTGGCTGAAGATCATTGTGGCGTAAGCAAAGACCGCTCCCGTTGGATTTCAAAGCACGCGATAACGCCCCGCATGCACGCGATAGCGAAACCGCTATCAATTAGTAAGAGTCCGAGTGCCGAACCCACCACTGACAACTCCACTGGAACACCTTCGGAAACCATATCACCTAGCCGGCAATATCTCGTTGCTTTGCGTTGGAACTATGGCAGCTCAGAGAGATTTAGAAAGCCAGAGGAAAACCTCGGATGAGCGGACCCCGCTGCTGGGGACGTCCGCCGGGGACGAGGCAAACCAGCAACATGCCCGGGATCGGGGCGACGACGACGACCGCAGTGGGGAACACGAAGACGTAGAACAGGTTCCTTTGATCGCATCTCAGGATGGGGAGGGAGAAAATAAGCGCACGACCGGTTGGTGGCTGTGGAGAGCTTTCTGGGTCGTCCTTGCTGTTTTCTTCTTGACCATCTTTATCAAAGGCTGGATTGATGCCAAGGACACGAACGTGAGTCGCTCAGCCGTTTCGTATACATCTCTCAGCCCAGCAGCTAACTTCGACGCAGTTTGACCTCAAAGCAGCACTTAAAAGGGCCCTTGGTGGTGGTTTGAGTGGTGCTGCGGCTATGGTCTTGCAAGTGTTGACTCTCATGGTACGTATGCACTTCTTGATAGCTTCCCTGCAGGGCAAATAGTCTTGTTCTGAGGCGGCTATTGCTAACAAAGTATTTTGTATAGCCTATAAGGACGATCATGAACTATCAGTACCGATTCGGGACTGGATTCCAAGAGGCTGTCAGTACTCTTTATCAGGACGGCGGAGTGCGAAGATACTACCAGGGTATTGGGGCTGCCCTCATTCAAGGTAAATTCCGAAGCACATATATGAGCGGCCTGTTCGTGTTGTTTTCTTTAAGCGTGTGCATACGGACTAACCGTCGTATCGATAGGACCCGTATCTAGGTTCGGCGACACCGCTGCCAATGCCGGCATTCTTGCCCTCCTTGAGTCGAATTCCTTCCTGAACCAGCTGCCTACGCTCATCAAGACAATCTTCGCTTCTCTTTGGTAAGTCTAAGATTGCTGGTAGTGTGGTAGTTATAACTGTGCTGGTGCAAGACTAACCGGATTTTGCTGTGAAGCGCTGCTGCTTTCCGCATGATCCTGACGCCCATCGATACTCTCAAGACCACACTGCAGGCTCAAGGCTCCAAGGGTACCGCCATCCTCCGCAAGCGTATCAAGACGCATGGCGTTGGAAGCTTATGGTGGGGTGCCTTTGCAACAGCTGCAGCGACATTCGTTGGGCATTACCCCTGGTTTGGAACAGTAAGCAGATAAATCCCGGCCGCTACATGTGCAGCGGTGACTTACCGACTGCCATAGTACAACTATCTCTCCGCCAACATCCCTGAGCCGGAAAAGGGCCACTTATTTTTATGGCTTCTCCGCCTTGCTTTCATCGGGTTTTGCGCTTCGATCATCTCGGACTCAGTGTCGAACTCCCTTAGAGTGGTAAAAACCTACCGGCAGGTCAATGACACCCAAGTGTCCTATTGTCAGTCTGCCTGTCATGCCTTCCTTACTCTCCTTATCGATTTGATGAGCATGGGCCATTTTACTGACTGTTTCTTGCTCCAATCCGTAGCAAAGGCAGCAAAGCTTGTCATCCAGCGAGACGGGTTCGTCGGCTTCCTTGGGCGTGGCCTCAAGACCCGCATTCTTGCCAACGGTCTGCAAGGCATTCTCTTTTCCATCTTGTGGAAGCTTTTCCTTGACCTGTGAGTTATGAAAACATGTTACAAAGCTGCTCTGAAACAAACTAACTTATTATTACAGCTGGGAGAAGAAGACGCATTCTTAATCTTGCCCCAATTCCATTTACTTCCAGCTTAACCTGATATACTGGCTATTCGGTGGAATAACAGTATCTCTCACAAAATTTACATAGTAAATGAGTAGAATGCCTGGGGGTTATCTTTGGGGTATTGCTTCGGTCTAAAGACGGCTTATATCAAAGGGACATTAGAATTGATCATACGAGTATGCACATCAGGAGCACTGCTGTATCTGTTGGTAGAGAGTACACACATAGATCAATCGCAAGCAGGCAACACAAAGCCTATTCCGGTTTCTCGGTTATAGCCTTTTCCAAGTAAATTGACGGCGATTTGATCCTATGTTACGGCAGGAACAATTCATACGAATCGCGTCATCAGCTAGAGCTGATTATGCATATGCTTGTTACAAAGACAACGGACATTCAAAGCAACTAGGAAGTTACACTTGAAACATGATCTACAGAAGTAAAACAATGATTGGAAAGAGATCATACAATCTCGAACATTCTATTTCCCCTTCCTTATCCATCAGGTGTACCAGGTAGGCTCGGGGATCTCACCTAGAAGCTGATACCTTCCCAATTCCCGGTTCTTATAAGCCACCGGGTCGTGTAAACTGTGTGTACGGATATCCCTCCAAAACCTGTCCAGGCCGACTTTCGTTGCGGTAGCCCTGGCCCCGGTGACTTCAAAGACGCCTGCTGTCACCCGCAAGCCTGTGTCTGTTGCGGTCACCTTCACGCTTGCAACCCACTCAGCCGCCTCTCCTCGAGCCTCCGCAGTTACATTGGCCCTCTCTGACGGGTCTCCTGAGCTTCTGTACAGTTTGTCGATCTCAAGACCTGCCTTGTCGGCCAAAGCTTCAGCGGCGCGAAGATGGGCAAAGAAGTTGCCGTAGGTTGAGAGAATGTAAAACTCATCCACTGCCTTTTCCTTGTTCTTTAGGTAACATTTAGTGTCTGTATTCCCAGGAAAAGCTCTACAACGGATACTTACATCACCGCCAAAAGGCCAAGCACGTGTGTTCCGTTTGGTGTAGGCCGAGGCAAAGTTCAAAGCACCCCAGGCGATGCCAATGTAGAAGTTGCTGAAAACCAATTGAATCCTAAGACATAGCGTCAGATATCGTCAAGTATCCGCACTCCACGAGAAACTTACGTCGGCAGAAGCAGAGTCGCGAATGGGATGCTCAGAATTGAGGGGTCTGGCTTCTTTTTGCTAGCATCCCATCCCAAGGCGTCAGCCCAAGGCGCAGTGACGTTCTCAATAATGACGCTTCCGGATTCACTGAGACGTAGTCCGACGTTATCCCAGTTATGGAGGAATCTGACCCCTGCCTGGTCCGTCTTCACAATAGCGTATATGTGATCTTCTGTGCCCTCCAGCACACCTTCGAGCACTGTCAAATCGGAAATGACACCGCCTGTGTTGAAATGTTTGAGACCGTTGAAGACAATCTTGTCGCCGTCCGAAGTGATCTTGTGATCACTGTCTCTAGGGTTCACTGCTCCTCCGACAAAGTAATTGTTAGAGATAATCAGATCTTGAAAGCGGTCTGCTTGCTCTGGGTTTCCAAGGACGTTTGCTGTAGTTGACCAGAGCAAGTGATAACCCAGGAGCATTCCAATTGAACTATAACTACTAGTCAGAACACGAAAGTGTGTCAATCAGATCAGTCCTTACCCATCCCCTTTCGCGACCGTGCGAATAACCTTATAGCCAACGCTCCACGGCTGCTCGCCGCCACCGTACTTCTTCCAGCCAAGGACCTTCAAGAGTCCAGAATGTTTGAGGAGCGCAATCTCTGCCCGAGGTGACTTGTTCTCTCTCTCACGTAGCGCGGCATCTCGAGCAAGAATGTCTGCAATCTCCTGAGATCGCTGCAACCAACCGGCCTCGTCGGTTGGGAGCTCTGGCCATCTTGTTCTGTACTCATCGTAGACCTTGGGGTCTGTCGAGGGCACGTCGTGGGCGTTGCTGCTCATCGTATCCGGCTCGAGCACGAGGTTGAACAGATACGTTGAAGTATGGTGAATATAAGTCCCTAGTACTTGGATGATATGACAAGAAGAGAAATAATCAATGCTTGGGGGAATGTATGCAATCAAGGGTCATGTGTGAAGGTTTGGCGAAGCTGAGCATTGCGTATTTAAAGCCTATTGATACGATGCGAATTTATGAGCTTGAGCCATGGAGTTCGACCCCTCAAATTATCGGACGGCTGAGCGATAATCACCAATGCCCCCTGTCATTGACGTAAGTGGGTTGTGATATGTCGCAATCGCAACTGGTGCGTTGTTCCAATGTCACACCTTGAGCTTTTTTACTACATGTATTGATACTTCCAGTCTTATAAGATGCGTATGTACAGTGTTGTACTTCTACCAATGTCATAGGTACCTCTACTGCTTCTTGGCAGATGTTATAATAACAGTGATAAATGTGTGATTGGATGTATTTGAATGTTATTAGTACTGCTAGCTGATGGAATTTCCAGCTATTCAGGCAACAAGCCCAATGTAGGCTTGTCTAGAATTATGTACCCTGGGCTAATGTTTAGCCGCGTTACATGATCAGCATATATCGGGCTGTTTATTTACTGGTTATATAATGAAGATATAACATCATAAACTTTAATGTTTCGTGCTTAATCGGAGTACCCAATCTCCATCTCCTCCCCAATAAGTCGTTGTTATCTTTGGACACCGTCATTCTATATTCCTCCTTGTCTTTGGAAAATACCGAGACGTGTCTCCTAATGGTAATTCCAGTATTGAGTCCTTCAGCAGTAGATGAAAAGTTAGATACCTGGATATGTTAGCTGTCCGGTTGCCTGAAAGTAACAACCAGTCTCACCATCCAACAAGCCCCGCAAGAAAGGCAAAAATGCCGCCAGTCTTCTTTAATCTGACAGAGGCAGTATGGTTCCCATCTGCTGCAGCAAAGTAACTCGCAGCAACAGCAACAAAGGCGATTTCTGCCAAGACGAATACCAATATATAGACAATGTTCGTCGGGAGAGATGCGACCAAATATGCGAGAATGAAAACACACCAGACTGTTTGAAAGCAATATAGTCAGTCTCACCCGGCAAATTTGTACGTTGAATGACTCACTAGTCATGAAAAGGCCCAATGCATTGTTGAGCTGCTGAATGTCATCGCCGTATGCAGCAGCCACCCCAAATGAGGGAGTCAAGATGGCTCCGTAGCCCGCATAGAATAGTCCTATCATATGCGTGAATAATGATTTGCAAAATCCAGGTTGGGATTAAAGCAACATACCGAACGCGCTGAACATGCTGTAGCCGAAGCCATTTCCAGCAGTAAGCTCCCATTGAGCCGAGATCAGGAGCCCAAACGCGGCGAGGAAGAAGTAATTGGCGATGTAGACATTGGTAGTAGTGACTCCCCGCCATTCCATCAAGCTAAGCGAAAGTGTTGTCAAGGTCGTCGAGAAAGCCCCAACGGGTAGCGAAGTCTGAAATATTGGAGGTGAGAAGTCGATTCATCTGAGGCATTGGAGTAGTTTTGCTCGCTGAATGATAAACTTACTGCTGCGGTGGGAAGTGGTCTCCGTGCGGGAAACCGAGACGCATTGATTTGAATCGTTTCAGATCTTTCTACGGTCTTCTCAGACCTCAAGGGCTCGATTCCTTTCTCATCTGCCCCATTTTGGGCTGAAGGATGGAGAGGCATTGTGAATAACTAGTTTCAGACGAGCAATATTTGGTGCATGCAACCTATGGAGCAATGCTGAGATAAAGAAGGGGAAGCAAAGCGTTTTGTGCCACCTCAAAACTGCTCGACGAGTCAGGGTAAGCGGAAGAATGACGGGTATTGGCGGTGCTATTCAAACTTAGCGGTTCTTCAGAACTTGGTTACGTTGATCCCTGGCCACGCAGAAAGACAAAAAGCTCAGAGATACTGAAGCTTACAGTCGCCATTAATTAATTAGCTGAAGCAAGGGTTCGGATAAGGTTTGAAAGGTTAGTGTAGGTAGAAAATTGCCCCACCTCAGAGGCCTAATAACGGTACTTTTTTCATGGTGCTTTCTAGTACCAAATTAAGTAGTGGTATTAGCTGTAAATCTGGCTTCATTTTTACGCTATAGGTGCTACGAGTAGCTATCTGGGCTGCTTGGGAGGCAACACCTCTAGAATGGCTATAGGAACAAGCAGACTCTATATAGATAGAGCCTTGTCGCCTTCACCTAGTAATAGAGAATAAGGGAGGAAGGATTTGGTACTAGCACTTAAAATTAGCCCTTTTCCCACATGATTGTAAGTACAGTTACCTGCCAATCAGTCTCTATATCTGGTTAGTAAGTAAAACACTATCCTTCGGGATCCTTGTGTAGGTGTAGAGGAATGGAGTGATGGATGGGGGGTAGTGCTGACCCCACACGCAGGTCGTCAGAACCCCGCATTGTCTCTCTACCGTTCATGGATCATCTTGCCGCCTTTTCCTATCCTCGAGGGTCTTGACGGAAGTATCCGGAGAAGGGTGTTGGAATGGGAACGAGGTGGGGTAATTGGAAGAAACGGAGAGGCAGGAACTTTTGCTTGGTCCATCGGACAACCTTCGTCCCCCAATCAGTTGCGAATTCTCAAGCTCGCCATTGTGTCCATAATGATGTGATTGCCTCAGAGAGAGATTGATTAAGAGGAGCAACTGTCTCCATTGGCTTCGTATCTCTCGTTAGTTATGTGCCGTGAAATTCCATGGTGGGGTAAAGCGCATCTATCTGAACTTTGACATGCATCTGTCGTTGCACTCCGAGATCACGCAATAGCTTGATATCCGGTCAGTGATACGGCTTCTCCAACTGGGCCTTCCTGCAAGATGTCGATCACTCGGTCTTCCATGATGACAGAAAGATTAGATGAACAAGCTCGCCATACTGGAACCTGATTATCTCATAATATGTCGGATGCCTGAACACCACAGTCTAGGGCCACTGCGCATCAGCTTATGTTCGGTCCAAAAAACCCGAATAATTCTTCACTTTGAGCACTGCCTTCAACGTCACTATAATTGGTCTCTGAAGCAAATTGCCTCAGAAGCTCATAGTTATCGACGCATCTATTATTGGTATTCTCCTCTTGGACCAGCTGTTCGTCATTTGTCAGGATGTCAGCTCAACCGCATCCCCTCAATACCGAAGCTGACAGATTACTCTTCGCGTACGCTTTATTGTCTCAAAAGAATAGTACACCAATCACTGACCGCTTAGTTACTGGGTTCCAAATGTTTCAGGGGGCCTGATCATCAGCAAAATCCCCCAGAAGACCAACTGGGATCTAGCAAGCAACGTCAAGTACGCGAGGGCGGCGGAGAGGGCTGGCATCGAATACGGTCTGACCCAAATTCGCTTCACTTCTGGATATGGCGCCGCAAACCAGCACGAATCCGTATCGTTCTCCCAGGCGATCCTTCAGGCCACAGACACTATCAAAGTAATTGCCGCTATCCTTCCCGGACCCTGGAATCCAACGACGGTGGCGAAGCAGATTGCTAGCATCGACCACTACAGCAACGGCCGCATCGCCGTGAACATTGTCAGTGGCTGGTTCAAGGGCGAGTTCACAGCCATCGGTGAGTGGTGGCTAGAGCACGCCGAGCGCTACCGCCGCAGCAACGAGTTCATTCGCTGCCTAAAGGGTATCTGGACCGCACCGGATGACACTGGATTCACTTTCGGCGGCGACTTCTACCGCTACCGGAACTACGTGCTCAACCCAAAGCCAGTACAGAAGCCGCACCCAGAGATCTTCCAGGGTGGTAACAGCGACGATGCTCGGAACAATGGCGCCGAAGTCAGCGACTGGTACTTCATGAACGGCAATGACCTCGACGGGTTCCGCGCCCAGATAGAGGATGTCAAGGCTCGCGCCGCCAAAGTCGGTCGCGAAAATGAGGTCCGCTTTGCCGTAAACGGCTTCGTCATCGTACGCGAGACCGAGGAGGAGGCCGTCCGAGTGCTGCAAGAGATCCAGGGTAAGGCTGATAAAGAAGCCGTTAACGCCTTCCGCGACTCTGTTCAGCAGGCCGGGGCGAGCACCTCCAATATGAAAGGCATGTGGGCCGACAGCAAGTTTGACGATCTCGTGCAGTACAATGACGGCTTCAAGACGAAGCTCATTGGAACGAAGGAGCAGGTCGCCGAGCGTTTGGTCCTCTTGAAGAGTCTCGGGGTTCACCTTGTTTTGACAGCTTTCTTGCACTATGATGACGAGATTGAAGAGTTCGGAAAGCATGTTCTCCCGCTCGTTAGACAATACGAAAAGGAGGGTCGGGGCAAGGACGTTAACTTCGAGATCGAAAGGACTGGGGATGTTTACAGGAAGAAGCAGTAAATTAGTACTATCGATGCACTGAATGGATACTTGAATACTTCTAATACCACCGGAGTCTGCTCAAGAACAAGGCGCTAGAATATTAAGTGAGCTTTCGTTCGGATTATCCCGCATCTCTCGAACTCCCCGACCTTAGACTCGCAAGGTTTCCCGAGCCTTATTGTATTCATCCAATACTTGTTTTGCCCTTTCCGGACTCCTGATCCTGAATTGCATAGGGAAAGGCAACGGCTCGAGAATGACATTCGAGTTCGTCGCTTGGGTATCGAAAGTCACGTCTTCGCCAGTAGCCGGGCACTTCTTCAGTCCCATATCGAACGCCCAGCACACTCCCGCTCCCGCGATGAACATTTCATCGTCGACGAGGGTCTGGCCCAGACAAGTCCGGCGGCCCCATCCGAACGTGTGCATACCTACGCCCTCGCGGAAATTTGGATAGCGGGTCAGGGGCTCCTGGTAAGTGGGAAAGCTTGGGTCGAGGTAGCGATCCGGACGGTAGTTGTCGTAGTCGGGGTACTTTTCGGGGTCGCGGTTGATGTTCCTGAGGAATTGATGTCAGCAACGCTTGGTTAAAGTCTAGGGGGGACGGAATACCATTCGCAAGCAAGGACGATGGTGCCTTTCTCAATCCGGACACCTTGAAACTCAGAATCCTTCTCGCACTGGTGAGGAACCCCTGCGAAAATCTGTTAGTTCCCAAGCCTCGTCATCGAACCATTCTCTGCTGTCAGTCTGACTTACCGAGGGGGACTCCAGATCTCCACCGAAGAGTCTCCTTCAAGCATGCCCTTACAGTCGGTAGCTGGGCAAAGTCGTCCCGGGTTGGCATCCTATCGCCACAGGCCATGTCGATCTCATCCTGACACTTCTTCAGCCACTCGGGGTGAAGCGCCATGCACATCAGGAAGAATTGCAAGGGCCCGGAGATGGTCACCACCCCCACCAGACACTGGAATCCAAGCATGCAGGCGGCAAAGTCCTCCTCCTTCCCGTCTTGCTCCAACGTCTTATTTCCTCCGGCTTCTAATTGTTCGAAGTACCTATATGCCCAGGTGTCCACGGGCAAGTCGCCTTTTCGGAACCTTGCCTTGGCAAGACGGAACGACTGCAGCCACCACGCACGCTGGTTATTGACTCTGTTGACTTCGAATCTGCGCCACGGGTTGTACCGGACAAGGTCTGCGAGATGCCATATTGGCGTTATGGTGTTGACAATGGGACCTGAGACTGACATCCGCGTCAGTGTCTCAAGAGCGCTGTCTCCGTAGGCTTTCCCCTGTGTGGAGTCATCCCAAGAAAGACGGCTCATTATGCGGCCTGTCATCTCCCGGGTGTTGTTATGGAACTTCTCAGGGTCTAGCAGGAGAGTCACTAGCCACCGTTTGACCTCGTTGTCGACGTGCCCGTAAAACTGATGCTGGTGCGCGGCTGCCATGGCAGCGTGAACCCATTTCCGCTGGTATTTCCATGTTTCTACGCAAGGAATAAGGTGTTAGTGTCAGTGATCACCCCCCTAGCCGCGTCCTTGGTCTATACAAAAATGACTTACCGTTACGATCCATTAATGCAGAATACGTGGGCCCTAGCTTGTGGTCGATAAGAGCTCTAAGCTGAGGCCGGCCCGCGAAGTTGTTCCCATCTTTGACCAGAACCTCTTGCGCCATCTTCTCATCTGAAATGATGACAAACTTCTGGCCAAGCATGCTCGTCTGGTAAATTGGTCCGAATTCGTCCGCCCACTCTTTGAGCTTGAGCCACATGCCAAATCTGGGCAAGTCATGGACGCGGCCGACGATAGGATACTGTTTGGGGCCAGGAAACCTAGTGCGCTTCTGACGTGCCTTGTCGTCGTCGCCCCTGCGGCCGGTCCATAGTGAGAAGTGACGGAACGAGGAGAAGAGCAAGCCCGGTACGACGAGAACGCCGAGGTAGAGCAAGAGCGAAGAAAAGCTCTCCATATCCGAAAGTATCGACGTAGGCGAAACGTGGAAAGGTAGCAAAATACTTGTTGAAGAGACTCGTATAGCGACTATGGTAAAGAAACAGTACAATGAGGGGCCGAAGATCATATATGTAGGTCTCAGTTATCCTATAGTGTCACATGCAGGACTGGCAGGCATCTATCAGTCGCCTGCTGGGGTCTGTCTATTCGAATCCTCTCTTGGTCCAGCACATAACCACCCAGTAAGTCGAGGGTAAGAAGAGGATCGCATCTACGCTAGCCAACAATAGGATCCAAGCTAACGGCCATGGGGTTCAGCCCCCTACCATTTGTCAAGGATGCCAACAGCCGGGACGGCTCTGACGGCACCCTAGCACCCCCAGCCTACCTCTATTGTGGCCTGCTTTATCACGAGCCAATGAGGCTGGAATAGAAGTGGAATGAGTGTGTACTGCAAGAAGCGCCTACTCTCCTGTTGCTTAAGCTTTATTGCTGCCAATCTTGAGAGGTTTTCAAGTTCACCATTCTCGGTATCGGCCTCCCGAACGGAAAAGCAAGTTGACATACTGGGGATCTAATCCAAGATGACCCTCTCCCCTCTCTTGATCGGACTAATGGCAACGCAACAGCAGAGCGCATCTGTCGTCAGCTCGGTTAACAAACATTTTGGGAGAGGATGCCACATCTCAACGGTGATAAGCACGGGCAAGTCGCCACCGCGCAGCATCGTCAGTAAGATCGTAGGCCGGAATAGCGCGAGCATAAGCGCCATAATGCTATTTTAGCGTTACATCGTGGCCAACACTAAGTCACACAACCTTACTTCCGAGTTCCGATTCAACGGTGAATGCAAGTAGGTAGATAATCGCTAATATCCCTGCCTCCGGCATGCCCTTGGCGGCCGTTGTGAATCATTACTCCAGCGTCACTTTGGTTGAACTGGCATTTAAATGCAAAGCCAGTAACTCCAACACCAGCATTCGTATCAGTTATTTAAAGCTGGGAATCAAGGCTGCGGTCGAAGGGCGCGGGTAAGCAAGATGCAGAATCAGGCATGGATGAAGTGGGGGGTTGATGTGCGTGCTGTGAAATATTGACAGGTTGCATAGTAAGGCGATGGATGCGGCGGCGTTCCAAAACTGGCGACCTCCTCGTTCCCACCTGCGCTTATCATGCAGTAAGATCCAAGATAGCACCATTACTGGATAGGATTGGTGGCCTACCTGTCTTAACCGTGCGGGCGCCAAGAACACCTTGTCAGCATCAGGAGCGGGTGGAAGCGGCTGGTGCCTAGATTTTCCTCTACTAGTCTCTTGACTAAATGTTAGGGAGCTTGAGTGGTGGCTGGTTTGACGTGTGTAGCGTACACAGACAACGTAGAACCCTGTGAGGTGGCACTGCGGGACGAACAATAAGCAGCATATCGGGATATCGTTCCATTGTGACTCGGATCTGGGGTGAGCTGGCGAGAGACTAGAATAAAGTGTATCCATAGTTCGATACTATGCACTTGATGTATCAAACCCAATTCTACAACTAGAGATGTAGACGTGGCCTGTTCATCCGATATGATGTGAAAGTCAACTGTAACATCCTTTCAGCCAAAAAGCTCTCTCTCAAGCAACTTCTACTTCGACCCGAATCATCGGCTGCAACAAATTCTCATATAAATCAAGTTTTAAAATCATTGTAAAGCTAGCCCGGAGCCCTTCGACGCTGTTCATCATATACTTCGACCAGCTAGCTACCTGGGGAGATGTATTATCACATATTTGGGCGATGGATTTCTCCCCTCTCCCGGTGTAGTTGGAAATCAAGAACAGGGATATTTATATTTCCATATTTTAGGGTTAATAAAATTCTGGAGCACAAAGAACATCGTTCTACATATCAACTGGCTCTTACATGGCAGGGTCAGATTGCTACCTTGTATCAGACTTACCGATTCGATACAGGGAATGTCGCTACTTACAACAGATATCTAAAAAAAAAAAATCAAAGAGAAGAACCCCTCCCTCCCCTTCAGATGCCCAAGGTAGCATTCACTGTAATAAAGCCAGCTGTCTTCAATTTTCCGGCGCGCCATACACTCTACTAGATGACTCCACAACCCTGAACTTACCCGCTTCATGGGTCGTTGAAGGGCGGCACCGGTTGATCGGGGTGCTTTTCCTTGATGTGCTATATCATGAACCAAGGTCAGCAGACATATCCCATTCCATCTCGGGTTTATCTTCAGATTAATTTGAGATATGGGAAAGGGGAGGAGGGAGAGGGGAGGACTTACCCGAGTGCGCGTCCATGCAACCGTGTACGACTTTCCGCAGCCGGCGAAAGGGCAGTGAAAGACGCGTCCACCGCGTCCACCGCCTTTGCCTCGCTGACCGGAGCCTCCAGAGCCGCTAGGGCCAGGTGTGCTGCCGCTGCCGCTGCCGCCGCCGCTGTCCTCATCGTCACCGTCATCATCATCATCATCATCATCATCATCGTCGTCGTCGCGGCTCTCAACATCGTCGTCGCGGCTCTCAACATCGCCGTCACCGTCGCCGTCGGCGTCGGCGTCCGGCATGTTGACGTCCTCTTCCATCGCCGCTGCCGCCTTTGCAATCTCGTTGCTCATCTTGGCGAGCGCGTCGAGCGAGGCGCACTCGAACTCGTGCCAGCCGGCGGGTGAGCTATTATAGACCTCGACGAGCGCGTCGCGGATGAGGTCCGTGAGGGAGGCGCTGGAGGAGCCGGGCGATGACATTTTCGTCTGCGCCGTCTGTTGTCGTCTGGCTCGTGATGATGTCCGATAACAATTGGGTGCTAAATACCACGAGATGATGAAAGAAAATATGCTCTTCGTCGCTTCCGTATAAAGACTGTATTGACGAGGAAACATGGGACTGGGCAGTCGAGTTCATGGTCTTGATTATATAGTATTCTGGTGCTTCCATCTTGGTAACAGCATGAAGAGAGTTGTTCTCTCCAGTCTAGTCGCTATCAAAGCCTCGAAGCCGTTGGAGGGTCTACAAAGGCGGTTTGTGCCCTCGGCTCATTGATGCTCGAGGGCAAGGGTCGAATATCACAATGTAATCACAAAGATAGACTCAACGGCGAAAGGATGAAAGCCGACAGACAAAGATAGTACTCATTCTTCTTCCCTTTCCAGAACCATACCATGGTACGCCCCAGTGCTCAAGAAGACGGCGGTGCGAACTTGGTCAAGGACGCAAAGGGGTCTGACCAAGAAAGTATTCAATCTTTGACCACCTGTCCACGAAGAGTTTGGATTATCTACAAGCAAAAAAGAGAGGGCTGAATAGACTGGTCGATGACAGTTACCTTGCGCTCTTACCGGGCCGTTCCGGCCGTGGCCGATGGAGTAAACTTAAGAACCATCATTGTCGCGCTCATCACTGTATCCGTCATCATGCTCCATATTATCATACTCACCCAATTTACTATCTAAGTACTCATCATATCACCCATGGTACTCATATTACTCCTTGTGATTCTCTTTGCGCTCCTCCTCATCACCGTACCCTTCCTTAGGGTTGGTGCCTGTAGTCCGTGCTGGTCCCAGTCCTAAAACACACAAGCAGCCTGCTCTATGCAAACATTAGATGACAACTTGTCTTCCAGCTCAGCAGAATCAGGAAGAGGAATATCATGCAGCCGACGTGATGTCTGGTAAGTGTGTTGCGATGCCGGGCCTATATCTGACAAGCTCCTCTACTGCCCATGGTATCCATAGCAGCAGTGGCTATATATATTCGTACTTCCTTTCAACCAGGCAACCAAACAACAGCACTGAAGAATCAGAGTTTACAACGAGAGTTTCTCAAGTGAAGATTCTTGTATTAAACCTACCTACTTGTAGGTACTCGCCAGATGTAGCGTGATATGGTGGGTGCAGTGTGGCACTTATCTCAACTAGGCAGCCCACAATGGCTGCCTTCTTCGTTACGCATAACAGAAACCATTCTCCCTTATTATCCGTCACCAGTTCTTTGCAGGTCACCATGCCTGTGATATCAACATACACAATAAGCGTATGCAAAGAGCCCACAGGATCTACGTCTGGATAGACTTGCTAGTAGACTTTATTTGTAGTCCCATGGGTCGTCACCCCAGTCATCTCCAGAGTAGTCGACCGCAGGACGTTTTGCCCACCTATCTTGCGGTCCAGGCCCTACATTTACCGGGACAGTACTAACAGCCGTCTGTGAATGAGGCTTTGAAAAGAGGGGCGCTACAAAAAGGTCGCTCTTCGCAGGAACCCTCGCATCGTTATGTATGTGTATCGTGGATGGCAGGTGAGACTTCTGCATTGGGGCGGCGGCCTGAACTAGAGAGTCTTGCTGCTGTTTTGAGGGGACGATGGCTTGTTTTCCAACAGTCACCAGTTGCGGTTTCAGAACCGGTTGTATCTGTACCTCCGAGACATCCATAGTAGAAACTGATGCAGCATCTGATAAGTTGTCACTGGTCTGGTCTTTTGGCGGTCCTGCGGGCGGGACCAGTCCGACAGGCGGCACATTTGTTGGTCGCTCTTCCACCTCGTTTGGTTGTTGAACCGCAACTTCTGTGCTAAGTTGCGACGTTGTAGCTAAGTACGGTTCCTGTTGAAGCGGGGTATCTTGTCTGTGGAAAGGTTGGTGAGAGCTGCTGCTGAAGCCTTTGCCTTGAGACACGGCCTCGTCGATTAGTTGTATTGACAGATTGGGTGGAACTGGAGCAACATAGCCAAACATAGACCTTTCTGGGTTGTCAGCTGTAATTGAGGCGGCCAGTTTATCGACGACTTTATCGTGAAGATGGGTATCAGCTCGGCCGTGCGGGTTGTGCATATTTATCGGCGGTGCAGCTGGTGGCAGGTGTTGTAGTCTTTGAAATTGCTGCTGCTGCTGCTGCTGCTGCTGCTGCGGCAGGATATTGGACGGCGGAGGAGCGACCTGAGGTGGGTTATGTACTGCTCGGAACTGTTGCTGCTGCGAGGGTTGTGTTGGCTGCTTTTGAAGGACCGATGCCTTATTGCCCTTCATTAACTTGGAAAGCCAACCTCCTTTGTCTTTGTCCTTTGTCAAGGTTTGCATGACTGGCGGCGTCGATCCCGGGCGCACGACATTTTGAAATGGGGCGCCGCTCATGTTGATGGGTGAGTAAGGCTGAAAAGGATTGTTTGTCACTGGCGAGTAGTCTGGATGAGACGGCAGGCTACTAGAGTTCATCGACTGAAGAGGTTCAGATATGGGCTTTTGTACGTTCGCCTGCCTCTGGGCCACTTGGTTCATCAGCCTTTCTGCGCTATAGCCTCGGGAGGACTCGGCAGATGAAGGATAAGCAGATGCGGTCGACAGATTCAGACTAGAACCTTGAGAATAGCGGCGGTTCTCTCGAGAAGTCACACTAATGGAGGCAGCTGCAGGTGTGCCTATAGAATTATCGTTTTCTAAGTGCTCTTGGATAGAATGTAGGACATGCCCCGGAGATCTGATAGGTGTCGAGGGACTCGTTGAGCCATACATATGCTGCGAGGGCAGTATTACTGTGGGGCGCATTGGTCGCTCTGACAGAAATTGGACAGTTGAACGGCCGTTTTCAGCTGGGTGCGGTGATTGCGAACCAAGTGGAGGCGGGGTCGGATACTGATTTTCACTCAGACGTGGCTGTGAATCAGGCAATGGTTCAGACCTTGAAACGTTCCGAGAGGCCTTTATGGTCTCTTCAACTGAACCGGACCGTTGGACTTGATTAAACGGAATATGAGGCTGATCATGGCTTTGGCCAGACAGTCGATGCGGTCCAGGTGGTGCTTCTTGAGAAGGAGGCCGGGCCGCAAGACTGGCCAAATTATGGGGAGGCAAAGAGTGACGGCGACTCGATGCTGACGAACTCGCGCTGCCGGGTGTTTGTTGACCAGATACTTGCTGAATGTTGCTAGTCGAGGTGGAAATAGGAATCTTCTGAGGTACCATGGGAAAACGTCGGCTTGTCGTTTGTTTAGCAGCTTCTGTTTGTGCAGTTAGGGGTGGCCTAGAAAAAGACGTGGGCCTCGATCCTGCAGGTCGTTCGGGAACACTCTGGCCGGCAGGACCTGGAGTGGATCTTGACGAGGAGTCGGAATGGGTCCCACAAAGGAAGCCAGACGATGAACGTCTCCCGTCACTCCCTAGGGGCGAAGGTGTTTGTAAAGGCGCGGAAGACTGGCCACCCGTGAGTGGGCCAAGGGACGAGACTTCACTGGAAGCATACGATGTCTGGCGTGCTAGTTCAAGGTTTGGCGGCGGCGAAGAAAGATCCGACGACTGCATGCCCCTCGTTACACTATTGAGCGCAAATTCCAAGTATGCGCGATTTTGGCTGGACGAGCTTTGCTGCTGGCGTACATCGCTCTGGGCTCTTGGACGCTGTAAGAAGTCAGGCAAGGGCGGTGCAGATCTGTTAGACGACCCATAATGGGACAAGGGAGGCCGTTGCTGGTCTGTCGACGACTGTGGGGGCGCTGTTTCGACTCTGTGAGCCGGGGGCCGAAGCACAAGAGGTAACTCGGGACCACGAGTTGCAGAGAGATATTGGGACTGAGATTGAGGCAAAGCTGGACGTTGAGTTGCCTGAACGACGTGGGATTCTTGAGTATTCATGCCCCCCGGCTGAAAGGCCGTATACCGCAGTACGTTCTCTACGATTCGGCCGGTAGGGGCTTTGGAAGTCGGCTGAGACGAAGGCGAGGGGCCCGAGATGGAGTGCCTTGGGTTGCTTGGCCCTTGAGCAGAAGAAGGGGGAGGCAGAGGCAGAGATTGCTGAGGTTGGCCTTGTAGTTGCCCCCTCGCCGGCTTCAGCACCGATGGGACATGCTGTAAACCGCCATATGAACTCCCATCTAGGGATTGGCCAACACCTGTGCCAGCACTTGATCCTTGAGTGCTACTGGGGTGCATCGACAGTGATGCCGGGCCTGCGTCCTGATGTGTTGAGGGCTGGTTGGGTTGAAACGGGACTTTGGGTGGCACTCGCGGAGGTTGCAGAACGGACGGCGTGCTTGCTTGGTCGAGGTTGGGGCGCGGGCCCATCATCAACGACATTTCTCTCGACAAAGAGTTGCTATGGTCTCGGGGCTTGAAGTTGGGCTCTCTGCTTGGCAGGGCCCGAGTCACGCTGCCTGTCACACCAGGGACATAGGGCTGATACTGGCTTTGGCGGGCTACTGAATTCGAAGGTTTCCGCTTGATAGCGAACGCATTGTTGTTGGCATCTGCAGGCAGCATTTGGGTCTGTTGGGAGGCTTTTTGGGAGGGCGAGCTGCCAGGCTTAGGCCCGGGTTGCACAGCCTCGGGATGAAACCCTGGAGAGACTTGTGATGCGCGGGTTGGCGACGATTTCTGGGATCTTGATCCTGTCCCGAATGTTGCTCCGTACAAAGCTTTGTCACTCATGTTTGTTTGATGAAGGAGATCGTGAGTTGATTGGGCTAGCGGCCTGGGTTCTGAAGGACTTGTTCGTTCGGGCAGTTCGGCAATGCCAAAGTCGGCGATTGGTATCTCTATGGGAGCTAGTACGGCATTATCAGCCATTTCTACGGGGTCTGGATGGGTCTCGATGTGGGCTGGGGCAGTATGCTCTGTTGCCATCTCGGCCATGTTCCCTACAGGATCCCAGGGCGGCGGCTGGAACGTAGAGGAGTGTCCCTGGCGAGGTTTTTCAGCGGAATCGAGACGGGGAACATCAGGGGAAGCCGCGGCAACGTTGGTGGGGCCGAGGAGATCTTGAGTCCCGCGAATGAGTGGGAGTTCGACGGGGGGCTCCGCCGCTATGTCTCCCTGCACGACGATTGCTTCTTGAACCGGCACACTGTTGACCACGGAAGGGGTGTTGGTCTCGCTCTGAAGAGGCGACACGCCCGACGTTTCGCCGACGGCGTCGAGGAGTGCTTTGTTCTTGGTGGTGTTTCCGCCGGCGTCGTCGTCAGCGGCCTTCTTGGGAGAAAGAGCGTCCCGGTCGTCCTCGTCAGCGTCAGGACTGATATCGGTATAGGCATCAGGACCCATATACATGAAGTTTTCTGGTTGGAAGAAGAAGCCGCCGCCGCCGCCGCCGCCGCCGTCGTCGTCGTCGTTCAGGGGCCCTCCGAAGCCACTGCGGTTCATGGCGAAATCGGACAGAGGCCCGCCGGTGGCGCGCATCTTTGACTTGAGATCGACATCGATGGCGGTGCGTCTCTTGAGCTGTTGCTGGCTTTCCAGCTTCTCTTCGGGTGCAAGCTCAAGTGCCGGGGCAAAGCTGTCAATGAAGTCGGGGAACTCATCGCCTTCCTTGGGGAAGTGGAACTGGACGTGGCCGTTAGGCTTGTAGCGGTAAAACCAGCGAGCACCATCATAGTCCCACTCCCAACCGGGAGGGAGGCCCGACATGTTGATACTTGGGCCGTGGCAAGTGATGGAAGCTTGGGTTGTCGTTGTACACTGTGTAGGCGGAGGTAGTCGAAGGCTCAGGGGTTTCTTTGCGAGTTGCCGAGATGCTGAAGGCCCGATTTGCGATCTCTGCTGGAGGGCTGATAGATGAGATGAGGCCCCTCAGCTTTTGGTGGGAATGACCGTTGTGTCGAGCTTGGGAATGAGGCGGTGTTCGTGATACGACGGTTACGGCACAATGTAAGAGGAAGACCGGTGCTTCAGAATGCAACTTTTCGGACAAGTTGACGAGGTGTCATTGTTACATCGAGGTTGTAACGCGCAGCACCAGCAGCACCTACTACAACAACAGTGGGCGGGAATGGCCATGTCGTGAAGAAGAGGAGAAGGGGAAATGGAGGGAAAGGTGGCGCAGGGCGTTTTGTTCTGCGACATGACTCCAATAGCGTAAGGCGGTCGGTCGGTCTTTGAGATGATGGTAAGGGCGGAAACAGAAAAGTCGGGCCAGGTCGGAGAGCTGACTAGACTGGATCGAGAGAAGCGGTGCGGCTGAGTTGCATGAGGGAACAAGCGAGCGGTGGTTTGGTGAGATTTGTGTGAGGACGACGGTCCCCATCCATCTGAATGATGATGACTGAACAAGGGCCCACTCCCAATGCGGGTTGGGCTTATTTTTAGGGGTCTCGAGCGACGTCTGTGCGGTGATGATAGCCGATTCCCACTCATCCGCTCCTCGTTACAGCATTGTTATTGGACGCTGGCTGTTCGTTGGTTGAGGGGGGGAGCCTGCATTTTTGATTTTCGACAAATTCGACGTGAATAAATTGCATCGTGGAGGAGCAGCAGGCGAGATGTGGCTGGCCTATTCTTCTCTGCAGTGTCGTCCCTTTTCTACTTCTCTCCGTCTGGCATATACCGGGGTTCTTCTAATAGAGAAACCAACTACCTATGCTGGTTGGTTCACCCGACATTCCGGAACCTTTTCCCAAAGATGTGTGTGTACCACACGGTACGTCAAAAAGAACAGACCTGTTCCACCATGACCGGTCAATCCCTGCCAGAGGCCGGCCGGGGATGGAAAAAAAGGTTATTTAGAAGCATCAGCCAACTCTGCGCATGACCAGACTAGGGTTTCCTGGCTCCATCCACGTGTCGTGGAAATACTATTCACTATACCTTTCTTAGCTTATAAGAAACTACTTATATAAGTCCACGTCCAAACGTCGACCTTCTCTGGACTGAACGATAGTCACCTTTTGGGAGAATCTAGAGGCAAAACATCTCAAGGCCATGCCTTCGGCTATTCAATATGGCCTACCTCGGTAGGTAGACGCAGCTGTGTCCAACTCAATGGCGTAGAACGAAAGAATGACATGTATATGGCATGTCTTGCTCGCGCCGAAGCCGCCTTCCTACACAACCGCGCGTGCATCATGAATACAGCGTAGGAGACTTTATCCTGCTCCAATACCTCCCTCATCTTCCCTAGAACCTGTGCCGTCTCCTCCTGCAAAGAAAGAAGTCGCGATAGCATCCACTTCCCGAATACGGTGGCCGGAGTGGTACCTTCCTACAATAGTTGGTATCTGGGTTTTCAGGCAAACAGCTTCACACCTCCTTCCATCTCTGGCCACCTACCCAACCATCTTGTTCCGGCAAGTACGCACCGTAACAGCATCACACGGTAGGTGCCGACTTACCATTGTCGGCTGAGATGCAGCTTCCTACAATAAAATGCCTTTCGTCTGAAATAACTCCATCTCCCGCCTCCATCCCCATTCCCTCGTCCTTCACCTCCTCTCTACCACACCTCTCTCCATCACCACACTTTTGGACCTCGCCTCGTTATCTGAACTCTACCAAGACACTCTCGCTACCTGTCCTTTTTTTTGGTTCCTCTTTCTGCATCATCCCTCGTTCTCTAGCTTTGCCTGCCTCTTGATATCTCCTCACGATGACTGTCTCGCGTGTCCTCAAGGCCTTGACGGCCATGTCTTCCTTGAACCTGCAACGACACGCCCAAGTCAATACTGACCAGAACCTGGTTTTGGCCGACTGCGGCATTGGTTCCAGCCCTGAGAATGCCACTTGGTCTACCTCACGCCAAATGAACTGGTACAAGGGCCCCGTCTGGTCTACCCCCGCTGAGACTGGCCCTGCCAATCCTGACCTACTCGCGCAAATGCCCTACGATGATGGCAAATACCCCTGGAACTTTCAAGGTGCTTCTGCTACTTTCCCCAACGGCGAGACATGGTCCGCTTGGATCGAAGACGGCACCCCCGAAACTCATCGCGCTAGCAAGGCCATGAGTACCACCGACGGCGGAACCACTCTTTGGTGCTACACTTACCGCGGACGCCCCCTCGGCCTAAGTGCCTCTGGCAACTCGACCTGCACCTCAGCTTTTGTCTGTAACCATCTCGAGACTGGCCCTACCCCGTGGGCCCGAACTCCAGGTGCAGATGTTCCTTCTGACAACGCCACCATCTTCACTAACACCATCAACAACTCTTCGGCCACCGAAAATACCTTGGCTGTCAAGGTCGATGTCAGCCCACGTCCTGCCCTCTGGTACGGCACCATCAACCAGTTCCTGAGTAGTATCATCTTCACCACTGGCGGCATCTGCAGCCCCAATCCCTTCTCTAATCGCTTGAACTCTACCGTCACGGCCCGCTGCCAGGGTACCAATGACACCCCTCTCAACTTCCTGCCCATCTTCTTCAACGTTCTCAAGAACCTCGGATCCCTCCCCGGCCCGGACGGCTACTTCATCCACAGTCACGGACCTGCCCCTTTCGCCAATGACACCGCGGACGACACCCTCACGCTTCCCACCACTTTCAATCTTACTGCGTACGATATGGTGACGGGAAATCTCAAGGGTTTCATCGGCTACGAGATCGAGTGGCCAGAGCAAGATATGGGCATCCATTGTTTCGACTGCAACACGACTGAATTCGACACCAACTACAACACGGCCGTCGCCTCCGCATTCGACGTGCTGTATCCTACCTACTCTCAGATAGTCATTGAGAGCAAGTGCACATTCAACACTCTTTGCTGGTAATGGCTCAAGGCAGGGGATTCAAATACCATCTCCATGAAGCTTTGACCGACCGGCTGTTTGAATGGTGTGCTGGTAGCACTAATGGACGTCATACCATTGGATGATGGGTGTTACAATATTGCCGGCAACGAGCGACGAGGCCCTGACACGAGCAACGCTTATCCCGAGAAAGAAGAGTTATTTGCAGTGAATGGCGCGCAATGATAGAGTCCAAAGCCTATCGGCCATTACACCAGTTCTAGTATGATATTATGGTCTAGTAGTAGTATACTGTTGGAATCGCAGTCTGTTCAAGTCAACAAGAAACTCCGCTTCTCAAGATGATGTGCCGACGAACTGTTGGTTGATGTTACATGAGCAACCACAATACCCGTACTGCTTTACTAGATGTGTTTTTCTTTTTCTTTTTCACGCTGAATTCGGAAAGAAAAAAGAATTGGTTGAAGTATGAATCGAGATCTCTATTGGGTATTTTACCCCGATTGCAATCTACCAAAAGGTTCCTTCTCAAACCCTTCAATGATTTGAAAACGTACGCTAAGAAAGCCTTTACCAAATTTTTGTTTTTTCTCAATCAACTCCGTCGACACCCCCGAGACCCGGGGGGAGGACTTATGGCACCTCCCATCCATCTCTCGCTCGGTGATGATGCAGAACCCAAATTTCAATCCCCCCCCCCTCTGGACTTCACTTTTCTTTCGCCACCCTCTGGGATTCAATTAAAAATACCACATTATGAAAGGAGTGTATGTGTGCCGTGCCCAGGTTGCATTCCGGGGCAAAGTGTTCCGTTCTGTCGGAAACGTGTAGATGGAGAAATGAAACATCTGTCTAGACAATGTCGCTGGGCTTCGTCCTACTGGAGCTTCGTGGACGGCTGAAAAACCTGCGGCGCTGAGAGCCAGACTCCTGAGACTGCCGCGACGCAGCTACGGCAGAAGTGGAGCTGTCGGGGCGCTCAAGATCGGATCGCTCACGGATGCTTTGGAGCCGTGCGACATGAGGCTGATGGACTTCCCTGCGAGCTTCAAAGACGTCCTGGAAATCGCTCCAGTTGTCGTCGATAAACGGCACCATACCTGTGCGCGAGTCGGCGCGAGCACGAGTAGCAACAGCCGAGATACCGACGGCGGACTGAGTGTTGGAGTGGTTCGACTGGGTATCGCCAGGCGTGGCAGGCTCGTTGCCACTGGGACCAGGGGTGGACTTGGACGAGTCGTACGACGGGGGAGCACCGCCAGCCCAGTAGAAGGGGGTGTTGCGGGAACCACCGGGTTGCACCTGCCAAGGGCCCTGGAGGCCAACACTGCGAACCTCGGCCATCAGCTGTGCGGCGAACTTGTTGTGTCTCTGGAGACGGAGGAGTTCGTTTTGGAAGTTGGACTTGTGGAAGAAGATCAAGTTCATTGTGAAGGACTGGACCTCGTTGAGAGTCTTGACCTCGGTGATGATGCGTGGTTGGTAGTCTCGCTTGTTTTCGAGACAGAAGTTGAGCATACGAGACTTGAGCTCCTCAATGAGCTCCGGGTCGGTGCCGAAACCAAGCTTGAGCTCGATGGGATCAGCAAGCCCGGCCGAGCGACGTTGGTTCAGGATGAAAAGAGTGTTGAGGACACTGTTGGGTGCCTGGACAATATGGCCCTCCATCTTCTTGAACTCGGTGTACAGCAGGGAGATCTCGGTTACGTAGTAATCATCGCCGGTTCCCAAGGTACCGGTGTTACCGTAGACAGTAACTCGGTCACCAACATCGAAGGGGTGCTTGACGAAGACGAAAATGATGGACTGCAGGAATTCCTGAGCCGTGGCCTGAAGCATCCAAGCGAGACCGAGGAAACTGGAACCGGCCGAAGCCAGGCCGGCGGCGGCCGAGCCCGAGAGAATTGAGATGAAGACAATGATGGCAATGATGACAATGATGAAGAGGAAGACCTTATCGAGCTTCTTGATAACGGAGTCGAGATCCTTCAGAGAGGCGGCAATAGCCTTGCGTTCCAGGTGAATCTCGTTGCAGGTTAACTCCATCTCCTCCATCGAAATGTCGCCGTTGAGATCCTTGTCGAATATGCCGAAGGCATGCTCTGCTTCTTCTGGGGTCGCGAAGGCAACCTGCATATCTTCAAGGAAAATGGTGTCCTGGCCGTCCTTGACCAAACTGCGGAAGATGAGGCGGGCGAGGGCATGAGCCGATCCAGTGTTACGCAGCATCTCGTAGGTGATCTTGCGGGCATGGTTGAAGGCGACCTTGCGTCCTATGAAGTCGTTCCCAACTCGGGCCGCCATGCCGCCGGCCTTGTTGAAGGCTGATCGGACATTCTTGCCCACCACGCCCATTGGAGTACGAGCGCCTGACCTGTTGACATTCTCCGTCGTGAGCCAGATAGAGTCTTCGCGATGGATTCGCGTCTTGGAATGCTCGTACAGATGGACGAGGTGATCGATGTCGCTCTTGTTGGTCTCGATTCGCTGGGCGTAGGTGCGCTGGTGAAACGAGGTTGCAATCCACTGAATGCAGATCTTTTCGACCCAGTTCAGGGCAGCCAAGACAAAGAATGCAATGATGACCTTCTGGACAACGTTAATCCACTGGACGGAGGGCAGGCTGTCCTCGTCCGGGTTGAAATCATCTGGCAAAACGCGGTGGCCGTTGAGAATGGGCGAGTACGAGATGAGTATCCCGAGCATCCACATGAAGAGTGCGGTATGCAGCTCGAGACCTTGGCCAATGTCCTTCCACTTCTTGTGGTTGCTGGAGCCCATGACTATGGCGATGCCGCCAAAGATGAGGGGCATGAAACTCGTGATCATGCGCGAAGCCCACAGTGAGCACCAGATGACCTCAAGCCAGATGCCGAACCAGGTGAGATAGACGCCATTAGGGCCGCCGATGGCTGCCTTCTCAGGGACGATGGCGAAATGACCGAGGAGAACGGGAATAAGGAGAAGAGCGCCTCCGGGGATCATATATACAGCGTAGCGGATAAATCGAGGGAACTTCCTCAACCATTTCCAGATGGCGAAGGCAAAGGCGCCGGCCTTCCGCTCAGGGGGGGCCTTTGCGGCATCGGCGGCGGTGGGGTTGGTAGCGAAGACGTCCTCGGGCTCGCGTTCACGGGTCCTACCCTGGCGTTGGGAATTCTCATGTTCCTGGTTGGAAACGAGACGCTCGGCGCGCAAAACTTCGAGATCGTCGTTGAGACGCGAGGCCTGCTCCCGGCTATCTTGTGGAGACATGGGGCGGTGTGCGTCGTCGGGAGGGGAGAGCAGGTTCTCAGTGTTAATGCGGGCCATCTTCTCCTGTTGGGGAGGCACAGAACTGGGATCTGTAGCTGTCTGGAGGCTGTCGTCTGTGTGGAATGAGTGCTTCTCATTTTCGTACGAGTCGGAGCGCTCGCGATTCGTTGGAGTCGTCATGTTGGGCGGGGTGAAGGGGCCGCAAAGGACCAACAGACGAGGTGTGAAGACTTATTGGTGTAAGTGAAAGTGGGTGGGAATATCGAATAAGTGTGTCGGCGAGGGAAGGGGGTTGGGTTGAGTTGTCCCCTGCTTGATATTGGCAGTCGGTAAAGCTGATAAACCTAACCAACGGCGGTCCTCGGTCGACTACCTAGCCGTGATGGGCAAAGAGGTGAGACGTATGTCGGTTGCTGAATACGCTTGGCCGCGGTCGGTTTGGTTTGACGCGTCTCGGTGTATTTCTCGGTGGGGGCACAGGCGGGATGCCGAGAGAGGTCCTAGGCAAGGAGCTAATGGATAGATATATCCCGGAATCTAGCGGCCGTCGTCGCCGCCGTCTGGCTGAAATCCACCGCTACGTATATCGGAGGACTGGAGATAGGATCACGGTCTCTTCAGCTAAGAAGAAACGGAGTATTGGTCGGTGTTGAAACTGCTGGGTGCTGGTTCCTTCCCTTTTTTTTTGTTCCTTTTCTTTCCCCGTGGGTGAAGTGTAGGGGCAGGAGGATAAGCAGCTGGGGAAGGAGGGAGAAAGGGCTGGGGAAGGAGCATCTTTTGCAGGGCGAGGAGAGGAAGGTGTGGATAAAATATCTCTTGGATGCAGGAGCCAAGCAAATATCCGCACAAGTGGAAAGTCACAAGCAAGGGACCGAGACCGACCGAACAGGCAATGAGTACCTACCTGGTGCAGGTACGGACGGACAGAGCAAAAGGAAGCTCCGATGCGTAAGTACATCAGTACATACATTACAGACAAGATGGGGTGTGTCAGTCTCTCACTCTCCCTTGCCCCTTGGCTTTGCAGGTCATTTAGAAAACAGGGACTCCATGAGAAGAAAACTGGGTCATGATCTCTGGGCACCGGGAGGGGGTCCCCGGTCGCGGCTGTTTGAGCGCAATGAAATGTCAACCATGAATCGACGACGGGCGACATGTGCTCTAGAATTAATTCCTTGTCGTCTGCACGAACCGAGTGCTGTCGCCCACTCATCCACCCATCCACCCATCCACTCGCTGCCACTCGCATCATCCTCAGCACCCAATGGCCGCGTTGCGGCGCCACTGCGGTGCCCAGAGTTAAAACCGGGGAGACGAAATGCTGATCGCGCGCCCGGAGCCCATGGATGGCCACACTGGGGGTGAACTGGCTCGTCATTAGCATTTCGGAAATAATTGAGTATCCATTTATTTATTTTTACTCCTTACGCCAACTGCACCTTAATCTTGGTAGACTTGATGGAGTCGCCAAGTGGCACTGAGCATTCCATGAGATTGGTTTTTGGGAGAAGGCCATGGCATGGTGATGGCGAACCGGGTCCGTGTTGAATTCAACTGACAGGAAAGAAGAGCCTACACCAGTGTGGTACATTAGGAGGGTGGGTTCCACTGGGATGGATGGGATGTTGTTTTCCAGAGATAGGATCCCCCCTTCTCCGTTCCCTAATTCATCCCATTTTCAACACTTAACATCATGGGTGCTGCCTCTTTGCAGCAACATCTCAATTGACCCAAGGCTCCATCCATGTCCTCTTACCAGCTCGCTGTTGACCGAGAATCCGTGCTGAAAACTGCAGTAGGTATGACATACCTATACAGCATCGTTGCTCGCTAGCTGCACGGTAGCTAGCTCTAAGCTGATTTGCGGCTAGCGCCTTGAAGAATCCACCCGGCACTCTCAGACTCCCATCGTCGTCATATTCTCCATCGGACTTCATCATCGCTGTACATGCGCGTTGGGACGACGACTAGAGGCGAATCGGAGTCTCTCCACAGTTGGATCGAAAACAGACACCTCATCAGAATCGCGTTGCTGCGTCTCACAAGAAGATGGTCCACCGGCCATGAAGCCCAAAATTTAGTGTAGCCGCGCTGGATAGTACCCCCACCTGTTATGGCGATCATTTCCCACGCCTTTTGCACGACCGTCCGAACGTCCCGGAGCGTGGCGCTTCCTCTGAGACACTGGGGCTCTCTGCTGCGTTGCACCAAACTGTCTCTCCCGCTCGGCAAATAGGGGACCTGATTGATCATCCATCCATCTCACGCTATCTACCATCCGAATCGTCGTGTTGAGCAGGGGGACGGCATGATGAAGGGCTAGACCACCATCCGATGCGCACGCACATGGCCGCCACCTCTCGAGCTCTGGAAAAGAAAAAAAAGCATGCTGTACTCAGTATGTAACATTCACTCGCAAGCCACTCTCAACAAAAGATTATAGTCAGGGTCGTGATAAACATACCTGCGTACTGACTAGTATGGACTGCAGAAAGTCCGCGTCGTAAAGGGCCGAAGAGACCGCACACCATCGGTCGCCAACACAAGTCAGTGACGACAAGCGTGCTTGCCGAGTCCGGTGTGCACTCCCGAGAAGACATGAATATACGTAGCGGCAAGCTGGTCGGAGGGCGAACAGCAGAAACCCGAAGCGCGGGAGGACAACTGTCATGGTGCACTAACAATGGGTCAAGCTGGACTTAATACGAGCGTCCGCCGCGAATCTATTCCACGAGCAGACGGCATCGCACAAGCGGCGTGTCTTGGCAGCGGTGGGTACAGCGGTGGCACTTCTGAATCTCACAACTCATGTGTCGCCAATGGCTCTATGTACCTGTATGCTGTTGCTGTCCTCCGACGGATGACGCAAACTTGCAGCTCGACGAGACGAAGGTCTGGCAAGCCGTGCTCTTTTCCCCTAGATGGACGATCGTCTTCAAGCCTCTCTGTCTCTGATTCCCTCCTTCCCGCCGCCCCTTCCTTCCTAAAATTTCAAGACAACTGGAGATGGAGACCCCCACTCTTCGCCCTGGTCGTGGTCCCACCCATCAAGGCTGACGTCACGTCGCATTCTCCCCTGTCCTGCTTTCTTTCGACGGTACCTATCCATCCTACCTACTGGTAGGCACCTAGGATCGGCCCCTCGCCCGCCATCCCCCTGCCAAGACACATACCCACGCAGTACATACCCTTAATCCACAGCTCGGTCCACCGCTCCCCGAACACTCACAGTTTCTAACCTCCGATACCGTCACTGTCCGTGATCCCTACTTTTGGCGCAGCCTTGACAGTGCCGACCGTCGGCCAGCGCCTTCCAAGCACGGAGCCCAACTGATCTCGTGGAAAGTTCTAGCGAGCATCTGGAAGAGAAGGGGAGGGAAGGAAAGGAAATGAAAGGAAAGGAAAGGAAAGATGCCCCCAAATCAACTAGGCCTGGACCTTTGAACTCAGCAAGGTCCGCGAGCCAGTCTTCGGTCAAGCCAGTCATCTCCATCCTGACCACCACCATTGAATACACACACTACTGAATCGCTCGCAGACTTTTGGAGGATTGAGATAAAAGCAAGCGCATCGGCCGCCCGTGCCACCTTCCTAAACAATAATCCCACCATCTCGCGGCGCGAGACATGCTATAACATCACATCCACCACCAACTGCATCCTCAACAAGGCCATCTTCTAGCGCCTCTGGAACAAGGGCTCTTCTGAAAGCCTGTCTCCTCGTCGCACGCCCCTGGTTGTCTTAGTGCGGGAAGGGGTTTCCAAACACACCACCACACCATTCGCGGCTTACCACATCGGGTCTCCCGCTGGTCCCGCCGCCCATAGGACGTTTGCCACCACACAGCCGCCATTGTCCATGCCATCGACAACGCCGCTGGATGCAGGTACCGCACGCGTTTTCGCTGGCAGCCTGGTTGCATCAGTGAAGAAGTTGTCTCTCTTGCTACCTACTTGAGTCCCAAAATAGCTACCTGAACCGTCGTTCCTGTTTTTATTTTATTTTTCCATTCATGACACCTAGCCACGACAACAAAGTCTGTGTCCATCCACTGCCCAAGTCGTGGTTCGTTGTGACGCGGATGTGGCAATGCCTCTTCCGAAGCGCACATCTGTGCCCCAAGACACTAATAGCCCTTACGTCAATGGATTCCAGGCTGCTTAATATCGTTCGCTGTCCCATCACCGAGGCTGCAACGCCTACCAAGTCAGCCGCATACATACATTGTACATAGTACGTCACATTCCCGGTAACACAGACACGGTCCAGTAGTATCGGTCAAGCTTTCCAACCCCCAAAAATCATCTGCACGCATCTCCCAAACATACCATCCTGCAATGTCTGTCCGGCAAAAGTAGCGACCGATGTCGGTCCAAGAAAACAAAGTCGGAGTTGGCCCAAATCCCCCCTAGCTATCGTCCACGGTGCCCCGGCCGTCAAGGCAAGCCAAGGGGAAACACGCATCACCTCACGCCACATTTCCCTCGGCTTTTCTCCCCTTCCTTTTGTGCAGCTGTCTACCAATCATCAATGCTCTGAAACTTCAACACCTTGGCCATACCTCCCCAATTGTAGAGCAATCAAGTCGGTTGAAATTGAGAATGCCAGATCACCTGAGCCCTGGCAAGTACCGGAAAACCAAGCCATGGACGCACGGGGAACAGGCCATCGGGAGCCCCGTGATCAACAGTTCGAACGCTCCTACCTACACCAATTAGTGCCGGCCGCCAGACTACCTACCCTTCCCCAGCCATAACCTGACGGCGGGCCCTAACCTTGCCATGCTCCTCTCCGAGACCCCCGGGGAAGAGCCAGCAGCCACCCGCTCAGCATGGCCGACCGGGCACGATCGCACGGGAGCGGGAACACGAGGATAGATAACACCGGCTGCGCCGCGACATTTCTTCACATGCAAGGCTCCTAGTGGGTAGCCGCCTAATTATCCCGCCTACCCCCCTAACATTAACCATCACTACTACCACCATGTCTTTCATGCCAGTGCGCGCGATAACAGGAATGAAAAGGGGTGGGCGGTGGTACCGACGCGACCCAATGAAGAGAGTTTCCTTATCTCTCTCCCCCCCAAAGGGGCGCTGCTGCTGCTGCGAATCATGCTACCGCTGCCGTCTCGGATCCATGCATTTTTGGTATTCTACTGTCGTGCGGCTCCTTCAAGCAATATACTCGAGGGGGACTCAAGTCGATGGCATGTTATGCCGCCGCCCCCCCTGAATTACTGCACAAGGAAAAGCACTATCCGTACATACGAGCGAGTTATCTTTACGAGATGTGGAAAACATGACCCATGGCTCGGATGACGGTTGAATCAGGAAACACTGGTTGTTCCCAAGATACCCGAGGGAAGAACAGAGAAGAAAGAAAAGAAAAAAAACTAATTGTTTTTAATGATGAAAAGCCCCCCCCCCCCCCCCCCCATACTTTTGTCACCAAAATCCCCAACGTCCATGGTTCCAAAAGTGGAAGCGACCAGAATTTCGACCGTGTCAACGAGCACCCGTCGCCTGCGGACCCTTCGGCCCAAAAACAAAGATAAAATAAAATAAAAATAAAAACCTCGCAGTCCGAACGACGTCGCAGACTCACGAGGCTGAGCTTTCCTTTTCCCTTTTCCCCCGGTCGAAAGACGGGGGTTCTGCCGCGCCGCCATCGTCGTTGGCTTTGGTCCGGGGGCGTTTCTGTGAAAGAACGGTAGCGATGGGAGATTGGGGCGGGGACCCTCCATGGAAAGTAGTTGAGGCTCCACGGAGCCCACCCCGACGAAACCCCTTTCCCTCCCTCCGGCGTCCGTCGATACAGTTCTGGATCGCTTAAACGAAATCACATGGGGCCACTTCTTTTTTTTGGTGAATTGATCTTTTCCCTTCATCTTTCTCTGCCAAGTGTCTCTTCTCTAAATGAAGCTCTGATGGCTGGTTAGTTTGTCAATCATCAAATCCCGAGCGCCATCTGCGCGCATCTTGCTCTCTCTAATCCTGGCGCGCGCACCTTAACCGCTGTCCGGGTCTATATCCATCGCTCAAATGTTTGCCGTTCCGTGATGCACGCACTTCATCTTTTCCTAGTACCATGGAAGCCAGCCTCGGCCTACAATACGCCTGTGGAACATTGGCGCTGCCTAAGCCCAGTTGATGCTCCAGTCCTCTCCGATGCGGGCACCGACTCTGCCCACAACAGCGTACGCCGCGCGACCCTTGTCCGCCGCATGATACTGCACGGGGACAGTCCAGGTCTTGCCCTCAGACTCGATAGTGACCTCCGTCTTGCTGATAGCGCCCGGCGCGCCAACAATGACGATCTTGTCGACATAAACCTCCTTCATGGCCTTGAGCCAGGAGCCAGCCTTGATGGACTTGACATCGCGGCCCTCAGCATCTGAAGAGGTGAGGGTGCTGCCGACAAGGTTGAACTTGCGATAGATGTACTGGCCCTTCTCGTGGTCGAACGAGTCGCCGTCATCGACGTACAGTTCGCCCTCGGCTTGGCCATCCTTGCTGACGCTGACAACCAGCGTGTAGTCGTCGAAGCGCATGAGCTTGGTCGAACGACGGGGGCGGTCACGGCGCGGGAAGATGTGACCGCCACGCATGAGCAATGCGACCTGGTCGATGGCAGCAGCCTTGGTAATGTACTGGCCCTTCTTGGTAGGAAGCTTCTCGTAGGTGAAGTAATCATAGTAGACCTCGTCATCGGGAATGAAGATGTCGACAGACTCCTTATCCTTCTCTACAACGGGCTTGTGAAGCAGGCCGGTCGAACCAACGAACAGTTGGTCGTCAATGGCAAACCCAGACTCCTCATTGGGGTGAGTCCAGAACATCGGGCGCACGATCGGGCCGCCGTCTCTGTGCGCCTGGAAGAAGGCGGTGTACCACGTGGGCATTAGGCTGTATCGGAGACGGAGGGCTGCCGTGAGGATGCTTCTGAACGGCTCCTCGAGCATGTAGGGTTCGCGACGACGGGCGTCAATGTGAGCGTGGCCACGGAAGAAGGGGTAAAAGGCACCGCCCTGATACCATCGGGCCATGAGATCAGGCTCGGGGTTGCCGAAAAAGCCGCCAACGTCGGCACCAGCAAAGGGGAAGCCGGAGATACCCTGGTTGAGAATCATGGGAAGGGCAGCGCCCAGGTGCTCCCACGACGCCTGGTTGTCGCCGGTCCACATGGCACCGAGACGTTGAGAGCCGGCGTAGAAGGAGCGGGTGAGGACGAAGGGTCTGCGGAGCTCGCCCTTCTTGCGGGTAAGCAGGGCCTCGAAGGTCGCATTGTGGAAGGTCATGCCGTTGATGTTGTGGACGTCACGGTGCTCCCAGCCACCGTGGTGGATGTTGTCCTTGGGCATCGTGACCTCGGGGCCGTTGAAGACGGAGGGCTCGTTCATATCGTTCCAGATAAAGGTGTTTTCCATCGTGCCCTTGAAAGTGTCGTAGTTGAAGAGGCCCTTCCACCACTCAACCGCCTTGGGGTTGAAGCAGTCGACCCAATGCGACGAACCAGGCCAGCACCAACCCTCAAAAGGCTTGCCCTCCTTGTTCATCACGGCAAGGTCCTTGGAGTTCATCTGCTCCACGATGTCGTACTTGCCCTCGTTCTTGATATGGGGGTCGATGATGACCACGAGCTTTCTCCCATGCTCGTCGAGGGCCTTGCCCATGCCGATGGGATCCTTGAACATGTCACCATCCCAAGTGAAGTACTTCTTACCGTCGGTGTACTCGATGTCGAGCCAAATAACGTCGTAAGGCATCTTGAACTTATCAAACTTGCGGTCAACTTCCTTGACATCATCGTCCGAGATGTAGTTCCAGCGGCATTGGTGGTAGCCGAGCGCGAACTCCTGGGGCATGGCGGTAGTGCCAGTAAGCTCTCCGTAGTTCTTAGAGACGTCCTTGGGGGTAGGGCCCAGGAAGACGAAGACGTCGAGAATGCCAGCCTCGGAAATCCAGTGGGTTTGGGTGATGGTCTTGGAGTCAGCTCCGAGAGCCATTGGGTTCGAAGAGCTTGTGTCCTTGATGATGTCGATCCAAGTCTCGGCACCGTTGAGCCAGAAAACACCGACGGTGGAATCCTTACGGTGCGCTTGCATCAAGGGAATGGCTCCGTAAAGAGTCATCGGGCTGTCAAGGACGTACTCAAAGACGTCCGAGTTGTAGAGCCTATAAGGTTCGGTGTACTTGCCGTCGCCGCCTCGGGTCTCCTTCAGAGACAGCGGGCCAGCGTGCTCGGGGATGCCGAAGACGTGATCATAGCCAACAAAGGAAATATCAAGAGCGACACTCTCGGGGCCACGGGGCTTGGTATCGGTGTTACCGCCAAAGGTCTCGTCCCACCAGGTGCTCTCATCCTCCGTCTTGACGTCAGTGGACTCGGCGGCGTCTGCCGTGTCGGCAGTCTCCTCGCCCTCCTTCTTTTCCTCGACGGGCTTGTCGACCTTGGGACGCCAGTGCTCCATGTTGAGCAGGCCGCGGTCATTGAGCTTGATGTGCGAAGAACCATCGCGTTTGAAGTCGACACTAAAGGGAGTGAACTTGATGACGGCCTCGAACTTGGACGAGGGGCCGTATTGGATGGTGATCTGGTCCTTGTCCTGGTAGGCAACCTTGGCGTCCTTGTCCAGGTTAAGACCGCCGACAATTGTGTGCTTTTCGGCCTCGTTATAGCGCTCCTTGCGGACAGGGCTGTCGTTGCGCAGCACAATGTCGCCCTTCTGGCGCTTTTCCTCATCGACGCTTACGCGGGCGGTGCCGGACTCGAGGAAGGAGACGGTAAGTGGAAGGCGGACGGTTTCCTGGGCATCGTTGATGGTCTTGAGGATAACGGCTTGGAGCTGACCGTCCTTGAAGGAAGCGGAGTCGGGGAGGATGTTGTAGGGGGCAGCCCAGGTTGAGGCCTGGGAGACGACATTGTCGGCGTACTCGCGGTTACGCTTGCAGAAGCCGGACTGGTGGCACTTCTTGAAGTCGTTTTCCTTAACCATGACTGCGATTGTTTGTGTCAGAACGGCGTTTGAGCTGAAGCCAGATTGGTAAGGCGAAGCAGGACAGAAGTCATGGCGTCACAGAGAATTCCTCACCTGCAGGCTGGATCATGCAGCTCAGTGCCGCCAGTACACCAAAGAAAGCTGTCCATTTGCTGGACAACCTGCCGAGGGACCGCATGGCGGAAGGGGGGATATTGGTGATCGCGCTGCCGTCTATATAGTTGAGAGATAGGAAGAGAACTGCAAACAATAAGAAGGCACGGGAGCAAAAAGAAGGCGGCTCTTCTCTGCGGTGCTCCCTCGTTGATTGTTTAGATGGCTGTACTTGGTGGATTGATGGGATTGGGTTGGTCGTGGGTGAAAGGTACTTGCGTCAAGGTGAGACGCCCAAAGTTCAACAGCTGTCCACTCGGTAGCTCCGATTCCGGGTTAGCGTGGGACGTCTAGCTGCAGCAGCCAGGGGAGGCTTGGGGAAGGAACGTTTACTCGAATAGCAAAGAGTTGGATTGGTGCATACACCCGCTTGATGCAAATTACCCCGCCATCAGAGGAGAGCGCCCGAGGTGCTGCAGTCTATCAGGGTCTAATTCGCAGACACGTGTACCAATTATGGAGCTGAGGTGGATGGTTGCACCGCCCAGAACCAGTTGGCATTTCAATTGGCATTATTTCAGATGGAGTTATTTGTTTGACGTGCAGTCTCAGCCAGTTGAGGCGGTGAGAGGGTTATTTCTCTATCAGGTCTGGGTTTCTAATGCAGTTAAGCACTGGTGGGGACTGTGTGTGCCTGAATCGACATGGTCCTTTCACTGTGCAACTTTTCAGGCACTCACTTCACTCACTCGCAACAAGCTTGCTTGCATTGAATGTAAACAAGACAGCATCCAAACTTCCTTTCCACAATCCCAGCCCTTCGACAGTCAGTGTCCCGATTATAAGAAGGACATATAGGTTGAAAACTTCTATTTCGAAAAAGCTACGAGTAAGCAAACTCACCCTAACCTCAGTCTCCGACTACCTACCTAGGTACTCAACACACAGTAGCAGCATTAAGAGAAAGAAAAAAGATAGATGGTCTGGTTACAGTGTTCAACTGCCGTGTTCCAAGCTTATGTCACTGTATAGCCCTCTTACGTAAGGTACTTGCATATCTGCCTATCTTCTTCCTACCTTCCGTACTACACAAGTTAGAGGGCAGGAGTATCCGTACTTGGCAGCGTGTCGACAGTCAAACCATGGCTGAACCCGGATCCGGACCCCACTATGCGCAGGACGGTGACCCCGCCTCGAGGCACAAGAAGCAGCAGAATAATGCAGACACGAGCTTCCCCGAGTACGCCCGCCGCACCGCAGAAAAGCTGCCCCCACCTACCTTCATAATTCTCGCGCTTCTCTTCGGCTTGTACATAATTTTTTCCTCGAGCCAACAAAACCAGCGGTCAGCAGCAGACCTTTCTTCTCCCGTCGTCCCCTCCGTTGTCACCACCACAATCTACCAACAACATCAACAACAAACTCCTCTTCCCACAGACTTTGTCGTTGACACATCACCCAAAATGGCTTCTGAGCAGACGTAAGTTTGAAATCTGTCCATTGCCCTGCACCACCCCCGTCGTCACTGCTGCCTCTTTTTGTCCCTCTGCCGCCACCCTGAATAATTACCCCGCCATCGTGGGACAGAAAGAGGTTTCGGGCTGAGAGGGGCACACAACCATCACCACCACCCGCCGAATCTAAAAAGACAAAATCCGCTGACTTGGAGACAGCTTCATTGCCATCAAGCCCGATGGCGTTCAGGTACGCTTCATCATCCCTCGGCAACGCTGCCAATTGCCTGCTTCAGCAAGCTAACTACCTTTCAGCGCGGCCTGATCGGCCCCATCATCTCTCGCTTCGAGAGCCGTGGGTAAGTCTTCCTGTTGACAGTTATTGTCTGCAACTGATCCTGACATTTGTCCTACGCAGCTTCAAGCTCGTTGCCATCAAGCTTATGACCCCCGGCAAGGCTCACCTCGAGGCTCACTGTTAGCACTCCCCGAACCTCCCCCCGCCAAACCGCATCGCTAACCGCCCGCTAGACGCTGACCTCAAGGACAAGCCCTTCTTCGGTGGCCTCATCGAGTGTATGTTGTTATCTCCTCTTGCGCCGCATCTGATTCAGAGCTGACAACCCCGCAGACATGAACTCTGGCCCCATCTGCGCCATGGTCTGGGAGGGCCGTGACGCCGTCAAGACTGGCCGCAGTAAGTCCCGCAAATGACCCAATCCACCACAATCTCCTGCTGACTCCCATCTCTTCCAGCCATCCTCGGTGCCACCAACCCCCTTGCCTCCGCCCCTGGCACCATCCGTGGCGACTACGCCATCGACGTCGGCCGCAACGTCTGCCACGGCTCCGACTCCGTCGAGAACGCCAAGAAGGAGATTGCCCTCTGGTTCAAGGACGGCGATGTTGTCCAGTACAAGTCTGCCCAGTTCGACTGGATCTACGAGAAGCCTTAAATTTCTTGTCTCCTAATCGCATGAGCCACTTGACGTCCCTGATCCCTTAATCGGATGAGTGGGGCGCGTGTTGGCATGTCGATAGGTTGATACAGAAAAGTCTCAAAGTCAATTAAAACAAAAGCCCGGCGTTTAAAAGCCACACCAACTTGTCTCCTCGAATTTTGAACTCCTATTGTGACTACTATCGATTCGATCTGAAAGCCCCGCGGGCCCTCCCCATTACGCCCGCAAACCACGGCGTCCCCCAAACACTAACAAGTATCCGCGCCGGCAGCAGCGCCTTCGTGATCGCCCATGCCATGGCCACCTCCACCACGACCTTGTACTTTCCGTCCTGCTGCCACCGCTCCAGGAGATCCTGCGTACTGTGCCCAGGGTTCTCTGGCGCGTCTCCCGTCTCATAGTCCCCGCTCTTGTCCATCTCCCTTGTCATGGTCCCGCGGTCCCCGGCCTCAAACCCAAACCACCCCTTCCTGCTGAAATACCTCTCTGCCATACCGACGCCGTCGCGGACGTAGCCCGCCCAGTGGCCCGAGACGTACTCGAGAGGCAGAAAGTCGGTATAGTGGAAGAGCCCGAAGAGCCCAAGCAGGGGCACGACGGCCGTGATTTCGTGAAGGACGAGGAAAGCGACGACGTGCGACAGGGGCGCATTGCGGAGGCCCGTGGTGTATTTCTGGAAGCGGAGGGGGACGCGGTCGAGGAGGCGCTGGGCGGCGCGGGAGGTCGAGGAGGAGGAGGAGGGATTCGTCGACGAGTTGCGAAAGGCAGTTCTTGTTGTCGGGGACCGGCGTGGTCGAAGGACCGGCCGCGCCCTGGCGAGCGAGCGGCTTGCGAACATGCTGCAGAGGCCAATTGTCTGATTCGCGAGCGCCAATTGCAAAAAAAGGATCGAATGGGTGACCGGATGGTAGAGTTGGACTGGATGGGAGTCGGGTGTTTGTGCTGGGAAACTGACGGGAGCTCTGGCGCGAGATGACGAGCAGAGCTCGCAGTGGGGCAGGAGGGAGGGAAAGCTTGGATGGAACTCACCGAGGTGACGGGGGCGGACCCGAATTGACCGCGCGGGCCGCCACACCGGCCGAGAAGCCAACGCCGCTCGGTAGCGATGGTCCGACATCAGTCGCACACAGCTTGTGCACATTACTTCGAGATCTTAATAAGTCTGCTCCACCAAGTTTTAAGTTTTTTTTTAGTTTTTTTAGTTTTTTTTTTTTTTTTTGGCAACTTTACACCTGACTGCAAATTATAGAGAGGTCAGCCGTCTTAGGACTTATTTAATCTAACTGAGAGGGAAGCAGGACCTAGTGACAATCATAGGTATAACTAAAAGCGTATGTCGTCACGGTTGCACGAATAACTTTAACCCCTGTTGAAACCCTAGTTTCTTACCACGTACTCCAATGGAACTGTCAGACTCAATTACTAGATATTTCAGCTAGAAAGTCACCGACTTCGTTCCTTCACAGCTGGGCGCACGTCTCACTGAGTGGCATAGACACATACTAATAAAACAATTCAACCCGAGGCTCCGAAAAGCAGAGGCGATATAATTGTGTAGTTACACTATCCCGTCAGTTTCTCGTCGAGGATGCCGACTGTCATACATGGACCCGTACACTAGCGTAGAATATCAATGCATCTCAAACACTCTTCTTTCGAACAGTCTCTGCTTGGCAGATTCCGGATCTAGGATCAGATGCCGCACCTCCTGGAATTCTGGTTCCTGGGGTATCCTTCTTCCAACAGCCAGTTCTCTTTCTCCCTCTACTTCTTCTCTCCGCCCAGCAGGACGAGAGGTTTTGAAAATGAAGCGCATAGAAGGAGTTCCGGGAGGCAATAACAGCCCGAGCACGTGGCGCAACTTCGCAAATACTGGCAGCAGGTCTTTTCTAGCGTACCGGGTGCCGCAACAATCGACAGTCGGTTGCCGCCGCCCTTGTTCGGGCCCACTGGAGTTGAGGTAGGTGTACGTGAAGCGCATGAGGAACCCGTCGCGCTTGTCTCCGTCCCACACGATAAGGCTTTTAAGGTTTGGCATAGACACAAAAGCGAAGCGGCCTGCCATATAGATGAGGCCGAAGAACCTTGTCGCGCGGCAGCTAACGCGGGTATTCAGGAGATCGGACGTCATGACCAGGTGCTCGAGCCGGGGATGAACCGGACGTCCCCGAAGAAGATCACCCCCTACAAAGTCCTCGAACGAAACTGTGTACGTCGCACAGAAGGAACGCAGGCGCCTAACCAGCATGGCGGCGGCGATGCCCATATATATTCCGCCAAAACGCGGTTGGTAAAATCTGGAAAGTGTAATGGGAAGGCCGACATGGGTATCTTTGAGCTCGCATAAAAGACTGAAGTGGTCGATGGTGGTAGGCAAGGCGGCAAAGAGGCTCTGGTATCCACCCATAGACTGTCCTGCTGGTATACCGAAAGCCCTCCAAGTCTCGCGCCGGAAGCTCTGTAGGCTTGGGAAGCCTTGGCGGATTAGACAGCCAATTACCAGAAGAGAGATGGGTCTGTAGTAGTGGCGGGGAAGAACCAAAGAGGTGATGGCTGGGGCAGAGGGAATTCCCTTTAGGATTGGATGCGGTGGAGTATCCCTATGCCCCTCTGTGAATACTTTAGAAAAGTGTTGCCGTCGGAAATCGCCAAGCGTTGCCAAAAGTCTCTTTTGAGAGGGTAGGGAAGGCGAAGAACACTTGACATTATTGTTGCGGGTCCACCCGGGACAGGTGCTCTTCTGGTTCTCGACGGCCTCCTGAGCTCTCCAGAGGACATCTGCATGCTGCTCATGACTGGTATACGGCGCCCCGTACTGGTATTGGTCGGAAAAGCGGTAGTCGCGGAAGCCATGTCTGCCATCGCTCGGTGAGTAGGCCCCAAGGTCCAGAGTTATTCCAGAATTATGCTCTCTCTTTGGCCACGCCGACATGATGTTCATAAAACGCCGCAAGACGTCAATAAAAACCTCGTCATTAGAGCAGGCGGTTGCGTCGTCTTCTTCTTCGTCGCAGGCAGGACAGCCGTAGTCAGGAAGTCGGATACGCAGCACAATGCGTTGTACGTAATTGCGCCGGGCTTCGTTATCACTGACAAGCTTCTCAAAGTCGCCAAGCCTGTCTTGATCGAGCACCAGGAGGCGGTAGTTGTCGTGGGCAAACCAGCTGTGCCACTCGCGGCATACAAGAAGAAGCTGTTGGTTTGCGATATTCGTTGCAATCGGCTGAAGGCTTTTGATGTAGTCTCGAATCATCCATCGAATCTCCAAGGGGAGGCAATTCCAGTCGGCAGCCATATTGACGGCGGACTATCATAACAAGCTGGATTTCGTTGTGGGGTGTTGAGTTGTAGAACAGGCAAGACAGTCACAGCAACAGGTGTGAAGTACTAGGCATAGTAACTAGGGAAGCTATCTCCGAAAGCTCTGGCAACTTTGATTGGTAAAAAAGTTTAGTCACAAGATTGCATGGTACTGTGTTTCTATCTAGAAAGTTAGAAACCTTCCTCTATTGAGTTGGGTATCGGGCATGATACCTATACCGTGTCTTCTTGACGGTAACTATTATTGTATACCTGTGCGAACTTAAGAGGGACCGCCTTAGATACGTACCTGATTTCGCCCGTCTGGCTCCCGTTTTTGTTCAACCGCCGCCCGTCCTCTCAAATATCGCTATAATAACCCTCGCTCGGCCAAGCAACTTATGCGCATGGTTTTTTCTCTCGATACAGTTAGCCCTTCAAGCGGGCTTAACCTAGAGATTTCTCGTTTGGCTCAGTGACTTTGATAAAGAGCATGTTGCAGGAGCGACATCAGTGATAACATCGGGATTATTGGCGAATCATAAGCATTCTGAAGAATGTTTTGCTGAGGTGTACTCTATTCCATCAGAAATCAAACAAAGTGTACTTGTTAATTATCGTTTCTCACAAAAACCTAGCATTCTATACAATGATGTCGAAACTACATGTGATGGTCTTGGAAAGTAAAAACAAGAAAAGTAAAAACAAAAACCACTATTCCCTGACAGTTTATGGGTCAATAGATCTTGTGTTCCGAGCTATCGTCGAACTCAAATGTAGGTGCCAATAAAACGTGCCCCTGTAGCCCAGTTTCTAGTCGATAGAAACCCCACGTGAAGAGATAAAATTATGCTAGGTCTTAGTAAACATCGGATGAACATCAATCCTTGTAAGGATAATCCATCAAACACTTCTTCGCCGCATTTTGTATACATCATTAGCACAGGAACTCTCACGAGCTAGGGCACACAGCAGATAGGGAGATACGAATGAGTGAAGAAAAGGCTTGAATTGTGTGAAGACAAATCTCCCGGGTGGAGGGCCCATATAAAGGGGGGCCCTCAAGCTCGTTCATGTGACATGGCACGTGGTGTGGCTGATGGCAACCGCCACACATACATGAGCCTCCTGTGATAGGAACTCATTCCGTTGCCATGCAGTAAGCAGTTTGCGCCCCTGACTAGGAGGAGCAAACATCTTTAATGGGTCGCAATGCAGGCCTCTGGCATTGCAGCATGGATTTCTTGGTAGTGGGTTAGCTGAGAGACGAAAGAGAGGGAGGGAACTGTACGTAACCGTCAATGTCCGCCATACGTGACTCAGCGTTGTTGTGTAAACAGAAGAATTGCTCGCTGTTTGTTCAACTATTGGTGCAAAGCAGGGGTCGGTCTGATTACTTGCCCAGCGCATCCGGTGCCATAATTACGAGAAAAATACCGCCAAGTAAGCTTTGTTAGCGGAAAGGCGGGTAGTGGATGACGATGCGGTCCCTCCAACCAAGATCTGGGCGACGGCGCAAGTGGAGACACGGGCTGAGCTGTCGATCACTAGCAGTGTTGCTTGCTTTCCCACCAAGATCGATCCAATGGAAAACCGGAGAGGGACGGTAAAGAGGGTGGACGTGGCTGGCCAAATACGAGGTCCATGAAAACGTCATGCGGATGGGACAGGTCTATTTTGGGTGGAGTGACGCTGCTGCGTTGCTTAAATACTTGAGACTCCTACACGGAAAAAACGTTTCAGGCCGGTCTGATCAGGTCTCCGGAAACGCTTCTTCAATACTCTAATTCTAATAAGTCGACGACCATGTACTTCAGAAGCGCCATCATCTCCGGTCTGGCCACCACCGCCCTGGCCCAGGTGCAGCAAGGATTCAACTACGGCGCCACGAACGAGGACGGCTCATGCAGAGGCTACGATGACTTCCGGGGCTATTTCGAGACCGCAAAGAGCCTAGCTGGTGCGGGATCCTTCACGTCGGCCCGCCTCTACACCTCGATTCAGTGCGGCACCGTGAACGACCCGATCTCAGCTTACCAGGCCGCCATCGACACGGATACATCAATCCTGGTCGGCCTGTGGGCCAGTGCCGGGCGTGGCGTTTACGAGAATGAGCTGAACTCTCTTCTTCGCGCGGCAGAGCAGTACGGTGCGGCCTTCACCGACCGCATCGTTGGCATCTCTGTCGGCTCCGAGGACCTGTACCGGAGCAGCCCGGAAGGCGTCGCCGCCAACGCTGGGGTCGGAGCCACCGCCGCCGAAATTGAGGGATACATCGGATGGCTCCGCGATTGGATCCGCGGCACCGCCTTGGAGGGCAAGCCCATCGGTCACGTCGATACTTGGACTGCCTGGGTTCGTGGTGAGAACGCGGGGGTAGTCAGTTCTGTAGAATGGCTGGGACATAACGGTTTTCCGTTTTTTGAGTCTACCAAGCCCAACGCCATCGAGCAGGCTCCTGACAACTTCTGGTCTGCGGTTGGACAGACCGAGAGCGTTGCAGGTGGCAAGCCTGTATTCATCACTGAGACAGGATGGCCGCACAGTAAGTCAAACCTCACAGCCCTCGTGTCTCACGGAAGTCGTTCAAGGTCTCGGCGCTAACAAACCTTTCAGTCGGCCCTCAGCAAGGCGCTGCCGTTGCTTCCGTCGACAACGCTCGTCGTTACTGGTCTCAGGTTGGCTGCGCTCTCTTTGGACAGCGCAATGTCTGGTGGTACACCCTCGTTGATGCCAACACCGCTCAGACTGACATCTCTTTTGGTGTGACGCCGGTTGGAAGTAGGCAGCCCGTCTTTGACTTGACCTGTTGATTGGATCCTACAAGGCTTGAAGACCGGAATGACAGGAGGAACTGTATCTGTTCAGTGTCGAGTACATAGATCAAACTGTAACCTGGACAAAAACTTTTAATGATAATCTTTCTTCAACTTATATCCATGCGCAAAATTATCGTAGAATGTCTTTGATGGGGCGTTCAAGTGGCCAATGAGTCTCAGCCTACTTTCGGGATGCTTGGATGGACAAGACACTCAGTGTTATGTCAGATTCAGTGTGACTTGTCAGCAGTCGTGGAGGTCTATGCAGATCGCGCGTAGTAGAATCATGCCAGAGGGAGTCATTTTCACTGGCCAATATGAATATGCTCCCACTTTTCCCATTCTACGTTTCTTCTCTTGTTATGGTGCCCAATCAGTATCTGAGATACTGGAGATATGTCAACTTTGGAACAATCTCCGTCTAAGACTTCTGGGTCATATGTGTAGGACTGGTACTCAATAATCGAAGAGTTTCGATATCATTGTCTTATTATTGCTTTGGATTGACCCCTGTTACTTGTCACTTACGGAAGATGGCGAATCGAAGTTTAGTATTGCTCAGGTTCATCTACAATGTCACTGAACATCTAAGGGCCTCCACGTTTATGAACTAAAATACTTGTAATTTATAGGACTAAAACCAGGACGGTATAAACACATGCAGCATAGGTAGAGGCGTTTTCTAACCGATACTGATCTGCTCATTTGTGCGGTTAAATCAACTCTGAAACTAGCTTTTGTCACGCTGGCCTTCCCCATTCCTCCGTCTACGCCTTCGCTGATGGCACCTACCATCGTAAAGCTCTGTCAAGTATCACTCACTTTGATAAGACTGTCAAAGTCGTAGGGTTAGGCTTTTACAAGAGGATGGATGGACCGAGTTGATGCGTATCATTGCCATTGTTTCTGGTCGTATCTTTAGCATACCCAAGCTCTGTCAGAGAGAAATGTACAAGAACGTCACAGTTGATTCCACCTTTAAGCAAATCACGAGAAAGATATCCTAGCGTAGTACATAGAAAGATAGTACAGTAGCAGATTATGCGAGGATGGGATCCATAGCAGCACATTTTTGTCACAGGACATATTAGGCGTTAATCGCAAGCAGCAATTAACGCCTAATATGTCCTGTGACAATTTTCTTCCGTGATAGGAAGCTTATGTGTAGCCAAAGCATGTTCTCCTCGAAGCCAACATTAGAGATTTGTCTAGCGACAGCTCATAAAACAACAGCAATGTGCAGCCTACATAGGTTCTTCTATTGTTCATGCAAGAAATTATCGAATTTAATCTGAGTCATTTTGTAAAGAATGTCTTTCCACTCCTTTTCTGACAGCTCGTCACCCATGAACAGAATCAAGCGGTAGGGATAATCTGCCATGCATTGATGCTGACGGAACCATCTCCGGGGGTCGACTCTCCCACCACGACGATGTTGTTCAACCAGTAGTACTTCTCGCTTCCAGTCTCCAGCGTGATACGTGTCACGGGATGCGGGCCGTTCTGTAAGCCTGGCCCATTAGCGCGTACCAGGATATTGGCACCGTCGTTTGTCTGGAACTGGTAGTGCGCGTTCGCAAAGAATGTTCCTTTGCCGTCAATGAGACCTAAGTCGGCCCCCACATTCAGAACCTTGCCTGAAGTGCTGAGTTAGTTTTGGGTCTCCGCCAAGCTGCACAGCCGGATGCATTGAATACATACCAGACAGCTTTTGTCTAAAGAATTCCCCACCCGTGATGGGAATAGACAGCCGAGTTCCTTTAGGGCCGGGACCGAACAAGAGAGCATCTCCAAGCGCCAAATTTAGTTAGTAAAGAGGTTCAAGCTTAGGTGTTCCAGGGGAAACAGGGCTATCGGCAACTTGGTCAATCAAAGAGAGCAGAAGGCCAACAGAGGCAGAGGTGAGGAATTTCGAGAACAGCATTTTAATGAATATGTTTAAGAGTTTGCGTGGCGGTTTCTGGTAAGTGGCCAAGAGGACTGGGATGAGATGGAAGTGATGACAACCTGTGCATCTGTGGACCTCCTTATGTACTTTTTCACAATGTGTTGTCGATGAGATAGGTGCCTTCATAGTTCTTACTATCATGGAAGAGGCATATTTCCTAGACTCTAACGCTGTGCTCTAGGTGACGGGCGAAGTTTAATCCAGCTGAGTGCTTAGACGTCAGTTGGCAGGCCCGAATGATTGCTACAGTGCCAACTATCACGATGCCATGTCGATGGTTCGTCGTAGGCTCGCGTTGTTGAAAGGATCGGTCCCACATGCCAATTCAAAGTATCCAATAGCATTACTCGCCGCCGTCTGACTAGTGCCCAAGAGGCGAGGAGGGCGGCAAGGAGGAGGGAAACGATGAGGCCAGGCGCGCGGGTGTTCCTCCGCGATTGCGGGCGATCGGATCAGGAGGATGGCCGCGCAGGATAACGTGAGATTCAATTTGACGATCTGTGACAGACCAGACACTAGGCAACATCCTCCCCAAGGACTAATGCGATTCTATGTTCCAAAAAACGCATCTGATTACGACTTGGGATACGGAAGCTGAAATTGGCCGGTCTCTTCCTTTTCCTACGTCAACTACCTATATCTTTGTCGTATAGTAGTCAGAAGACAGAAAATGGGCACCGTTTAGTTTCCACGTGCATAGTATTTTCCGCATTATTGGTCTAAATTCGTGAACCCTGCATCCTTGGCTCACACACGCCGCCCCCCACAACAACTCATCAACTAAGGCAGCTCACACCCTTGAACCACAATGCGCAGATCTCCACGAACCGTTTTCATCCAATGTCGAGGTAGAATTCTGTCACAGTCGATCCCCGTACGACCCCGCCACCTCATGCCCTCCTTCAGCTCCTTTTCCGTGCCAAGCTGTAGTTTGACGTCGGTCACGGTGGTGTGTTCGCCACAATTTTGACACAAAATGCGTAGCGCTTTTCTCGTATCACGGTGTTCTCTCCTGGATTTCAACCTTCGCGTCTATTGAGAGGCCGTTTTCAAAGCAAGCACTATGGATTTGAAGAGTTTATTGATTGGCATCGTGGCACTTTCGACTGTAGGGAACGCTGCGACTGCGGGCTCTCGGGATTTCGACTACAGCGCGCTTAGTTTGAGAGAAGTAGGTGCCCGCAACACAAAGGTAAGCGATTCAGCCAACCCTCTCTGGCCTCATATTGTGCTCACAAAAATCGCAGAACTGGAGGATATGGCTCGAAAAGGACGGAGATCCCATTTCATTTTGGCATGACGTTCCTGTTTGGCCCGACGAGAGCAACAAGCAAATTGTGAATTTGGTCGTTGAAGTACCTCGCTGGCAAGATGGCAAAGTGGAGCTGAAGAGAGATGAGCCGTTAAGTCAGTCTGCAGCCGATTGGAATAAGTTACTAGGCCTAAGCTCATTGGATTCCACTCAGATCCCGTGGTTCACGACTCGTTGAACGATGCTCCCAGATTTGTCGAAAGTGTTTGGCCCCATAAGTCGTACCCATTCATTTATGGATCAATCCCGCAAACCTGGGAGAGCCCCAATTACAAGCACGGCTTTACCGGTTTGATCGGAGACAACGACCCGGTGGATCTGTTTGATATTGGCCAAGAGTAAGAAAAGACATGCAAGGTCTGGACCTTATGGCTCAACTGACACAGCACCCAGTCCTGGCTATGTTGGTCAAGTCAAGCAGGTTAAGATTCTTGGTGGTCTTGCGCTGGCTGATGTAAGTCTCAATCATGTCAAATTGGTGCGATTCTTGCTGAAACAGATCACAAATAGGGCAACGAGACGGACTGGAAACTCATCGCTATTGATACAAGTGATCCTCTCGCACCACTTATCAGCTGTAGGTGTACAATACTCTAATTTGGAACCAGCAATACTGACTCGCCCTAAGCGTACGAAGACGTCGAGAAATACCGCCCCGGAACTATCAAGGCTTTCCGTGATTGGTGGACCGTGAGTTCTGTTCAAGAGTGTCCTTACCTCGACTCACTACTGACCAGTATGCAGCATTACAAAGTGGCCCGGGGAGATGCCGTAATCGACATTGTCGGTGACTGGTACCAGAACGTAACCTATATCAAAGGCGTCATTGAAGAAAGCCATAAGACATGGGCCGAGCTTATTGGAGGCCAAGTTGACTCGAATGAAATCAACTACAACCAAACTTCGCGTCCAGACGTCGAGAAGAGCTTCATTGACAAGAGAAACACTACAGAGAGTTTCGGTATTCCAGCCCAGAACAGAATCGAACCTCCAGCACCGAGGCCAAAGAAGTACGACAACTGGTATTACCTGAACATCAACTCCAGTCTCAGCGTGTTGCCGGAAACTCAGCATGTATTTCTCAAACAGACTTGATGTCTTCTTGTCAAATAAAGTTCACATCTTCCATGAATGGGAAAAGACGTGATGAAATTCTGCTTTATTTCAGACGCAACATTAATGAATAACTCAAGAAATTATTCTATTTCTCAGTATGCTCTTCATTGCGTTATGGCCAGTGCTCTGGGTCGTGCGCATATTGGAGTGGTGAGAGTACGGATATTAACTATAGAGAAGAAAACTGGTAAGCAACGGTCATCCTCAGGAGTTATTTCCGCCCATATGTTCTGCAACGACTTTACATCATTCCCTTCTTTTCCTTCTTCAAACGTGGAGACCCTGCGCCCAAGACCCACAAATTCCCGCAGCCCTACCCGTAAGTTTAATTTTGACTTTTCCCGGGTCTGACCGAAACTTCCGAATCTGTCCATTTCCTCATCGCCACCTTTGGCACTCAACCACTCCGCGGGCGATGAAAGCTCCTAGGCTGTTGTGACGTTCTTGGCACATTAACCGTCATCGGCGTCAACAACTGTGAGACTTGGACATTTTTCGTACAAGGGATTTGAAGCTAACGGGTTCCTTCTAGGCTGATACGGCAATCCCCTTCATAACTCAGTCGTTCTTGCTCGCTGTCGATAAGGTTCAGCTGGGCATACCGGTCGCCAACTCACAAGTGACAACAAATCAAGTCAGTACTATTAGTGTGACGGCATGGACCACCCCGTCAGCCAGTTAGAAGACGCCCAGATGCAAATCGAGCAGAGTCACACCCCTTTCGGCGCCTTCATTAGCCAAGGTTCAACCGTCTTATATGATAACCCATCCACACCCCAAGCAAAGACCCTGAGTCCAACCAGCCCAAACAGAGAATTACTTGGTCCGGCTACTCCAGTTCAGTCGTATGGGCAAGCAAGAGCCAAAAAGTTGCAACAAAACGCTCGCGAAGCGAGATGGATTGCTCGCAATAGCGCCAATGAACCCCCAAGTCCGGCAACTCTCAATTCGTTGCACATGACCAGAGGCGGCATTGGGAAAAAGACGTCCAAAAAGTGGAAAAGCAGGGCCACAGACTCAAAGCTCTCCATAGAGTTGGACCGCCTTCTTGTTGGCAACGATGTATCCGCTACCTCGATACAGCAATCCCACGCTATATACCGCATCCAGCACCCCCTTCGAGCAGTGCTTCATAGCCTTCCGGGTTTCACCTACGATAACGAGCTGGACAGCGTCACGTTTAGGAAGCATAAACGTGTTCTGTTCGGGATCGAAGGCCTCATCGAGGAAGGTGGAAGAGACGCTGCCAAGGAATGGCTCGAGGGCTTCCTTCTGCTTACGTTCGAGACAATGACCAAGGTCTTGAAGAGCTATCCCCTATGCAAAGAGCTAGACGATGTCCCCAATGGATTCTTGATTTTGGCCAGGGATGTGGAGGTGGCCGTCTGTAAACTGCCCTGCCAGTCTGTCATGAGACCCCGACGAGCCATGGAGAGGCGGCTATGCCAGAGTTACGACTTGAGGAGGCTAGTAGAGTGGACTTTGGCAGCACGTCGACGTTTTCTGGAGTCAAAACCTAGAATCATGCCTGGGTTCGGTAAATTTGGGCAGGTCGCAGCGGAGAAGGGAACTGCTTTGGAAGAGCAATTGTGGGCTGTCGTCGATGCCCGGAGGACTGATACGGTGGACTCGAACGACCTCATTAGGTCATAGAGGGGATTTACATATTAGAAGATGGTAAGCTGTGTCAAAGCTCTCAAGGAGAAAAACTAGCTATCTTTACGCTACCAAGCTTCTACTTCCGAACAGGCTCACCGCTGCAGACTGCGGTCTTCTCAACATCATCGGTGCCGCCAGAGACTTTTCGGGCAATGCATCTACCAGGGTGCCAGATTGAAAGAAGGAATACACCCAACACAACTGGCGCAAACTCTAGAGTGCCGAAATAGGTCTCATTAGAGTTAAGCCTGCCCCCAAGACCCTCCGCAGTCTCTGAAAGACGAAAGCAAGTGCGCAGGTAGACGAGCAATGTAGCCGCCGCAAAGGCTGTGACAAAAGTCGTGAGTCTCTGTTCATTGATCCCGTGCCTGGCCCTGAAGAGGAAGATGGACGTGGTGATGACGAAGCATCCAATGGAGAAAACCTGGTAGGCCAATCCGCCAAGCAGGATGTTGTTCGCTATTTCCGGGTTCTCCCGGCGTGACTGCTTCACTCCGCTCAACGCGGCACCCGAGATCTGAGTTATGGTCGCAATAACATCAGAAGTGATGAAGAACCACAGCACAACCTTGGGCGGAAGTGGTGAGAACTGTCGTCCGAGTCGGTGGATGAGGGTTGAGAGAATTGTATAGATTCCTGCGGCGAGGAATACGGGAGCGGTGACGATGAAGAAGTAGTTAAGGATGAAGTATATGAGATGATAGGGGTCGACCTTGGCGGAAAGGGACCGTGCGATGTAACCGACAATCTCGAAAAGAAGACCGATGGGAACAGTGACGAAGTACCAGCTACGGTAATGAACCACCTGCCATGTATGGACGAATAGAAGGAGGAAAAAGAACACGTCGGCGATGATGGCGAGAACGAAAGACGGGGTGTAGCCGTATATGATGACCGCCGTATCCCATTCACCTCCCGGGCTGGGGAAGTTGGGGTCCGTATAGCCAAAACTACCTATCATTGGAATGTCAGTTACTGGCCTAGGGGTTTTTCTGGAAGCAATCAGACCGCTTACCTCTTTGTTCGCTCATTTATTTCGGTACGTCGGATGCGCCTGAAAGCGGTACTAAGCTTAGGTCCAATGTCAATAAATGTTGTGTTAATGTGTCTAAGCTTGGGTCGTTCAGCATGGCATAATAGTCCGTTATAATAACAGGTGGGAGAGCTGCTGAAGACTAGACTAGGCCCTGAACGGCTTACCACCATGTCAAGCTGAAACCTGGTGAGCGTTCATTCCTTGACAACGCGTATGTGTCGACCCGTGCTTTGAAGGCACTAATTTTGGCGGAGCCCCTAATAAATTTAAGGGCTGACCTCGGTTTAGAAAACCTCAGATAGTCTATTGTATCGTATACATAAGGGCTTAAGACTGAAGTCTAAAAGTAGTCCATGTTGTCTTCATCACTATTGAAGGATAGAAACTCCGTTTGATCTCCATGATGGCGGTTTAGGGCTGAAGTGTATGAATCATCGATCCACATGTCTTGGTGAGGGCATTTAAGCCACACACCGCCAAAGGTTCACTAGAATGTCTCGCTCCTACAGTAGGTAAATTAAGCATACGCCGTGTTGTGCTGTACCTATTGGTTGTGATTTAAATTACATTCCATCTGGTTAAATTAGTCCTTGATAGAAAAGGCTTCCCGTGCCGTTTTGCTACTCCTCGCGAGACGGTCCCCAAATTTAATAAAAACGAAAGGAATTATGCCCATTGCCAAGGCGATAAAGCCCAGGACAGAAGGTGCCCAGTGGACTCCCAAATTAGTGTACATACTGTTGGCCGCAAGTGGCAGTAGGATAGCACCAATCGAGCGCGTCATACTGGCGGCCGCATGCGCCGATGCAGAGTACTGACGGAAGACATCTGTCAGATAGTTTATCATACCCATGAAGAGCAGGGTGAATCCCCATCCGAAGAAGACTCCGCTGAGCATGGGCACGACAGGAGACGTTGACGGCCATACGGTCCATCCGAGCCAGAACATAGCTATTACCATTCTAGCAGGAACAACGTCAGCAACAGCTCTAGTAAATATCTCAGGTGTGGGAAGAGTGGAGCTTACAAGGGAGCAGCCACGCATGCCAGAGGCAGCCTACGGTTTATTGGGTCTTGAGCCCATTTGGCCCCGGCCTTGGTTTCGCGATCGTGATACCAGGTCCAAGTCCAAAAGGTGGCAAGAGACAACAAGACTCCAACAACCGCTGGTGACATAATGTTAGCACCAATCATAACTTCATCGATCCAGCGTCGACATCTTACCTGGCAGAAATGCAAGCCCGGCCATACCCGGCGATAGACCATAAAAGCCCTGAAAGATGACTGGGTATGCTTGGAACAGCAGGTAGAACACGGCATAGACAAGTGTGAGGTAGGCGGAAGTAAACAGTAGAATGGGTTCGGTAAAAAGAAGCTTCATGGGGCGAAGGAAGATTTTCCGGACTTCGAAGGGTTTCGACTCAAGCTGCTGCTGCTGCTGCTGCTGCCGCTGATTTGCCCCCAAACTGCCGTTCTTTTTGCTCTGCCTCTTGGCAGCTTTGTTGTGAAGGACAGGGGCGTACGTCTCGGGCAGTGTAAGGACAAGAGGCAACCCACAGGCAGCCAAGATTCCGGCGATCCAAAACGGCCAGCGCCACGATACCTGAGACGAGAAACCCGAAACAAGTGGTCCGATGAGCGGGCCAACCGTCGTGACAGTCATGTATACCGCTATCGCGTTCCCCCTGACAGCTGGGTTGTCGAGGATGTCGGCGTAGAGCCCACCGATCACAGTCGTGGGCGCAGCCGCATTGATACCAGAAAGGAGGCGGAATACGAGCAGCGCCGGGTAGTTTGGGGCTCCCGCACAAGCGAGCATAAAGATTAAATATCCCAGATACGTCCCAATAAGCACTGGGCGTCTCCCAATGTACTCGCTGAGGGGCCCGAATAGCAAGGGACCAAGTACGTATCCGCACATGAAGAGTGAGTTGAGGAGAATGAGATGGATATGGCTGGATACGCCGAAGTTCTCGCTGATGGCGTCAAGGGCACCTGAAGGCATTGATGAACCGAGATTGCCATTAAAAGTGCAGGTAAACCCGGCGACAATAATGTGCAGTTTGCGCATCTAGCATAGCGTTTGAAGTTAGCAATAAGTCGTGGAAAGCATTCTGAACAAATCTCCGGGTTAGATATGGACGAAACACATACTGGCGATAGCTTGGTGGCATCTACCAAAATATCTTCCTTCTCAGAATAGGATGAAACGTCCGAAGTGTCACCGCTCTTCTTCTCTATGTCTGTCATTGTTTCGCTTTTGATAAGAACGTTATTGTCGCTTGTAACCACGTCGGAATGCTGATGCGTTGTTTCCATTGGATATGTGTTGTTCAAGGGTTATTGCTTTGGGATATGCCGTGCTTGGTATTGTAAAGCCTTGCTCAAGAACTGATAGCAAAAAGTTGTTCTTCACTAGCAGGCTCCTCTATATATATGTATGTCGGTTTCTATTCTATTTCTTCTTCTCTTGCTTTTCTTTTTTTTCTTTTGAGATAACATGCCTACACCACATGTCAAAAATTTCTAGATGCTTGAATCATTTACGCATCTGGTTCCATATTAGTCTGCACTCGAAGTGCCGTCGTCTGCAGCAGACCAAATACTCGCATTGTTCTTTTGCTACTATTGGCCGAGTTGACCGAAGGCGCCGTACACTAATGCCGCAGCTCGGGAATGTTTGCAATTTCCGAGAAATATTGTGTTTATGTAAGCTTGCAGTTTTGGGCAAGCTGGCTCTGATTGGTCATGATTGCCGACATCGCTTGTGATAACTCCCCCATAACTTCCGAGCTTTTGTAGTCCACCCTAACTTCCGGCTTACACGACACTTTGTGCATCTCCCCATCAGCCACAGAGTCCTGTCGAAATCGCACGACAGACAAGGGCTCCTCTGTAATCGGCGGTGAAGTTCGTTTCGGAAATTAAAAGCCGAAATCGTAACTCGTAATCAGACCGTAGCCATGTCAGCTGCAGGGCGCAACAGGGCGTCATCGGCGTCATCAGCGTCATTGACGCCGCGCCTTGCGCCGAAGAAAGGGAGAACCAGTATGGCCCCCAACACGTTGCTTTGCGCGCCATGTTCCCTCATCTTACCTTGTAATTCTTTTCTGACCTACTATCTCTCCTATCATAAATTTCAGACGGAAGAGCATGCGTCAACTGTCATCACCGGAAAGTTCGTTGTGACGTTTTGATAAAGGGCACACCATGTTCAAAGTGCGAGGCAAACGACATCCCCGATTGCCGGCTTTTTGAGAAGAAGAAAACCAGGTCTTCTTCAGCAAGGGCCTCCAATAGCCCTAATGTTCCGCTGCAACCTCGAATATCAGACGGCGCTCGGTCTACGACGACACCTACTGCTTCCGACGCGGCCAGCCCCTGGATAAATGCCGCCGGGGACTCGGGCGGTGTGCCAACATCAACAGCCGACTCCGCAGCGCAATCTCACTACGCCATCGAACTCGCAACGCGTAACCTGGCTGATTTCCTCGATCAAGAAGAGACAGAAAGCCAAGAGATACTGCCCAGCGGCCGTCTGTATTTCATCGGTACTGAGTTCTCCAACCTTAACTACCTAGTCCGTCAGCGGACTCATAGACCCGATCAAAATGTGCTACATTTTGGAAGCCATCCTCTAGCCCCGAGAATGTCTTCAGTCCCCCCTGAGGCGCTAGATCTACCTACCAAGGAGCTTGCGGACGACCTTGTTGAGGCGTACTTCGTTCACGTCAACCGAGGCTTTCCCATTGTCAACGAAAGCCAGTTCATGAAGAAGTACAATAACGTTGATAGCGGCTCAGATACCATAAGATCCAGGCCGCTATCTCTGCTACTGCTGAACTCGATCCTGCTCGTCGGAGCGCATGTTCTGTCTCCCCAGCGGGAGGATGTCAAGGCGCTGAAGCCTATTTTCTTCAAGCGGGCGAAAGCTCTGTTTGACTGTCGCTTCGAGCAACACCGCGAAACATATTTACAGGCCGCCCTTCTGCTGACTTGGCAGTGTGATGACCTTGAAGACGTTGTTTCAAACTCGTGGTACTGGGTGGGATGCGCGGTTCGGACGGCCTTTGGGATGGGCATACACCGTGATGCAACACCGTCTTGCTTGAATATTATGGACAAGCTTTTGTGGACGAGGCTATGGTGGACTCTGTATCAGTTCGATGTGTTGGTTTCTATGTCCCATGGGCGACCGCAGGCCATGTAAGTCTTCTCTTGAGCCGGGATACTATAACACCCTCCTCTATACAGATGTACTAAATTTAAGGCCTGCAGTAATCTGGATGATTCCGATGTACCGATGATTGCAGAGCACCATTTAACGGATACGCCGGAAACCGAAACCGCGTTTGTTATTCATCACACTCGCCTATGCATCATATTCTCCGAAGCGATGAGGAAGCGAGTCTCCTTGAGGTCTACGGCAGAGGACCGCGCCAAAGCAACGAGGGAAGCAGACACAGCCCTTGCTGAACTGGTGACGAATCTGCCGGACAGTCTTCAACTCTCTCAGAGCGGGCCGGACATATGGCAGGCAATCTTCCATCTCACCTACAACAACTTCCTCATCCTGCTCCATAGACCATCGCCCCGCCCAGTCCCGGACCAGTCTACAGCAGAAGCGGGAACCGACCTAAGCATCTGCTCGGATGCCGCAGCCACTGTTAGTTCCATCTTTGAGTTTCTACGCAAAAGGAACATGCTTTCCGGGCTATGGCTCCCCAGCATCCACGTGCTCTTCACAGCTCTGGTACACACGTCGACTCAGATGCACTCGAGCAACCCAATCGTGGCGGCAAAATCCAAGAGGCACTCTGAATCCATGATTCAAACCTTGCATTCACTGAAAAGCCAGTGGCTCTACGCACGGAGTCTCTTGAACCTATTCGAACCACGGCATTTGCGAGGACGCGGCCATTCCCAGACGAACCGCCCCAGTGGTTTGGGTCACGATGTAAGCATTGGAACAGATGAAGCCGCACGCCAAAACGGCAACTCCAGCGCTTCAAGATCCCCGGATGTGTTCCGATACGGGAACGGTAACCCTTCTGGCTCATTATCGACGGCGGGTAGACGCCCGCTTAGCTCGGAACCCACGTGTTTGGTCCACTCAACGCCCAACCAAGGGTTTTCGAGGAGCCAGGAAGCGCAGTATATGGGCACACTCGCAGGGGACGAGTCACAAGCTGGCCAATTCTATGAAGCTGGCTTTGTGGGAGACGAATTGAGCCTCGGTGACGTGGACAATATGGGCATGCTTCCACTTCCATCAGCGTTGGAGTTCTTATTGGCGGGTGGCGATAACAACTTTGATTTTTATAGCTAAGAGGCCTGGTGTATGATGGGCGGCAGGCAACCACGTCCCTAGTGCCTTAAGAGAATAATATAGAACTATCATGAGACGTAAGACCTTATCCGGAGCAAAACGTGGACATTTTCAGTTCACATCGCGACCTTGTTCATTGAAGCCTATGCTTGCGACCTAGTTGACATTGAATTAAGCAATCGCAATACCTTATTTGGCCCAGAAAGATCAGACTCATTTATAACCCGATAACAATGACAACAAATTGTCAACCTCCATCTCGGTTATTGAAGCATCGCTCTTGGTCTCGATCGGAACCCGGATCTGATCGGCCCCCGGCACCCCATCTGTCAAGTGGAAATACATTGCTAGAATGCGTTGTAAATCCAGAATCCGTTTACCGTGGAGAGTAGTTTTAATATCATCACAGTCCCAGGGCCATAACCTGACCAGCTGTGGAGCGAGAGTTTGGAGTTTTGAAATCAGATGGCATTGTGTAAGATAATTGCTTGGTTAACAACCAACTAGACGAAAAGGTCTAGTCTTGCTTCCTCTAATGTTAGAGGAACAAGACAGAAGCGTGCTTAAGTACTCTAGGTCTCTATTTCCTTACACATTGCTGCATTAGTAACGCCCACACCACCCCTCGTCCGAGCTCTCGGCAGGGTTGGGAATAAGTAACTTTAAGTAATTATTTTCAAAAAAATACTTACTTAAGTATACTTAGGCCTATAAGATACTTACTTAAGTATACTTAGGCCTATAAGATACTTACTTAAGTTTACTTAAGCCTAGAAGGTACTTACTTAAGTATACTTAAGTAAGTAAGTCTTAAGTATACTTAAGTACTTGCTTACATAAGAAAAGTATAAAGAATAAGGTATATTATAGGCTAAGATAGCCTACTACCTAGGTCACGTGACCTATTATATAACTAGAGACTAAAAGTACTAACTTTATCTTTATTACTTTACTAAGAAATCCTTTAGAAATATTATCTAATAAGTATTTAAGTATACTTAAGAATTACTTAAGTATATTTAAGTATTTGCTCTAGAAAATTTTACGTACTTATACTTAGTAAGTATTTTTAACCCTAGACTTATACTTACCTACTGAAGTATACTTGTACTTTTACTTATACTTAAGTATTTTTTCCTAACCCTGCCTCTCGGTGACTTATCCCCATAATCCTAGGTGAGGCCGATCCACAAAAGAAACGACGTACCTTCCCGGCGCGGAAAAACGCAAACCTCCAGCTACTACCGCTGCCCTTCACTTTTCCATTATCCCAAATACACCCGACCCGCGATCGCGACAACCCCACGACAGCTTTAGACCGAACACCCCTCCAGAACCGCAAACATGACGTCCACGATCGGTATCCCAATCAAGCTCCTCAACGAGGCCCAGGTACATTCAATTTCCCTTCCCTATCCCATTGCTTGGCCGCCAAGTAGAAGCTAACCCACATGCGCGCGCAGGGCCACATCGTCACCCTCGAGATCACCTCCGGCCAAACTTACCGCGGCAAGCTCCTCGAAGGTACGATCCCTCTCCTCTTTCTTCCTTGATCTGCCCTCCAATCCTCTGATTGCAGTTCATCCCCTACACACAACATCGCCCAAGCTAACAGCTCCTGCCCACAGCCGAAGACAACATGAACGTCCAGCTCAAGGACATCACCGTCACCGCCCGCGACGGCCGCGTCTCCCACCTCGACCAGGTCTACATCCGCGGCTCCCACGTGCGCTTCTTCATCGTCCCGGACATGCTCCGCAACGCGCCCATGTTCCGCTCACGCAACGTCCGCGGCCGCGGCGTCGGCATGGCCCGCGGTCGCGCCACCGTCAGCAGGGCCCGCGCCAGTGGCCGCGGTGGTCGCTAAGGCCCCCTTCTACCGTTCCCTCTTTGTCGGCTCGGACGTGAGATGCGCTTTGCGCGAGGACACACGCACATACGAGAAGCGGCTACACGAGAGAGACAAGCCACACGACAAATATTCTATTTCAATTTATCGCGAGCCAGACGGGGCAGGAAAGATCGCGCGCGCGCGCATGTCATACGGATTCTTATCACTACGAGGAGAGAGAGAGAGAGGGAGAGAGAGAGAGAGAGAGAGGGAGAGAGAGAGAGAGAGAGAGAGAGAGAGAGGGGACAGAAAGCTGTGGGTTCTCTAATTGGGGAGAGGGTAGGATGGGTTTCATGACCGGAGCTTCCAGCAAATAGCTCCTGGGAAAGATAAAAAGTTCCTTGGCGTTTAAACGGTTTTCTCGAGAGTTCTGGGAAGTTCCCAAACAAAAAACAAACAAACGCGGCATGGACGAGAAGAGACCAGAAGGGAGGCAATGATAACCGAACCCGGGCGATTTCGCAGCAAAAATATGTCCAACACAACGTACAGCATGGCGGTCGCTAGGGTATGGCCTCACTTTTCACACTCACACACGATGCAGACCGAGCTCGGGTCGGGCGGGACTAGCTGACATCGGTAGGCAAATGGGAGGCAAGAGAGACAAGAAACCGCAAATAGAATACAGACGCCTCTTCTCGGCGCCCCAATTTTCCCATGAGCCCCCCTTTTTTGAGTGTGTTGTCTTGGTATCGAATGTCGTGCGTGTATGAATGTCTATGATGACATCCTCTTTTATACATTATACAGATTGATGGTACAACGTGACGTGACGTGACGTGACGAGAGGAACCCAACATCTTCTCCCTCGCCCCCCCCCCCCCCCCCGTTCTTATTTTTCTACTTCAAGCGCTTCAGCGCGTCCTCGGCCTTCTCCACGAGCTCCCTGGCCTTGCGTAGTTCTTCGGCGCCCTCGACGGGGGTGCCCTCGCGCGACTGGTCCAGCGCGTCAGCGACGCTCTGCTCGACGCCCCTGACAGCCTTGCGGCCCTCCTCGCGCACCTCGCCCTCCCAGTAGGCCCGCGCCGTCTCCCACTTGGTCTGCAGCCTGCGCAGGCTCCACATGACGCCCAGGGCCGCGACGGCGCCCGCCTCGTAGACCGACGAGGCGTACTGCGATACATACAGGAGTCCAGCCAGCGCGCTCGTCAGGGCCGAGGTGCTCGATGCTTGCAGCACGAGCTTCTGCGCGAGGGCCTGCAGGGCGGGAACAGTCTCCTCGTGAAGGTAGCGGCGCGTGAAGGAGATGTGCGTCGGCCACTTTGGCCTTTGCGTCACGGCCTTAGCGGCCGTGCTGGATTCCGGCAGCGACATCTGCAGCTCGGACGTCGGCTGGGCGTACGCGGGCGGTTCCGCGGCGGCGGCGGCAGCGCCAGATTCGGCGATGCGGCCGGCGAGGTAGATGAGCTCCCGCTCCGCGCCGGGGAGGAAACGCTGGCTGAGCATTTCCGTCGTGAGCACGCCCACGTCGTCGACCCTCCAGAACAGCTTCCACCATCCCAGTTTGCGCCACCTTGTGCCCGCGAAGGCGAGGTCGAGCTGTTGCTGGAGTTCCTCGTGCGCAAACTGCGACCACTGCGCCAGCCTCTCGTTCATGACGGCCAGACCGGACGACGAGGCCTCGGTCGACAAACGTCCGGACAGCAAGCGCGTCTCCTCAGCTTCAATCTCGGCCAGGGTGTTGCGCAGCAGGGACGCGATGAGCAGACGCACCGCCGGCTTGGTGACCTGGCCCTCGTCATTTTGTACGCCGGACTTGAGCCATTGGATAACAGCCGGCACGTTGCTCTTGAACCAGGAGCGCTCGTACTCCATTGCGTTACCTATGTTCTGGCGGATGAGCTCGAGGCCCTTGGTGCCGACCGAAACATCAATCGGCTGGAACGTGACGTGCGCATCCTTCTCCACGGGGTACCCTGGCAGGTCGACGGCGGCGAGCACCGTATCGCAGTACTCGGCCAGCGGCAGCGACGCCACCGACGCCGCGCCCATAACCCCCTCGGAGACCACCAAAGCCTTGTGCACCGGTGTCGTAATGGGCGTGTACCGCCCCGTGTTGGAAGGTATATCCACCGTGGGCACCAGGACGGACTCCTCCATGTCCTGCGACTGCGCCGTCTCACCCGGGGCCGCGACAAAGGGGTTCACTTCCATCAGCAGAAGCTCTATGCCGTGCCCATTGAGCGTGGGGGACGACACGTCCAGCTCGTGCAGTAGGTTAGTCTTGGAGATGTTGACGGTTGGCGCGGGCTCCCCGCGCGACTGGCCGTCGTGCTCGCTGCCGATGCGCACGACGAGCGGGTGCGCGGTGTCGTGACGGGCCAGCTCCCCCTCCCAGCCGGCCTCGTCGCTCAGAGGGTCGGCGAGGATGAGACGCAGCAGGTCCTTGGCCGCCCTACCCGGCTCCGCGGCGTTGGCGAGGGCGAGGACGGCGACGCGGACGGCTTCTTGGCCGGGGTCCTGACGCAGGTTTTGGAGCGCGAGCTGCAGGCGGGAGAGGTTGACGTGGTTCACAGCGTGCTTCTGCAGCTCCAGCAGCGTGTCGATGAGCTCGGCGCGGGGGTTCGCGGGCGGCGCGGCCATGGGCGGCGCGGCGTCGGTGGACTGGAAGCGGCGTTGTCTCCATGCTTTTCTATTGGCGGCGTGAGCGCGTCTGACGGTGGTTCTTGAGGGAGCCGTAGGTGTCGACAATGAGCAAAACAAGCAGACGGCGGCGCGTGAGGGAGGGTTGGGATGTTGCTTTGCTAGGGACAGCGACGACGACGTCGACGCCGCCGCACGGCCGGCCATTGGCCTCAGTTGGAGTCGTGGAGGCATTGTGTAGGAGGCAAGGGAGTGTTGGGTGTTTGGCGGGGAAGGGGTTTGCGTCCCCTTGTTCGGCTCTCGACGGAGGAAGAAAGATTCACGAGAGGAAAAAAAAAAGTACGTGATATGTTGACCCGGAATGGTCGATGACGGGTGAGGTCGGCAGATGGACAGAGCTCCCAAAAATGCTTCGGTGCCACACCCCCGACCCAAGCTCCGATTTCACCTGCACCACCTGGCGGGCAAAACCTCGGCGAATTAGCTTCCGCTGTACGTAGTGTCACCCCCCACCCCCGCCATCCTCTATGACCACTGTCGACCATCACTGACACCATCACTGACCACCGCTGTCCACCGCTGTCCACCGCTGTCCACCGACGCACCGACATCAGCACAAGACGCAAGCTGTCCGAGTCTAACGGTGTGTCAACATCCGCCCATCCGAACAACCACCTTCCACCCTTCACATCCCTCGACCTTACACACCACTACTCCCTCTTCTTTAAAACCTCCGTCCCCCCACCCCCCCGAACCACCTTCAGCTCGATAGAACGAACCTCCCCCCGGCTCCGGCTTCGAACCTCAACCAGCGCGCGCCATGGCCCAGTCCACCGCCCACCGCCGTCTCCTCCAGGAGTACCGCGCCCTGACGAACAACCCGCCCGAGGGCATCACCGCCGGCCCCGTCTCCGAGGACGACCTCCTGCACTGGGAGGCGCTGATCCAGGGCCCCGAGGGCACCCCCTTCGAGGGCGGCGTCTTCCCCGCCGAGCTCAAGTTCCCCAAGGACTACCCCCTCGCCCCGCCCACCATGAAGTTCCTCGTCGACATTTGGCACCCCAACAGTAAGCACACTCACTCACCCTCAAAAAAACACAACGTGGGCCCTACGGACAAAAGAAGAAGAAAAGAAACTGGCTGACTCCAATCCGCAGTCTACCCCAGCGGCCTCGTCTGCATCTCCATCCTCCACCCGCCCGGCGACGACCCCAACCACTACGAGCACGCCTCGGAGCGCTGGTCCCCCATCCAGTCCGTCGAGAAGATCCTCATCTCCGTCATGAGCATGCTCGCCGAGCCCAACGACGAGAGCCCCGCCAACGTCGAGGCCGCCAAGATGTGGCGCGAGTGCCGCGCCGATTACGAGCACAAGGTCCGCGACGGCGTCCGGCGGTCTCTGGGTCTGTAGAGAGGAGGGGAGGCGAGCGGGTAAAGACCCGGATGTGACTAAGAACGCAGTGTAAGGAACCGGTGGTGGTGTTGGTTGCGTCTTCCACATGGAAAGAAAAGGGCGCAGGAGGAACTGCGCCGATTGATCTGTAGACCGGCTCGCAGGGAAGGAGGTGGGAAAGATACAGTCAGAGCGACTCGCATAGCACGGCGTTTGGGGGGAATCGAATATCGCTTCATTTCATTGACTTTTATTCGGATGTTTTAAGTCCACAGTCCAAAGTAGTCATCTGTTTCTCTTTGCTTTCTCGCTCGTCCCATGAACCCCCCGTTCGGTTCCTGTGACTAAAGGAGCCGCCTCATAGCCCCCCCCCCCCCGCCCCAAATGAGATCCATTACAGCCCGTTCTCCGCCTTGAACTTGTCCCAGCTCTCGTTCAGCGTCGCAAAGACGGTCGCCGCGATGAGCCTCACCTCCGTGCTGGCGTCTTGGGGAAGCTATCGACCAATTGTATTAGTACAATGAACCACGGAACATTTGGCTGCTGTTCTGGGGTGGGGGGTGGTAGGAGAAAACGTTACCTTGTCCGGGTGGCACTTGGCAATGGCCTTCATGTAGTGGATCTTGACCTTGTTGGCCATCACAAGCTCGTGCAACCCGACCTTCTTCCACCCGCTGCCCTCCCAGAGAACCTGGTCCAGGCTGCCGATCAGGGCCCGCAGGTTGTCCCGCTTGCCGTCCCGCCAGGCCGCGATTCGCGCGTCCACCTTCTCCGACAGCGCAAACTTCTCATCGTCCTCCTGCGCCGCCGCCTGGTTCTGCTTGCGCAGGCGCTCGACAGCCTCGGAGTTCTTCGCCGGCGTCGCCGCAGCCGGCTTCGATCGAGGAGCAGAAGCGGCGGCGGCGCGTCTGGGCTTCGGCTTCGGCTTCGGCGCAAGTGCATTCTGGCAGCGCTGACGGCCGGAGATGGCCGTGGGGCCGCCCACGCCGTTCTTCACGCACGTCGACCACACGGCGTGCGCGTCGCCCCAGCGCTCCATCTGTTCGAGCGCCTCGGCCTTGCGGCTCAGCGCCTTGCCGTACAGGTCCCGCATGTCGCGGCGTTCTTCACCGCCGTTGTCGCCCACGACGGTCACCTGCTCGTCCTGGCCGCCCGTCGGGCCAATGATCGTTAGCGCGGCATCGGCGTCCTCGACCGCCTGCTTGGGCTCTCCGGTCTTAAGGGCCGTCAGCGCGCGGTTCGTAAGAATGACGATGGCGAGCGGGTGTGATGGCGGCACGGCGGCAAGAGAAGACGAATAGGACGAGTGGGCGGCGCCGTAGTCTCCCCGCTTGAATTGGGCGGTACCCTCGAGACGGTGTTTTGTAGATTGCTGTATCGCTGCCGGTGTGATTGGAGGGATTTGACGAGCAGGGCGAGGTGCCGGTTTGGGTGTCGGCGGGGAAGGGCGCCTAGCAGCGGGCTGGGCAGGCCGAGACGGCTGTGAGGGCTGGGGTGGACGCTGCGGGAGTGACTGAGCCGGCATGGGGGTTTGAGAAGAGCCGAAGAGCAGGTCGGGCTCGTCCTGCTGCGGCGGTGGCGCTTCCGGCTGGGGGGTGGCCTTCTTTCTTCTGTGAGGGCTTACATAGGACACGGCATTGTCATCCGTCATCGCCAGCTTGGTTGCGCGAGTCTTCGAGTCTGGCAGTGCTGGGCCGCCCTGTTGCTGCCATTTCGGCACTGGAGTTCCCCTGCCGCTGGAAGGGCCCGGCACGGTATGCGGTTGGTCCCGCGATGCCGTCCTCCGTGGCGGATCTGGTCGCCGTGACTGCGACGACTGTCCCGCCTTCCTTGGCGGCCGACCTCCAGACTCCAGCATCAAGGCCTCGTCCGTCGCTTCTGCCGCCCTCCTCTCGGGCTGGGCCCGGTCGAGCTGAGCCGAGCGCATCCACTTGGGCTGGTTGGGATCCCCCTCCGGCTGGTTGAATTCTGCGACTGCCTGCTGGACCTGCTTCTTGCCCGTCTTCCATAGAGAGTTGGCAGTCTTGAAGAGGCTATTGCCGACGGCGGCCGCGGTCTTTGAGAGGTCCGGGTCGCCGCTTGCTGGGGATCTCGTGTCCGCTCTCCGCTGGCTGTCGTAACTGCTACCGTCTTCCCGTCCTCGTCTCTGCGTAGCAGTAGCGGGATTCTTGCCTTGTGCCTTTGCCTTGGCTTGCCGATGCGCATCATCCAGAAGCCAGTTGGCAGCCGCTTGCACGTTCAGACCCGCCCCGCTCTCTGTCAAGCCACGTCGAGCGTTCTCGGGGGTGAAACCGTAGTCGACAAGCTGGGCAACAGCGCGGTCGAACTCGGCCATCTCGCCCCTGGGGGCCGGCCCCTCGTCTTCGGAGCTGGAGTCGGACGCCTCGATCGGCTTCCCGGGCTCGGGCCGCTGGAGGGGCTGTACTGGGGTAGGTTGTTTGCGCCTGACCTCCTCGACAGGGCGGGCCAAGTCACCGAGAAAGTCGTCATCGTCGTTGGTCGGCGGAGGCGGTGCCGGAGACGCAGTCTTGGGCTTCAGCTGGTTCAGACCAAACGGATCATCATCATCCCCGAATCCACCACTGTTGGCGGGGCCGGGCTGCTGGCTCCACGCGCTCGGGTTGCTGAGGTCCAGGCCAGGCGTACTCGCAGGCACAGGGCTCTTCTGGGGCGGCGGTGGGTAGAAGCTTGCGTTGTCGACTTTTGTATCGGAGTTGAACGCGGCGAAGAGGTCGTCGTCGTCACTGGCCTTCTTGCCGGTAGAAGAACCGGGGGACAAGACACCCGGAGACGCAGTCCGCGATACGGAGCCCGATCCGAGAGTGTCCAAGAAGCCACCGCCAAACTGCGCCTGCGCTTGTTTTCTCTTCTCTTCCTCCTTCTTCTTCTTCTCCGCCTCCAGGCGTTGCTGCTGCTCCAGCAGAGTGAGCTTCGATGTGGGTTTTGCCGCAGCGCCGGCGCCGAAGCTGAGGAGGTTGCTGAAGCTGTCGGCGGCAGGCTTCGCAGCCGGGGGGTTTGCCGCAAGGTGTCCAGAGCCCTGGGCAGACAACGGCGTATTGCGACCGGAGGGGAATGGAGATGGTGTCGAATTGGTCGGCCGCACTGAACCAAAGTAGTTGGCGCCCGAGGGGTTCATGGGCGGGGGCTTGTTGTTCGGCTGGTTGGCCGATGACGACCAGTTCAGTCCCGAGAGGTCATCCATTCTTTGAGCACTGGGGAGCGTTCAGGGTGCAATCTTCATTTCATCAGCTCCGTGAGGGTCGTGAGGGTCTCAAATATGGCTCAATGCATCGTTTTCGGTTTGTTCTGAATTCCACCCGTCGCTTGCCTCCTGGATCGGTTTGGCTGATTGCGGTGTCGTGTGGCCAGAAGGTGGCATGTGGCGCAGCTGTGGCTGAAGCTAGGGAAACAGTGGCTGGCTGCCTGACGTGATATCTGGCTGATGCCTGACAGCAGTCGGCCACGTCTTCCAAGGCACCAATTCTCTATCATCATTAGTTCTTTCGGCTTCATCCGCGAACTAAAGGACACACAGCCCAAAGTTGCGTATAGTCATTTCACGGATGGCGCCGAAAGAGAGAAGGAAGGAAGGAGAAGAAAAAAAGGGTACTAGCACTTCGTCTCTGGGCGTTTGGGGCTCATCGGTGTCGTCACATCTCGAATTTCAACAAGCATCGCTCAGCCCGATGGGCTTGAATGCTTATGTTTCGCGGGGCGCTTTGTACACAATGAAGCCATTGTCGTTCGCTATTTTATTCTACGGACACGCGGTTCGGTGAGCTCAAGTCCAAGCCACAATAGGCAATACTATGTGCGGCGGGGTTATATCTGCTGGTGAATTCCAGTCAACTATCATCATGGCATTCCAACCAGAAACCCCCGCATGCGTCCTGAGCTCTTCCAGGCTTGTCTTGTCTCTGGGTTTTAGTCATCTCTTCTTCCCTCAAATGTGTTGTCTGCCACCTCGACGCAACAAGAATTCAGACACCAGTAGAGGAGAATCAACGTTTGTGAGAGGCATCGGCAAACATTCTCAAGTCAGTCGCCCGGCTCGGCACCACGGAAGCATGATACATCGCTTATGAAGGCAACGGTTTCTACTCGGCTTGGTAATTGCCGCAGACCAGCAGCTGGAGACGCCTCGTTCTAGATACTGCGACATGGGTTCTGCTACCGCAGAGTAGCCAAGGGAGGGAGTCAGGGGGTAAGCGCGTGCACCTCAATCACTTGGAGCCCCTGGGTCACAGATCTACCGCCACGGCTCTTTCGGCCGGATGAGCCCCGCCTAAAGCTGCATCGTTCAAAGAAGCCTGGTTTGGGTGACGGGTGATCCTGGCTTTGCGCATGAAATAACCATCTTAGCTGGTGATGGTTGGCTCTAGGGCTAGATGATTGAATGGTCTAGGCGCACGAAACTCTTGGATCTTGTAGATGGACGTCGTAGGTCAGATTCCAACATACGTTCGTCGTGTGCGACAAATGGCGAGGGCCACCGACACCGTGGAGGTAATCACCACGTGATGATTGTGTTGTAAGTTTCGGTGTTGCCGGTATTTCTCAAACGCGGTAGCTGGGCAAACAGGCCCGCGGCCATACCGTAGGGCTCGGTGCCGCGTGTAAGTGTCGCCTGAGGGCTGCAAGGATAACTGCGATCGTTTCCGAATCCGATAAACAATGGTTCCAAGCCTGCTAGTAAGAGTTTGCCTGTTGATACCAGGCTCATAAGAAACATGCTTATTTAGGGTCAGTTCAGGAGCAGCGCAGGTTCTTTGCGAAGCCAGATGGCAGGACAATGCTTGGATGCATTGTGATTCCCTGGCACAACAGCTCTTGGCCATTGGCTTCGTTCCTGAACAAGTTCGGATGATTGGCGCATCGCCTCAATCAGCCAGATGCTGAAACTCGTGTAGAGGCGAGATGTCTAGGGTGTCACCTTGACGGGGGTGACCAAAGGAGACGGTAGAAAGGTTGAGCCAAACTGACACGTGCTGGGTGAAAGGTATGAGATAAGCTAATACCCCACCATAAGCATGATTTGTATACCTAGGTACTCTTGCTCTTATTTTAATCCGCGGCTGAGCCCTCGCACGCTGTTTGGGGTGCATCGGGAGCCGTGCGCCGTGCATCAGAATCTCGAAGCCAACATATTCCCGGCCTTGGTGATGACGATGTTCACGTCCTTGACTCGTAAACATTGGACGTGGACCGCGTTACCCACGACGGCTAGGGCATCGAGGAACACGGTGCTTGCTGCATATCGTAAGACATGCTCTTCGTCTAGGTAAGCAGACCCGTCCCACGACGGGGCAACACGGCGGGGTGGAACTGGTATGGCGGTCTGACGTTCAAGCGAAACAACTGCCGGCCGGTGCAGTGGGGGGGGGGTGAAAAGGAAAGCGTAGAGGGTCATCGTGTGGCCTAGCTGAGATGTTTGCTTCTCCTTGTGCGATTCTTCCTTTTGGCTGGTTCGGGGATCAAGGTGCATGAAGCACTGGCCACCGAGTCGCACGAGGGCGTCAAGTGGTAGGTAGCAGTTGCCTCGAGTAAGATGACGGGGAATTACGATGGGCGCAAAGGCGGTCAGCTGCGAGGCCGTGGTGTGAAGGAGGACCAACAATCTCACGATGGAGGCTCCTCGTTGAACGTACGAATAGCGCTTGACGAGAAGTTTACTGTATAGAGAAGCATGGATGGATGAATGCCTTTCTGGGAGGTAAGCGCCTGTCGTGCGCGGATCAGTGTTGGCAGAGGCATGTCTGCATGGTGCATCGCCCAATCACAGCAGCGAGATGGCACCGCGAAACCCAGCCGCATGCAACTCGAGCCTGTGGTAAGGCAGCTCGACGTTGTTGCAACACAGCTCGGAAGATTGGAGATGCCCCAAGCATAATCTCCTTGGTTCGGCGCAATGTCCGTGGAATTTGTCTCTCGTACTTGACTCTGCTGATCACCGCTGCTGGATACACATACACACACACATGTACACACACGATGGCGACGGTCAATGGATTGTGAGGACGGGTAGGGTAGGGTAGGGTGCGGCGGCCAGGAGAGACGAGGTGACACGGCGCATGAAGGCCTGGTAATTGCTTCTTCTAGTTGCGCATCTCTATATAGCAAAACAGGCTGCAGAATGAGTTGTATTGCGGTGGATGCCATTAAATTGATTTCGACGTCTGCAGTAAACAAGAGATGGCAGGATATCGGGCCACGACGATGCGGGGATGATGGGCGACTTGATTCGCCGGGTGAGATGCTCACAATGAAATCACAGGGTCCGACACGGCGCCGGCGCATGCGCTGCTTCCTTTTCTCCTTCTTTCCTACTGGTATCCGTACACTAGATTGCGCCTTCCCCTGGTTCGAAATGAAGTCACGTCCTTGTCGGAGCCGGCGGTTGCTAACAAGCCTGTGCCTGCCAATGCCTAACATTAGCGCAGATCCCAGCCGCCCACTCTGTGACCCCTCCGCCCCACAGTCAGGTCAGGCAGTTACTGTTTGTTCTATTGGTCCATATCTGGCAGCAAGGAGAGAAAAGGGGTGTGTGTCATTGGCTTTCGTGTCATTCTGTCCAATTAACATGGTGGGGGAGTTACAGGGCCCGAAGGTACGTACTTGCCCTGCCTGGTGTACCTTATTCAAAGTGAGATCGCCTCCTTCCTCTCCGACCTGTTCCTTCGAAAAAGGGGTCACGCGCCAACGGCCAACGGTATTACAATTCTATCTCCCTAGCGTATATAGGTAGGTACCCAGGTAGTGTATGCTACCTAGGTACCTACCTACGGATACTAATACCAAGTACCACACTGTCGAAGAAGGCAGGTACGGTACTTCCCTCTTCGTCCTTTGGTCCTTGTCACTTCTCCTTTTTCGGCGACCCACATCGGGGAAAGAACAGAACATCCTGGGAAAGGTCGTCATTGCCCGCAGATCCTCGGACAGAGTTTTGAAAGAAAACGAGAGAGAAGACAGAAGGGGCCTTGGTGATTGAGTGGCCTTGACTTGATCGACCCCGGTGTGGTGCTGTCACCAGTCAAGGTATCCATACAAAGTATTCCATCTTTGGTCAAGTGGCGGCCCCCAAAAGCCATCGGCCGGGGTGTGGATGGGGATGGATGGGAAATGCAGACCTTTGGTACCTGCATATCGCGTGTGTCACAACGACGCCACCCGCTGCATTTCTGTGCTTCTCTGGCTGTCTTGTGCGACGCTACGCCCCGAGATGCCACACTGTCCCTCGCATCTCCCGCCAGACCGTTGGTGCTAAATGCTTGGTGCCATGCATGATGATGTGGCGAAACGGGCTTGCTTTCTCATCTTATCTGCCCACCTACCCACCTCTATCGACCTACTCGACACAACCTCAACTCACGACATCTACTCACGAGGATGGTAGTCTCGGCTTTTGGCAAACGGCACCACCTGACTACTGCATCCAGCAGCAAAACGTCGCATCGCATCGCATCGCATCGTCACCCTCGTCCGGCCTTCATCTCATCTTCTGTCATTTCATCTCGCATGACCACTGCCGCCCGGCCCGACCTACACTAGCAAAGTGCTGCAATATGCAATGCCCGCGTTCCGATGCATCGGTGTCCAGTCGGCAAGACCTACATGCCTACGCTACTGGTATCCGTACTTGGTACCAAGTGTGTGTTTCCTCCGTTCCTCTGCCCCGTTTCTTCCTGGTCATTGCTTCATGCTTCTTTGCCTTTCGTCCGTTTCGCCTCTCTCGCTTGGCTCCTTGGCGTTCCTATCTCCTCCGCAATTCTGTGGTTCGGCTTGTCAGTCATCCTGTGCCCGCCGTCGTCTGGAATACAGCGGCACAACATTGTCGTTTGGCCGCGATGGATGGTCGAGCGGCCCGATGAGCGAGTGACATTCAATCACCAATAGGGCAGGGTGATGGGCCAAACGACGAGCCAAACGGCCCAAGTACTTTGTACCCCTCCCCACTCAGGGAAAACGGCACACAAAGTGTGGCTTGCGCCAATCTGTGCCTGGGGCGACCCCGTCAACCCGACCAGCGGGATCCTGGTCACCCTTCACGCTGGTCCGGCCCCTTGAAGCAGGATTTTAATCTATCTGAATCCACATCGGGAGCGATCCCTCCTACCTTCCTTCCACGCTGTTCGCCCGACCGCTAGCCTGGGATATGCCGATGGTGCATGCGAATGAAAAGGCGACCGGGGGGGTTACAGGACAACAAGATAGGTAGCCTAGTCGTGCAATTAGGTAGCCAAGGTAAGTGGTAAGACTCCGTGCATGTAGCAAACAAAGTCGCTACGTTACCACACACCTACATCCCCAGACGCACTTACTATGTATCTGTAGTTCCAGCGGCGGGCGGGGAGTTTCAAGTTTTGCGTTTCAACTCCAAGACTCACCTCGCGCCCTCTTCATCGGACGCCAGAGAAGCAACTCCTCTCTCTCTCTTTCTTCCTTTCCCTATCATACACTCACACACTCTGCCAGCACAGCCACTCGCCACCGACCTAGTCCCGGATGGACGGTGCCGTAACCCCCCTCCCCCCCGTGGGGCCTGAGCACTTGACCGACGACGCAGGCTCTTGAACACCAGACGAACACTAGCTAATACTCAATGTCGTGTGCTATATCCGTACACGTGCGATGTGCTAGGTATGTTATGTAAGTATCTTGCAGTAGATCCTGGCAGTCCCAAGCCCCTGGCAGAGACGACGAGTATCACCGTAGGTAGGTAGTCGTCTCTGAGGGTGGTGTACTGGTACTGTATGCTAGGAAAAGCAGAAATGCGCCATTTGTTCTCTTGCACCCATGCTCGCCTGTTCTCTTGTGTTCCTTGGCCCGACATCATCGCTCGGCGTCATTAATCCAAACGCAGTACGCATAAGGAGTGAGCAAAGCTAATCTCATCTCACTTGGCCCATCAGCCCGCCCCGTCCCCCGTTCGCTCTTGTCCCTCTCGGGTGACTAAAGGCGAAGATTAATGGGGATGAATCACGGGTAATGCTTGGACCCGGGTCGAGGAAGATAGAAGAGCGAGATACCCTGTCGTTTTCCCACAATTTTCCCATCTCTCTGGGAGGAACCAAATAGCGGCTTCTCGGTAAGGGCGCAAGTGAGGGCCATCACCCGCACACGCCGACTTGCCTGCGTGTACGGATACACTACCACGTACCCTATGCTTGCACTGCACTGCAAAGTGGGAGTCGGCAACACATCCATGCCGCCTTACACACCACGGCCCCCCCCCCCTCCCCACATCTCCTCCCCTCCCCTACCCTACGCCCCTTGAATCCCCCCCCGGCCCCCCATCCCACCACCAGGAATGCCATATCCTCCCGCCATGTCTCTCTCACTCTCTCCACCTGCCGCCCGATTCTCTCTTCCTCTTGAATGCCCTTCTTCTGCATCACTTTCATTCCAACCGCCCTCTTCTTCCCTCGTTTCTTCCCCTCCTTCGTCGCCTACAACGGGGTCTCTCGACTGTCTCTCTCTAGCTTTGTAACTCTCACACTCGCTCTTTCGTGGTCTCGACCATTTTCTGGTCCCTGATCTCAGCCATTCCTTTTTTCTCACAACCTCGACAAGAATCCAAGGATTTCTGATCCTTGCTGGACCCTACGCATTCCTTTCTCTCTTGGAACCTCTACGTTTGTGTGTGTTGACCGCATTCGCCTTCTTTTCTTGACTCGGATTTTTTGGGCAAAGACTCGACCGTTGGACGATCTCTATATCCCAAAAGGCTCGAGACTGGCTTTTCATTTTGCGGGCTTCGCTGCATCGGTTCTTCCAGCCAGCCTCCATCTTTCGTCATCGTCTTACACCACTGGCCGACATCATCGTATCGCAGCTCAACACAACTCCGTCCCATATCAAACACTCGACGTCAGCCTTCCTGAACGAGTTTGCTTTGCGTCAATACAAAAGGTTTTCCGAATTGTCAATTTGACTCAACCCGACTCACGAGTTACCATCGACGTATCCTGGACTCATACAATCGACACCATCGCCGACTCATTATCAACCCAAGCGACTGTGGAGACTTTACAGAGGTGTCTTTTTTGATATATCTGCCAACCCACTTCTTGGAATATCCCGAAATAGGAGGTTCGGTGAGCGGCCTCGCACCTGCCTGCTCTTTCCATAACCAACCCCCACCTTGATTTGGCACGTCAGCGCTTCGCTTAACTCATCGCTCCTGCCCTTCACTTCACGGCACCTGCTCTTTCAAACTATTGTTGTGAACCACAAGATCAAAGTCTTGGTTCTTTCATCTATCAAACGGCTTTGAAAAGCTTTCTCAAAACAAAACACCACCAGTCGCTCTCACTTGATACCCAGTCCTTGTATCCTTTCTTACCCTTTATACCCCAACTTGAACAGGCGCCAAGATGAAGTACTCTACTTCGAGCGTCATTGCCGCTGCCGGCTTCTTTGCTGTTGGCGTTGATGCCTTCTGGCGCATGGAGTGTCGAGCTCGTGTCGGTCTCGCTCGTGTTGACCCTCTCATGAACTTTGGAACTCCTGCTACTCATGTTCACGCCATTCACGGCTCCAATGGTATGCAATAATCACTGTCCCTCGCAACTGCCCATTTGCCTCAGAGCCCTTGTTGTTTCTGCTCACTTTGGCGTTTGTTGCGCATTTCTGCTCTTGTGACTAACATTACTAGGTTTCTCTCCCACTGCCAACTACGGTGACCTTGTTGCCGGCGACTGCACCTCCTGCGCCGTCACGCAGGATAGATCGGCCTACTGGCACCCTGCTCTTTACTTCCAGGACGCGAGCACTAATGAGTTTGAGCTGGTTGACCAAGTTGGCGGAATGCTTGCGTAAGCCTGACTCCCCTATGCTTTGTCTACTAGACTTGGTGTTAATTATCTCAGGTACTACCTTCTTAATGACCAGGATATCAAAGCATTCCCTGCAGGATTCCGCATGATTGCTGGGGATACCGACCGCCGCAATTACACTGCCGGAGATCCTTCCCAGCCCGACCCCCCGAAGTCGGCGTGGTCGACCCTTGGCCAGACCAAGCAGTCCGACCTTGAGCAGCGCGCCATCGGCTTCAACTGCCTCAACTACGCTAGAGCCCCCGAGGGGACCCTGTACCGCCACGCCCTTCCCGACAAGGCTTTTCTCGATGCCAACTGCGCAGACGGTGTCCGTTTCGAGATGATGTTCCCTTCTTGCTGGAACGGCAAGGACGTTGATTCGCCAGACCATAAGTCCCACATGGCATACCCCGACCTCGTCATGACCGGTACCTGCCCTGATGGATTCGAGACTTCGGTCCCCAACCTTTTGTACGAGGTCATCTGGGACACCGCCGCGTACAAAAGCCGTAACGGCCGCTTTGTCATCGCAAACGGTGATCTCCAGGGCTTCGGATACCACGCCGATTTCATGTCTGGTTGGGATGAAGACTTCCTTCAGTCGGCCGTTAACACCTGCACTAACCTCTCTGGCCGCATCGAGGACTGCCCCCTCTTCAACATTCAGTCCGATGACAAAGCAGCGCAGTGTCAAATGAAAGTCCCCAGCGTCCTATCTCTGGAGAATGTCACCGGCCCGGTCACGAGCCTGCCCGGCAACGTCATCATTACGGGCGACCCTTCCACCGAGGGCGGGCCTGCACCCGTCATTCCCTCCCCTAGTTCGTCTTCTTCAGCTCCCGCTGCTCCCCCGGCTCTCAGCTACAAGCCGGGCAAGACCGCCTCCGCCAACCCTGTGCCCGGTGAAGTCTTGAAGGCCATGCCTACGTCTGCGTCTACTCCGGTCCCGATCATCCAGGAAGTCACGCCCACTCCTACCAGTTCCCCGCAGCCGAGCATGTCTTTTGCGTCCATCCAGACGATCACCAACGGCAATGTCGTGTCTGTCATCTACTGGGAAGAGGACGTTGTGTACGTGACCATGTACGACGACATCACCTCAACCACAACGGTTACGCCGACTCCGACGCCCGTGCTGCGCGCTAAGCGTCACCTTCATCAGCACCGTCACCACTTGTAGATGACGAGAATTCTTGTTCTTTTACTCCCATTTCTCGGAGTTGATCACTCGATTGGCATAGTTGAACAAAAAAATGGGGGGGAAAACAACAAGCTGGGGTCGCGGAATTCGTTTGTACAGGGCACACATCGGGATGTGGCGTCCTATTTCTTTTATCCTACGGGATCCTGACCCAGGAAACGATTTGGCTTCGCATTGGTTCTCTCACATCTTGTTCAAGGACACTGCTGATGTTGTCTGGACATTCTGAGAGCAGACACGCTTTTTTCTGGAGGTAGCTAGTAAGTTCCGGGTATGATACGGCCCGTTTTCATGAGTTTTATGGTGAACATCAAGCGGCAAATCATCATGTTGTGTTGGCTCTTGTCTATTGTCGGTTTTATCGAGTGAGGCGTGGTCGGAGAGGGGGTTGTATTTACTTCGTGTTGACTACGTCCATATTGTAGGCGTTGTAGGTTTGGCTTTGAGAGATACCTATTGTTGTAACGCTTCTGTCACCGCCAGTTTCATCGCCATCCCACCCGTTCTCCCGATGCTATCCTGTTGTCAGTCTATTGAAATCCGAGTCTTGAGGCTGCTATTCCAGCCATGCACGATCCCAAGTTGCCTATTTTTCTGACATGTCCTGAACAATGGCAGCTACTTCCACCATGATTCCCTCTCTGGAAACCAACACAATGTTGTCCCCATTCTCTCGTTCCCTTATACTTGACCATCCGGAAAATTGGTGTTGTTAGAACAAGCTTCTATATTCCGCCACCCCCTTCCGTCGAACGGTGTGCAATGTGTTAGTGGACATATAGAGCGAATGCGGATGAAATCATCCCCCCCCCCCCCCCCTGCTGCCACACTGGTTGACCTGCATGCATGCATTTTTTTCTTCTTTTTTCGAATGCTCGAATCACACGGCCCCATTCCCGACTCTCCATGGACGCGGCCACTTCCAGCCCCGACATATCAAGCCCGCACCCTCTCTATCTCGGGCGGCGATCCTCGGCGCACCCCGGGGACAGCACCCTTCATGGTGTTGCATTTCTCCAGACTGGAGGAAGATCGGAGCGCCCCTCACTTGGGCTCTTGCGCGAGTGAGCTGCTTACGGGAGGTGGCGCGTTGGTTGGCTGTCCCAAACCCTCTGTGGCTATCCGCCCGCACTCCTGGAGTCAGCGACGGTCCTGTTGAGCTGGGGTAGGTTGCATTTCATCTTTTTAGACTCGATGCTACCCAGAAACTGGTCATCTAGTGGAGTGGGGTGAGTTGATCGGCGGATTCGTGGTTGAGGACCACATTGGCATATAAATTTATATATTCGTACAAGCGCCCATCGTCTACATGGACCTCCTCAGGTTCTGTATCTGTCTATACAATCGGCTCGCCCTTGTCCTCAGCAGACGAGAAGGGAAGAAAGCCCAAAAATGGCCGCGATAGCCAGGACAATCTCCAAGCACCCGCCAGCAACCCCCGGACCTGTCGACCTTTTCGCGATGCGGCCCGCCTTCTCGTCCGCCTCCCTTGCGGGCCTCGTTCTGTCCGCCACGGCTGCGGCGCTCGTGAGCCGCGACTGCGCGACGGGGCCCCTGCCCGCGCTGGGGTGGAACTCGTGGAACGAGTACGGCTGCGACATCAACGCGACGGTGTTCCTGGACGCCGCGCGGCGCATGGTGGACTACGGCCTGCGGGACCTGGGCTACGAGTACGTCAACATCGACGACTGCTGGAGCGACAAGGCGCTGCGGCGGGACGCCGTCACCAGGGAGATCGTCGTCGACGGGGCCAAGTTCCCGCGCGGGATCAAGCACACTGTGGACCAGATCCGCGCTATGGGGCTCAAGGTCGGCATCTACAGCGACGCGGGTGAGTTCGAACCGTCTCGCGTCAGTAATGTGTGTGTGTGTGTGAAGGTTGATGGTGGAGATCGGGTCAAGGGCGCAGGGAGAAGGAACGCCGGGAAGTCTAGTGTTTGGTTCTGTAACGATACTCTGACACATTCATCACAGGGACGTCTACCTGCGGCGGTTATGAGGGTTCGTTAGGTTATGAGGAGATTGATGCCGCCACGTTCGCGAAATGGGGTATTGACTGTGAGTTCTTCACCGTTGGGTTTGCGGTCCCGCCCCTTGCACCAGGTATCACTCATCCCTTAAGCTCACCTCATCCCTTGCGTCCGGATATCTGCCCCCCCGCCCAGTCTTCACCCACCTGTGCCCGGTGGTGCGATTATTACAAACAACACACATAACTCACATTGTTAACAGACCTCAAGTACGGCAACTGCAACGTCCCCGAGGCGTGGTTCGACGACTGGAAGTACGTCCCCGAGCTCTGGCTCGGCGGGCCCCCAAACGAGAACCAGGACAACGGCCAACCGCTCAACTCCAAGACGGGCAAGCCCGCGCCCGCCGGGTACGACTGATCGTCGTCGCGGACGGCGGAGCGGTACCGCCTCATGCGGGACGCGCTCCTCGCGCAGGACCGCTCGATCCAGTACTCCCTCTGCGCATGGGGCCACGCGCACGTCGAGGCCTGGGGCAACGAGACGGGCCACAGCTGGCGCATGTGGGGGGACATCTACCCGGCGTGGGACGGCCTGCACCAAGGGTCATGGGAGGCTGATGCCGATCCTGAACCACGCGGCGTTCTGGGGCGCAGGGAGCGGCGCCGGTTTCTGGGGCCGCGGCGACTGGGACATGCTCGAGGTCGGCAACGGCGGGCTGACGCTCGAGGAGAACCGGAGCCACTTCGCCTTCTGGGCGGCGCTCAAGAGCCCGCTCATCATCGGCACGCGGCTCGACGGGATCCGGCCCGAGGTGCTCGCGATCCTGGCCAACCGGGAGCTCGTGCGGTTCAACCAGGACGCCGTGTTCGGCGGCGCCGCGCGGCCGTACAAGTGGGGCGCCAACCCGGACGGGGCGTGGAACGCGACGCACCCGGCCGAGTTCTGGTCCGGCGCGTCCGTCGAGGGGACGCACGTGTTCGTGCTCAACACGCTTGCGGGCGCGGCGGCCAAGACGGTCGCGTTCCGAGACGTGCCCGGGCTGCTGGAGGCAGGCCGGCGACGGCGGTACGTCGTGCACGACATGTGGACGGCAGAGGATGTCGGCGTGTTCGAGGACGAGTACACGGTTGAGCTGGCGGGCCACGACACAGCGGCGTTGCGGATCAACGAGGTCAGGTGTGTCGAGAGGCCGGCGCGCACGTGAGAATGGTTTCTCACTCTCACTCGTTCCCTATTTTTCTCACTCCACCGGGGAAGGGTCCAGGAGGGAAAGGGAGACGGAGTGTGTGTATGGCGCGCGGGGAGATTTTATCGGCTCCTTGATGCAAGGGAGAAGAATGCAATTCGATAGTTTGTTCTTTGAGCCACGATGAAGGAAGCTTTAATGAACCGCATCAGACCCTCTCCCCCCCTCCCCCCCCCCCCCCCCCCCCCCCCCCTCCCGCCTCTCCCCGTCTGTAGGAAATAGGAACGCATATAGTCTCAGGCCGGTAAAGGTGAAGACAAGACGAGGTGGCATACATTGTTAGGCGCTTCCTGCCCCCCCTACCGCTGCCTGGCCAGCAACGCGGTATCATCTCGTATTTGATGAAAGGCCCGCCCAACCCACGCATGGCCGCATACCAAAGCACCGCGCGCCTCCCCCACCCTATTCGTGAGGCTATTCGCAAGCAAACCCAAGCGTGTCCGCCACACTGCGCCAAGCCCGCAAATTCATATTACATCGACCAATGGTTTAGATGGAAGACTCCATCGTCACCCCTGGTAGAAGGCTAGTGAGCTGTTCGTGTGGGTGAGTTCGGGGTCGAAATGTAAATGATAGAGAGACAAGAGATGACAGATCTACTTGGGCCCCTCTGACCATACCCCCAAGTTATAAAAATCAGAACATCCGCGAAAAGCACTGTGTTAGACATAAATGCTGCCCTCTTCCCCAGTGATGCAAAGCCTTTTGCCTCATCCTAGCGCATGGGCGGGGCCTAGCGTCTTGTCGGCAAGGCACTTGTACGAGGGGTGTGTGACTCCGCGCCCCGAGAATGAGTGTTCGACGGGTATGAAAAGCGCTGGTCGCGAACGTTCGGGTCTGCACTCACATTATCGCAACCCAACTTAGATGACGCCAACTTCCCACTTTCATAAAAGATTCTTTCAACCTCCATCCGGGTATTACTATGTTCCGTAGATTGCTTCTGGCGTTCTTGAATACAGCTGAGGGAGTTAGCAGCATTTTTGTGGGAATAATCGTGAGCGTTTTGCAAAATAAACCGTTTGGATCAACGCGTACGGCAATTGGGGGCGACTTATGTGGGGCCACTGCCACAAAACTCTGAATAAATATCCCTCGTCCACTATTAGCAAGGTAGCTACTGCTGTTATAGTCGGTGGTTCTCTGGGGTCCATCTGCCTGCGTGCGCGTGCGGTGTGGCTAGAGCAAGGACATACTGCGGTGAGGCGGGAGGGGGGCAAAGGTTTCCTCCCTTCCATTGGAATGCATGCCGCCTAGGGCGACGGGATGGCAACGCATTCCCCACGGCCAGATTAGCCTGAGACCAGCGGCCCTCCTCTGATTCCCTTCTTCCATCTGTCTGCTAGCACCAAAAAAAAAAAAAAAAAAACCAAACCCATCGTCACGGGCGGCGGGTCATGCGAGAGCAGGAGAGACCTCTGGGATATGGACCAGCCATTCGCATTTTTTGGAAACGGGAATCGGCCGGCTTCCTCTGGTTCTTGTCGTCCTTGTCCCTCCCCGCCCCTCCCCCGGTCGTTCTATGTAGGTAGCTCCTCTTCCCTCTACCCTAGTTTGATCCCTGTTCAGTTTCCTAGATTGCCTTTCATTCTTCCCGGGCCTTGTTTACACACTGCCAACTATCCCGAGAACTCTTTCCCTGCTTGACATTTTTGAGTGTCTGTCTCCCTATACTGAACTCCTTCATACGCCGAACCAGCTCTTTGCAAAATCTTGAGGGAGAGGGAGAAGCCAGTGTGTACGACGTCAGACACAGCCTTACCATGAGAGATTCTGGCTGTGGTATCATCGCCCTCAATACTACCGTAACTTCTTCGACATCACCCTAGATCACCATATTGGAAGTAAAAGCAACTCTCCTAGTTTCGGGTCACGGCACCTCAACTTCACCCCGTCGTGCCATGTCGAGCCTGCCCCTGCTCGCCCGCGAACAAACAGTAGGAGGAGGCAGCATCGGCGGCGGCGGCGGCGGCGGCGGCATGACTCTACCTCTTCTCCTCGGCATCGCCATCGGGGGCGGCGTCCTCCTCTTCATATGCCTCGCCTTCCTCCTCGTCGCAATCGCCCGCCGCCGCCACCGCGCCGTGGCCCAAGCCCCCTCCGCGACGCCCGGAGTCAGACTCGACCTTGAATCAGACGGCAGCTCCGTCCGCACGACGCGCCCGCGGCGCCTGGTGAAGCAGAACCCGGGAGAGGTGTACACGCATATGGAAGAGGTCCAAAGTAAACCGCACCACTCCCTCTCGTCTCTCGTCCTCCCGTGGAGCGGCGTCTTTTCCGTGTGTGGCGGGTCGGCCAAGGCCGGCAATGGGCAGCAGCGCGGCGGTCACCTGCGGAGGAACAACAGCTGGATCGACGAGGACGCCATCCACGGGCCGAGGGTGCAGAACGACGGCAGGAGGTTGAGCGTCCGGGACAGCTTCATCCTCCGCACGCCGACGCTGCCGGATATGTTCGGGCACGAGAACAAGGACGACTTCAAGTTCCCGGAAGACCACAACAACTACTCCCTTCAGCAGCCTCGCCTGGTGAGCCTGCCTACGCAGCGTGGTGCCCACCCGCTCCAGATGCCGTTACGGAGAACGCCGTCCTACGAGTTGGCGGAGAAACTGGCCGCCGTGGCGAGAGGCGGCGCCCCTCCGGGACCCCAGAGCTTCCAGGGCTTCCAGACCTTCCAGGGACCACAGGGAGCCCAGGGGCCGCGTCTGATGCCGTTGCAGCGGCTACGGCACAGGACTACCGAGTCGGACCTCGCCGAGATCCTGAGGTCGACAGAGCAGAGGCTGCAGAACGGGACACCCAGCAACAGTCGGCCGGCGACCCGGCAGCGAGCCGCATCCGCATCGGCAGGATCGAGCATCAAAACCCAGCAGGTGTCGCCCACCAAGTCGAACTCTCCTGTCAAGGCACAGCCGCCAGCCGGCTCGCAGTCTCCGGTGAAGATCCAGGTTCCGCAACACGTCGCTCACGCCTTGAGCATGAGCGCGAGCAGGCAGGGGGCTCGCACGCCCAGCCCCTCCAAGCGTAGGGTCGCCGCGATGCATGCCGACACCCGGCCGCAACACCTCCGGGACGTTTCGCAATGTTCAGTATCCTCGGACGCAGACAGCTTGTTTGGAGAGACGACTCCCGAGATGGAACAAGTGTCGCCCACTGGGTTGTCGACCCCGAGCAGACGATCGGGCAACACTACCCCGACCAAGCCCGCCGGCAACGGCAAGACGGCGGAGTCTCCCGGCAGCGACGCCTCGTCGTCCCTCTCGACCCTGTACAGCATCAACGAGCCAGAGGACGACAGCAAGACCGGCGGCACGGGACAACCGCAGGGTATCGTCCGCAGCCGGAAGCCCAAAGGCCTCATCATCGACACCAAGATGTGCGACCCGTTCGTGGCCTCGGCACCCGACGTGCCTCTCAGAAGCCCCAGGCGTCAGACGCCCAGCTTCCCGCCCTTGCAACACCCCACGCCACATCAAGAAGACGTGGTGAAGGAGACCGTAGTCCACGTGCCAAACCACCCGAGGTCCGCCAGCAACTCCCCGGTACGGGCATCGTTGGATGCGGCGAAGCGCAGCAGCGTTGTCGACCAGAGTCAGACGCAGGGTTCAATAGTGATGTATCAGCCAGATATGATACCGTCTCCCGATACCGTCCGCCCGAAGAGCGTGATGCCGATGAAGCCGGTCTTCTTTGTCTCTAACACGGTCGTCAGTATGAAGGCCAGCCCTGGTACCTCTCCCGAGGACAACAACCAGCCCGCAATTCCCAGCAATAGATTGACGTTCGGCCAGAAGGGCACCGTCCTCCCGCCCCCCGTGGACTCGATGCCAAGCCAGGGATTACCAGTTCGTAGTAGTGCTGAACTGGGCAGCCCAGAATCGGTGCCCCGTGGGGGTGCCTCCCCAACAGTACGCAGTGACTCGCGGCCCTACACGCCTACCTCCCCAACGCGAAAAGACATGCCCAGTCCCGCTCTTTCGGCCGGATCTCACGCGCCTGTGAGATACAAAAGACGCGGCGGAGATAGTCCTGTGCGGGACCGTAGCCTCTCCCGCCAGCCACATGTTCGCAACCGCAGCGCCGACCACGTGCTATCGGTTTCCAATCATCCCTCCATCTTGCTGAAGCCGGCGGACTTACCCATGCGAAGCCCACAACACCGGGACTTTGGGGCAATGGGGCACCCGATGGGGCTCCAGGCGACTGTGGCCCAGCTCCGCCGAATGAACAGCCAGATGAGTACCTTCAGCGTCGGGTCGTCCGTATCCGACCCGGAAAGCCCGACACTGCCGAACATGCGCGGGGGCGGCTTCAGCCCGGAGAGAAGTAATAGCCGTGTGAGCAAAATTGGTCGCCAGAACTACCTCTCCATGGGAACAAGCCCGAAGGGAAGACGACACACCCACTTGGCCATCAAGACGCACAGAAACTCGATTGCCATGCCCAAGGCCCGGCTGGAGACAAACAAGTCATTCGATAGGCTACGAGCCACAGTCGAGGAGGAGGAGGAGGAGGCGGCGGGAAGTCCCCAGTTGGTCAGGGGGCCACGACCTATGGTCTCGACACCGAAGGGGGCCGGAAGAGGAGGGGCGAGAGAGACAGGGGTGGCGGTGGAAAGTCCGGTTCGACGAAGGACTGCTCATATTGACGGGGATGACCAGAGGTACATGGACAAGGCATCCAAGCGCAACAGCGATTACGAGAGTGCGTCCGTTCTAGAAATGTACATCAAGGCGGCTCGATTACTGGGCTCTCCGGACAAACCCGCTACTGGGGCCTAGGGGCACACCCCTGATATGAGGACCTGAGTTCCTCGTGTAACTGTTCCTTTGTCGATGGCGATAACGTTTGGAAATGTTGCCTTTAGCGACGGTTAAGCGGGTATGGCATGTTTCTTGGGTTGGGTGTTTCTAAGCTGAATACGGCGTCATTGTAATACCTAGTAGATAGATATTAGCAACTTCCCAAGCATCACAATCACTCAAATTAAAAGACATTTAAGCGAACAAGCCCGTAGACCAACTCTCAGCCCACAGAATGGATGAATGGCACCTTAGGGGTCGGATAAGCAGAAATGCGATATGCCTACCTCGTTTTATTGAGCCCGGGGGCCCTATCCATGGTATCAAGTTCGTTCCTCGTCACACCGTTTTTTCATGCATCCATCTTACAGCTGGGTCATGACTCATCGACGCGCGGACGCTTGTTGTCGGGGTCATCGTGACCGTTGACACCTCCGCCATTGACTTCGTCGTGTCCTCGGACCCTTCCGGCTCCCTCACCCAGCTCCCCGCCACCCCCCTCCTCAGCCTCCCCGTCGCCGTTCTGACCGATCCAGTTGCCATCGGCGTCAAAATGCTCGTGCACGTTCTCGGCCGTGATCCAGCCGCCACTGCCGGGGAACGCAGGGGGTAGACCCCCGTCGTGAGCACCGTACATAACTCCAGTGTATCCCTCCACGGGTTCAAGCTCGCCCTCAAAGACGATACGGCCATCCTCCTCTTCATCGTCGTCGTCCACCGGATCGGGGTGCAGGTCGGAGCACGCCGAGATGGCGTCGTAAAATTTCTGGACGTCAACCTGAGCGCCAGATGTGACCGTGGGGACCAGGGTCAGGTCGATTGTATCGAAGTCTTCGTCGCCGTCGCCGCCGTCGGCAAGCTGCAGCTGCATCCAGATGGCTTGGAGCGGGGCCCCCTCGGCCATGGTGCCGACCTGCTTGACTGCGTGAATGGAGATGGAGGGGTAAGGGACCTCAACGCCCGCCCCTTGCGCTTCAGAGAAGATGGTGAAGTTCCTATGAGAAAGAAGACGTTAGCAAGGGTGGCCGCCCGGCGCACGGGGAGGAGAGTTGGGGGGGGAGCTTACTCTGAGTTGACAAAGACGGAAACCTTCTGCTCCACCAGCTCCTCGGAGACCTCGTTCAACGTCGCGCCTTCGGGGGCAGAAGCCGTGGTCGCGACGTCAGCCGGGAAGACGGCCAGGTTGCCCTTTTGCGACGCCGGAATCCATGCCTTGGCGCCCTCAAGGTGGAAGTGCAAGACGGGCTTCCCGCCGAAGAAGGTCTCTGGGGTTTGAGACTGGTGATCCTCGATGGGGGTAAAGTCCCCGAGCGAGGGAGGGGAGCGAATCGTCGTGGGCAACATGGTGATGATGTCAAAGAGGTCCTGTAAGGGACTCTGCTTGGGCTGTGCTGTGAGGCTACTCATGGTGGGGGGGTTTTTTGCTCAAGTTGAAGCTGGAGAAAGTGAAGCTCTTATCGTTATCGCCACGTGATAAAAATCTCAATGCTAGCGGACACAACTGGACTGGGTATGTCGTGATCAGGAAGGCGGTGAGAGGAGCATTGGTCAGATGGGTTAGATCTGTTCCGAGGGTCTGGGCTTTCCCCCACTGATGCCACCCACTAATTACCTTGCTTACCTAGCCACTGGGTCTCTTACGTATCGCAACACTCACTGGGCGTCGCGGGGGACGTCGAGATCCATTGACCGGGCGCATTCGCAATCACTTGCCACGCTCTGTGCCCACGGACCTTCTCGAGTCTCGGTCTCAGACAACTGCAAGTAGAACCTCTTTTGCTAAACTGATCGAGCTTGTATAGCCCCTCCAAACGGCATATCTCGACTTGTCCTCTCACTCTTTGTGTCTCTCCCTTTCTCACTGACGTGTTACCTACCACAAAGGCCTCTTATCCATCATGTATAACAACCGTGCGTATACTCTCTTCCGCCTTCTACCCTCCTGGAAGACCGCTCGGAATACTAACTGGCGTCCCCAGGCTCCCACCCTCTCCTCCAGCAGGTTCCTCTGACCGTCTCCCCCTTCATCTCCTTACCCACCGCCACGACCCTGTCCTACAACTACAAGGCCATGCCCTCGGCCCTGCCCCCCTCCGCGACGGGTGTCCCTGCCGCTGTGGCGGACAACACCGCGGCTGGGAGCGGCGGCGGCAGCAACGCGTCGGCGGACAAGCCAAAGTACGTCATCTCACAGTCGGGCCACGCCGCCCACCCGGACGACATCATTGCCTCGTGCCGCGCGCTGCAGGAACACATCACCAAGATGCAGGAGGACGCCGAGCGCGACCTGCGCGACCTTGAGAACAGGATACAGGAGCGAGAGCTGGCCGAGAAGAGGCGGGTCGCCCCGGGCTGGCTGGACAGCGAGGCGCGCATCTTGGAGCCCGAGAGGGCCGCCGGCGGCACCGTATCCCCCGAGTCCGACGAGGCGCGCCAGGCGAGCGAGATGCCGGTAAATGACCAGGGCGCGGAGCTGGACCGTGTGTTCGGGGGACTGAGCATGAAGTAAAAGCAGGAAGCGTCGACGGTTGTTTTTGCAATTCTCTCATGTCTGGAGGGTTGTTTTTCTGGCTGGCGTTGGGCACTCATACATAAACATTTGTCGTTCAGGACTTATCCTCCTTTTTCCATCCTTTTCCTTTTCTCCTTACACATGGGACTATCTATACCAGAGTCTATCTAGCAGTGCTAAGCGGGCTTATCTGATTCGGCTGTGGATAATTTAATTGAAATCAAGTTCAAAAGGTCTCGCAAGCTTCCTGGATGATGGTGGACCGAGTGATCAAAGCCCCCTTCCCCTCCCCCCCCATTGGTGTTGTAGGTCTACACGTCATATGAGACTCTAAATTCTGAACTTTGATCGCAGGATGCGGTATCTGAGGGACTCTTTGAATGAGAGGTAAGGCGGGACAAGTGGGATATCCAAGAGCAATCAATGGTGTTGTTCATCGGTATATTTCCATCAACATCCAGATCGCCAGTGTCACGCCTAGGGGTGGATCCAGTATGCAATACTTGCGAGTGCTGAGTAAAGCCGGCCAGCCAAGCCTGCAGATGTTCAAGGCACCCTATTGGCTTAGAGATCAAAGTACAAGCCGACACACAGCTTGAATGGCAATCGACAGTAGTTTGACAAAAATATTTGATTAGAGTCTTCACCTCTACAAGAGCGAGGAGAAGGAGCGATAGCAATCTACGACCTTTCAAAGTTGAACGTGTCTACGTCGCTCTTCTTGCTCCATTGATGGACCAGCTTGTCGCCGGAGCGGCGCTTCTCCCTGAAAAGGGCCTCGGTCATGTACTTATACAGCCAGATGTTGGCGCCGTTGTAGACGATGCTGTGGTCGCTGTCTGTGAAGGCCAGCCAGTTCATCTTGGACTGGGGCACGCCGGCGCCGACGAGGAGGTCGATAAGGGCGGCGGTGTTTTGGTAGTGGACGTTGTCGTCGCCGGTGCCGTGAAGGATAGTGAACTCCCCGGCCAGGTTCTTGAAGCCGTCGGGGTTGCGGACGGCCGTCTCGTTGTAGCCGTCCTCGTTGTCGGCCAGCGTCTTCATGTAGCGCTCGGTGTAGAGCGAGTCGTAGAAGCGCCAGTCGCTGACGGGGGCGACGATGAGGCCGGACGAGAAGACGCCCGAGTCGGCCTCGAGGACCTTGGCGGAGAGGTAGCCGCCGTAGGACCAGCCGAAGATGCCGATCTTGCTAGCGTCGACAAAGGCGTTGCGCTCCGCCAGCTGCTCGGCGGCCCAGATCTGGTCGAGGGGCTCGAGGCGGCCAAGGTGGCCGGCGACAGTGGAGCGGAATGCGCGACCCTTGTAGCCGGTGCCGCGGTTGTCGACGGTGTAGGTGATGTATTCGAGCTCGGGGTCCGAGGCGATGAAGGCACGCCAGTTGATGGACTGGTAGCGCTTCGTGACCTCCTGGGCTCCAGGGCCGCCATAAGGCGTAAACAGGGCCGGGTACTTCTTGGAAGGGTCGAAGTTGGCGGGCAGTCGCTGCATCGCGTTGAGGCTGTAGCCGTCGGGGTGCTGGAGCTCGAAGTAAGTGATGTTGGGCAGCTTGTACTCCTGCAGGCGGGACACGAGGTCCTCGTTGCTGGTAATAGTCCGGACGGGCTGGGTGGAGTTGATGGCGTAGAGCTCCTGGTAGGGGACATTGGGGCCCTGGTAGGTCAGGATGTAGTAGCCGGCTGAGGAGGAGAAGGAGGCGCTCCAGTATCCGGCGACGGTGTCGTCGACGAGCGCCTTCTTGAGCCCGGAGGGGTAGGAGACGGAGTAGAGGTGGCGCTCGGTGCTGTGGTGCTCGGTGGAGAGGTAGTAGATGAGTTGCCGCTTCGTGTCGACCTTGAGCACGGAGGAGACCTCCCACTCGCCGCTGGTCAGGGCAATGGGGCTTCCGCCGTTGGTCGGGTAGAGATACAGATGATTCCAGCCAGACTCGTCTGAGAGATCGAGGTAGTAGGCGTCGGTGGAGTTCTGCAGGGGCCCGATGTACTGGATTCCTAGGTTGTTGTCGAGCCAGCCGTCGGAGCCGTCGCGCTCGCGGATGACCTTGGAGGCGGAGGCCTCGACGTCGATGCGGACGAGCTTCTCCTGGTCTTGGACGCGATTGAAGGCGCGGTAGACCACGCTGCCGTGGTCGGCGGTCAGCCATTTGACCTCGCCGACAACGAGGTCGTTGGCGGGGAAGGCGTCGATGGCGACGGGCGTCGTCTCTTGCGTCTCGAGGTCCAAGAGGGTCAGGGCGACGGTGGGGTTCTTGCTGCCGACCTTGGGGTACCGCAGGTCGAGCTCGACGGGGTAGGGGGGCGCGACCTTCTGTTTGTCCATGAAGTAGGGGATGGTGAAAGTTTCGACGCCCGTCTCGTTGAAGCTGAGGTAGGCTAGGTACTCTCCGTCAGGGGAGAACCACAGGGTGCTTCTATCACCGAATATTTCCTCTTCGTACACCCAGTCGGGCACGCCGTGGAACATGTCCGGGCCGCCGTCGTCTGTGATCTGGGAGATGGTGCCATTCTTGCTGAGGAACAGGTTATTGTTGCGAACGAAAACCTGGATAAGCGTGTGAGCAACGGTCCTACTATTCATGTTTTTTCCTAGTGCCTGATGGCCATGTTCAAATTGCACAGGCAGCACGCAAGGTGGAAAAAGTATTAAAGAAACAGGGCCAGACATACAATGGCATCGCCGACGGGGGCAAACTCGGCGTATTGAATGTCGCCTACTTGATCAGCCACCAGAGGCTCGAGCACGCCGGATTCCACGTCGAGGATGGAGTAGTCAGCGAAGTAGGAATGGCGGTACTGCTTGGTGTAGTTTGTGGCGAAGAGGACCTTCTTGAGGTCAGGCCGGATCCAGTAGTCGTGATGGACGGGGATCTTGTCGGCGGCAACGAAAGTCTCGTTGGCGCCCGAGACAATGTGCTCGATGACGAGGCCGTCGGCGAGCGTGATGAAACTACCGTCTTGGGTGCCGGACAGCCAGCTAACGGAGCGGGAGCTAGCGCCAAAACGCGGCGAGGCGACCGTCTCGTTCCACGTGACCAGTCGGTCGCCGCCTCCGACGGGCTGGTACGGCGGGCGAGGCGGCTCAATGGCGGCGGTGGAGCGCAGCAGCAGGGCCGCGGCAACGGCTTGAAAGACCTGGCGAACCATCTCGAATGCCTGGCCTCTCTCCGATCTCTCAATTGTCCGTTGTAGGAATGCACGCACACTGGGCACGAAGTGACGAGGGACGGAGAACGAGGACAATCACCGGAGGAGGGGCGACAAGGAGCACTGAGGTAGACGAGAGAGTCTCGTCTCGTCGTCGGCGACCGCAAGACGAGCAGCTCGTAACCGTAACTTTTATACCTCAGGTAGGTAGCTAGCCAAGCTTCACCGCGAGGCAATTGACCATTAATCATGCAGGTAGCCCTTGCAGTAGTGGTCCGAGTACCACCGTAACAAAGTAGGTAGGTAGCATAAACCATAACCTACATACAGGTACTTCGTAGTGTAGTGGCAATGAGACGACGCGCGAATGAGCGTAACGGATATGCTAATGATGAGGGCAAAGTGCGAATGGCGGGCATGTCGTGCTATGGTGCCAAGCCGTGATGATGGAGACGCAATGTAAATGGCCATGTTTTCCTAGCCTTGGTCGGTCTCGGCGCCTTCTGTGACTGGCTAAGGCCGAATCGTTGGAGAAAAGCACTTCGGAGGCTGGGACGGCCTGGGTGAGAAGAGAGAGAGAGGCGGGGTGCTTTGATAAGGACCTGCCAAAGTTGGACTGATGGCAGTAGTATACCAAGCCTGGAATTGACAGCACTGTATCCGTATCCGTATTCCTCTCGGAGAGCCACGAGAGGCTAAGGGTCATTGGTTGCGACGAAAGAGTCTGAGAAAGAAGGAAATTAGATGCACCATAAAATACCAAACATACCTAACCAAAAGCACGAATAAAGGCCATCTTCACACAATTAGGGATACACGCGTATGATCCCATTCGGGAAGGTTGCACTTGCACCAGGGGGGGGGGGGGGGGGGGGGGGGAAGCTGTGGGGCCGGGCGGCTTGCCAGACACCTAGGTACGTATCTACTCGGAGACTGAAGCAGGCTAGGTAAGCAAGTAGGTACGTAATGTACAAGTACACTGGGTGATCATCACGTGGCGGAAGCACCGATGATTATATAAAAGCGCTTAGTCATTCACATCTATGGCTTATACGATGTACGTCTGGGGAAAGGCAGGGGGAGAGGGCCGTGCCGTGGCTGTGTAGCATCGTCCGGCAATTGACGACGGGAGGATCGGGGGAGCAAAAGAAATGCCATTCTCCCATACCGCCATTGAACTTACCCACCTCACCGACCTACCGAGAGACTGGTAAAAAATCATGACTCGTGTGAGACATTAAACACGAGTTGACACGAATACTCTCAACTACAACAGAACGCAGTCAAAACCTTGCCGTAGCCGTCTAACGCACAGTTCACAATTCCTACCAGACTCACAAATTCTGCCACTCCAACCGCCTTGGCTAACTAGCTCTGCATGCTGCATCGATAGGACAGCTGGCACTGCTGTAATATTTCAAGGTGATATTGTACAAGAAGTATAGCTAGCACCAGGAGCCGGCCCTTTGCCCTGTTCAGGGAGCGTCTAGGCTTTTGAGTAGGATATTGACAACAAAAACTAGCATCTCGCTATAGCCAGTTTTTTCTGAGCCGAAGGGGGTCTGAGGATGTGTTGCCACCTGTTACCTTGTGTATTCTGACTAACATCACAAACTTTGCAGCCACGTCCAGAGCCTTGGCTGCACGACTAGAACCCTTTCCTTCCAGATGAATCCACATACGACGTAACGTACATTTAGGATGTGTGATGCCTGGTCGAGGTTATCCATTTCATCGCCCCACGGTTGTCTTTGATGTCGTGCATATTGATGAGACGGGGAACTGCTAATTCCGAGAAGCAGCTCACCCGAAAATTGCCCCAGAAGAAGTGGCCGCTGATAAATGCCGAAAGCAATGATTTGCCCAATGTCCCAGCAATGTCTTTGACGCTGTGGTTGAGAAGTGTGTTGAGATTGTGTGTTGGTATTCTTGATGTAATCTCTATCAAATACCAACGTTCTCGAATGGGCCATGCGCCCTTCCAATGCCGACTTGACAGTTTCGAGCGGTTGGCCTGTGGAAAAAGGAATCTATGAAGAGACCTGTGTCACAGTCCGAGAGAGAACTAATGTCCGGCCGTCGAAACCGTCATATCTCATTCCATGGAGCAGAAGCTCCTTGCATCAGACACGGCGGGGAACGACATGTTGGGATAGGAATCCTTACCACACCCTCTTGGCGCTAAGGAGCCCCCGGCAGGCTAAGGTGCGCGCGCCCGCTGCCAGTTCAAGGGAAATGGATTGAGCATACTACTAGGTAGGTATGTGGGAGGTGGGCGCCACGCCTTATGAGGTGTCGCTTCTTGCCGTACCGTCCGTCCCGTCCGTACCTGTGTTTCCGGCTCGGAAATATTGCTCGATCCGAGCAGGGACATTTCCGAAGACCCGCGGTCCCGAGAGGCTCCCGTAGATCTGCCGTGTTGCGTGCACATTCTCGCCTTACAACACCATGCCATGCAAGCACTCTTCATCCTTGCGGGCACTGCTCGATTGCATCTGCCGGTACACTCGTGGCCTGGCATCCGGGTGACCCATTCAAAAAGGCCGATTGTCATGTGGCATTGGTAAGGAAAAGCGACCATCTTTTTCGCCACCCAGGTGCCTGGGAGATAGTAGGGGGTGCCTTCATCAAAGATTCCAACATCGGCAAACACTCGGCCGAGTGGCAAGCCTTCCTAGGGGAACCCCCCCCCCCCCCCCTCCCTCCCATATATTGAATCGCGACGTGAAATATGTGTAGAGCTTCTAATCCAATAATAATGCTGAAACAGGCTGCTTTCCAGCCTTCTTTGATAAATGTTTAATACACGAGCTATAGGCTCCGTTCAGGCCCCCCCCACGCCCTACCTTCTTCACGGCAATTTAGGATGTCGCCTGCCAAATCCTTCAGAGCCGTTTGAGGACGCTGGATTGGGGATAAAGAACGAAGGAAAGAAAGAATAAGAAAAGAAATCGACGTCTTAATTGTCATATTCAGGGGTCTGTCGGAGTAAGTGCTAGTTTAGCGAACCACAAAGCTTTCAGTCAGCCAGGGTGCAAAACGCACACAGGCCATCCCTTTTCCTCCTATTCGCTCCTGTTCCCCAGTGGGCCGTGTCTAGCCCGTCCCATGTGGTTCTGTGGTTGCCCATCTGCTTACTGTTTGGGGCGGATCTTTGTGAGACATGGCCGAGTACCATTCCCACAGCCTCGTGCTCCACCCCTCCTCCATCATCGTCACGGAAGACAAGGGGGCTGCTTCCCCGACCCAGGCTTGGGCCCAAGGGGCCTTGAACTCGAAGGTCCTAGACCGTCACCTCGTTTTGTTCGCGTGGAAGGATCGGCGTGGATAGTCGCCGGCCCATCCATGCCATGCCGCCTGGCGGATCCCCCGCTGCGATTGATTGAGCATCGTGGATCGACCTTTGGTTTGTGGAGACAACGTCAACTCGATATCCTTTTGTCTCTCGGCTTTCGACTCGACTTATGATAGACGACTATGCCACACATCCGTCTTCATGTTTACGGCTTGTCTCACCCGCTGGTCGTTCAGCATGGTATATAGGCACCCTATATGTCTATCAAAGAGGTAACCTGAGACAGCCTTAGGGCCTCCCCAACGCTTGTAATATATCCAGTAAACAACAGGCATTTGCGCGGAAATAAAATCACCGACGCTGACCCCCTGGTCGGGGCACTCTTGCGCCGCAGTTCAATAAATGTGAACCCTTGTCTTTGTCAAATTTCAACCTTTGACCAAATGTCTACCTACTGTCGACCTCCATCCAGCAAGATGGCCAGCGTCTTTACTTTGACCTTGTCCGGGTTTCTCAAGACCTACAGCAACCTAGCGTTCCTCTGGTCTCAATCTTCTGTCTTACGTCACGCACCGATGAATGTGACTCTGCAGGAGGAGACGCCTGTAGCTAAGCCACTCTGGGCGCCATCGACAGCAGCTTCCCCGATCTGCTGCCTGCATTCATCACATTTCATGTTACATCTTCCGGCCGCAGCATATCATGTCCGGGGGTGACCACCACCACCACACCCCCTCACCACTTTCGACAGCCCAGGCCCGAATCCAAGACGTCTGGTTCTCGCTGATGGGTTGTACCCTTCCCGCCATACACACCATATGCTCACTTATCAGATATCGCATATGATGAACGACGAAAACCGTGCACCCTATCATGACGACGGGAGACCACCAATCACAACCCGACCGGTGGCATGCACCCTGCCCGCGCATGGATTGGGGACACGCTCTTGCGGTGATGGCGTTCGTGATATGATATCACGCCCGCCTCGTCCCCCCCGCCTCGGTCAGATGACCGGTAAAGCTGAGAGTCCCATGGTGAGACATCATTGAGGATCACATTGTAGCCAAGCAGCCTAGGGCTTGAGGCAGGGCTTTGAGGAATCGTCTCCTTGGGCGGCGCGGTCCCTTTAGTTCAGGAGTCTCTGTCAAAACAATCCAGGCCGTCGCCGGAGCACTATTTCCTCCGCTATGGGGCCCATGCGGCTTCTGCTTTTCCCCAAACCTGTATGATGCCCCTGGCGCACCCGCAGTAGGATCTCTCATTATTCACCGCATCCAGGCGCTCCCTGCACCATACTCGACAGGGAATCCGCACAACCTCGACGAAGAGAAGAAAAGAAAAGAAAGCCTGGCATGTTACTATCATATAGGATGGAACATTCCAACTCTGCGTGCTTTAGTTAACACCCAATCACAGTCTCGAGCATCAATGGAAGGTATAACACCGTCAGGTGTTCACTCTGCGATTATTCACCTCACGAATCTACCCAAAGTCATGGAACCGAGTATTCACTCACTGCGCCCTGCGGTTTTACTAGATAAGCTGGGTTACCTCGTCGGCCATTGGGCTGCCCCAAAGTACCCATCAGCTCTAGAATTCCGGCTTGAGACTACCACACAGCGAAAAATGACAAAATACAGCACAGTCGCGACAAAGAAGGAGCCCTCCCTCCGGGACCATTACATCCATCAACTTACCCATTTCGACAGGTTTGTCTCCCTCCTCGGTAAGAACGGGCAACCCGCACGCTTCGAGACCGTGGATATTGCCGACCTCACGACCATCCAGTTCTTGCCGGGGAAAACGGGCGCTAGAATCGTCACGAAAAAGTCCTCCGGCGCGAATCCGTCGGAGAAATTCGTCTTCAAGGGCATGGACTTTGAGCGGTACAAAAATGACAGCGTCGACTTTCGGCAACACCAAGAAACGACGCTCCTTCACGAGATCCGCACGCTTCACGCCCTCCCAGCCCATCCGAACATCATGCCCTGCCCCCGGGCCCTCGTCGTCGTCCGGGATCGGGACGGCCGGGACCGGATATGCGGCTTCCTGCAGCCCGCCATGGACAAGGACTCGCTGGACGAGCAGGTCATGCGCGCCAATCGGGCCGGCCGCCGCATCCCACCCACGCTCAAGGCCAAGTGGTGCCACCAGATGGCCATAGCGATACGACACACACACCGGGTCGCCGGCACCTTCCACATGGACCTGAAGCCCGGCAACATCCTCGTCGACGACTACGACAACCTTCTCCTCATCGACTGGGAACAGAGCGGCTTCTCCATGTTCACCCACCCGCCCGAGGTCACCGTCGACCAAGAAGCCGAAGAGTCGGCCGGGGCCGGGGCCGCGCGGCCCCGGATCCTTTACAATCCGCGCACCGGCCCGCCACGCAAGAACCAGAAGTGGGGTTTCCCGGACTGGAATGTCCTGCCGGAGTGGAAGGTGTCGTGCCCGCGCGCCGCCGAGCTCGCCGAGGTTTTCAGCCTCGGCAGGACGATGTGGATGCTGCTGGAGCAGGTCGAGCAGTCGGCCGATCCCACTATATGGACTTCCGTGGCGTCAGACATACCGCGGGAGTGGAAGAACATGGTGATGCGGTGCGTCGAGAGGGACCCGAACAACAGGCCGGAGCTGGACGAGGTCGTCGACTTTTGGCGGAGGCAATTGTAACATATCGGTCCTCTGGGATGAGTGCTTTTTCTTCTTCCTTTTTCCTTCTCAACCTTGGTAAACATGTATTCTTAGACAAGCATTACTGCAACAGCGACCAACTCCAAGTAAAAGAAAAGGGTTAATGGCCCGTTCAAGACATCAGACTCCCAAGCCAACTCAGCAGGTTTTCTCTGGCCTGAGTAGTACGGGCTCTCTCGTTTGACTGTTTAGTCTAAAATCTATTTCTCTTTTTAAAAGAGGAAAAAAAGAGGCTGAAGATTTTCGACTTGTATCCATAACCTTTTGAAAACTCCGCAGAGAAAAATGACCCAGGGCCGTGCTGTTAGCGCTCTCTATTCGATCGAGTGCATGCCCGAATGCGACCTTAACCTGACGTTTGAAAAGTATACACTTCCGTTTCTAAGTTAGTTCAAACGTGTGCTGCAGGACCACGCCGGCTTCCTCGTCGTACCTCTGAGACCTCAGTACGACATGCCTCTTTCGCCACTTAGCCATAGCGACAAGTACTTGCATCAATATGTATACTTTTGCCGTAACTACGTCGTTCAGGTTACCTTCCTTCACCAATATAGCTGGTAGTTGTCCCGCAGCCTCACGGCGTCGCTCTGTGTTGAAATATGGACATTATCGGGTTTGTAGCAACTCGGATGCCAAGGTTCGCCTACTACCCCAATTTATCCCTCCTTATTCCTTCTCTTCACTTCCTCCTAATTTGAGAGCGCTCCTGTGCTCCAGCCTCGGTCTTTGCCTTAACATTGTGTCTGTATGTGGATGATGAGGGATGGTTCATAGATGGTCCTCGCTTTTGTATCTTGAAGTTGGCCAGCTTCAGCCTCTTGTTCTCTCCCGGGTTCTATGCCTATGCCGATATTGGAGGCGCCGTGTGTATTTTCCTATTCCGCTGCATCATAAACGGGAGAGTGTAGGTTTTCCATCAACCTTAACTGGAGGAGGCTTTGAACCCTTCTCCTCGAGCTCCCCCAGGCCTGAATCTTTTCCAGTAAGCTTTCTCTAAGCGGATTTCGTAGCGCGTTTACGTTTAGGTTCCACTATATTGATGATACTTGGACGCAGTTACGCCTCTGGTTCTGTATACCTGCTTGCGCTGCTTAGCAAACTCGGAACTCACGTCTTCAGACTGACGCTAACGCTTTGTTGCGTGGAAATTGTAAAAGAGGTCTTCATTAGTGGCCACTATGGGAGGTGGGAACGCAAGAAGGAGGAGGTGGTGGTTTGGCATAGTCAAGGGGTGAGGCGGACAGGAGGATGTGGTATGTAGTCGTTCTGGTATTCATAGCGTGATCGTACGCAGAATTCGACGGACTGTGACGTAAATTGGGCATATTTCCGTTTAAGCGGGGTCTCTGCATGAGGCTATAGTCTTGGAGAGGGAATAAAACCGTCGTTGTTTATTCTGCGATGTTCGGCTGAGTACCCACCGCGGTGTTACGTGGTGTGGTTCGAATTCGGTCATCTGCCATACTGTCCACGAGCATCAATTGGCTTATCGGAAGATTCGGACAGAGATGACTAGGCTATTGTTATAGGTTTAGGACATGCTGCGCAAGAGGCTTTTCACTTTAAGGTACGAGCGCCGAAGATTATTGGCAAACCGGTATGTCTGGAGATGACCAAGGTCTCCTCAATGAATATTCAATCTAGGTTAGACGAATATCATTTACTAGACATTCCACATAAAAGGTTTTCATAACAAGAACTCAGTCAAGAATCGAAAGGATCAGGCAGTCCTCGATCCGTACAGAATGTACTAAGAGCATCAGACTCCGCAGGCAGTGTTTCTTTCAAGTTTAAGACTGCTTGTCTCTCGTCCCAACCAACTTCCCACTTAAGATCAAGTAATGGGTATACTGAACGGACATTATCGATGGCCTCTCCAGTTTGTCCAAATTTGTAAGCCGCTGTCAAGTCTGCAAGGTCATATCTTGTCCGTAATGGGATATTGCCACGTTTCGCAGAGAGCGTTTTTGCAAGACCATCATACCGAGGGCTGGGGCCAAGCATATCTCCTTCCAGCAAGGCGATGACTTCGTCCAAGTCCGTCTCGCCGTCCTCGGTCTTGATCAGTACTCTTCGACCCAGCCGGGCTTCAGCGAGAGTCCACATCCTCGTGATCCACCGGCCCAGACAGAGGACCACGGCCACGTCGACGAGACTCCCAGTCTTGAGCTGCAGTACCAGACTGTCCAGAACGACGACTTTGTCCGCATTCCGGTATATACTGTTGAGGTTGTTTATAACGCCGACACGCAGGGCTTTCGTCTCGCTCTGCTGTTGAGGACTCATGTCTTCGAGAACCTCTGGCATGGCAAGCACGTCCATCCAAAGCCACATCACACCGCATCGATCGAAAAATTTCCGAAAGTGCGCCTTGTGGATACCCTTTTTCCGTAGGCTCAGATCAACTTTGCCGAACCCTTCTGGATTGTTCCAACCCATCGTCTCCTCCCATACGTGGGACATGACTGAGTACCCGTCGTGCAGGACTTTGAAGTTCCCGTCGGCGTTGACACAAAGCGCGGCCTTCTGATCAACTGACTGTTGCACGAGATTGAGAGGTGCTTTGATGTACCTGTCAAAATCGAAGCCAAGAGCGAGTAGATTCGAGAGACCGTATTCATTCCACGTCTGGCGGAACACTGCAAAAGTATGTTGTTTGAATAGCCGAATAGTAGAATGAACGATAAGTATCGGTATAGCCAGTGCAAAGCCACCGCCAATGCAAGAATACATGAAGACCTTGGAGCCGAGGCCGAGACCACGGTATTGGTTGAACTCCCTTCCGCAAGGGTTGTAGTCGTGACCCCTAAGCCCGACTTGGTGGAGGACGGCCTCAACGTCGGCGACCTCCCAGCGGCTAAGTTCTCTGTTGGAAGTAATCATAGCCCTGCGCGACCCTATACCATGACGTTGAAGCATCTCCTGGAGGCGGAGGCGGGAATCGGTCTCTTCTGAAACCATTTTCGTTGGTCGATGATGTCTAAACGCTCGTTGGAGAACCGCTGTATCATATTCCGTTGGAAACCGTAAGTCTGTTGGAAGAAGCCGCCAGGTCGACATTGCTTCCACCAACAGGCGATGCCGCCCAAGTATAGCGAAAGCAAAAGAGATGTTGGGCCGCATAGGCAATCAGGGATGCAGCAGGCGGCTAACAGTATGGACCCCAGCCAGAACTTGGCCAATCATCGTCGTCCCGAACCGCGCGGGGAATCCAAAATGGTTCGAGCCAAGCCATGAGAGTAATTGAGGATGCCAAATGTAATTGAGCCTAATGGATCTCTTGGAAAATGGTTGAATATGCTTGACATACTTAATGACCGTTCCCCCCTCTTAACCAGTCTCGGAATTGGAATCGTCGCGAACAACTTCAATATCGAACATCATGGCTGTCAACGCAATTTCTTTACACTCAAGGATGAAAGAGGTCCTGATGAGAAATGGGATCAACCCCAGAACCTCTCAGGAATGCGCCCTCAACGAATTAAGAGACTGGTCACCATCAACTGTCGAAAACGTTTTGGCGAAGGTTCAAAGACCTTGCATTGGCCATTGCCCATTGAAAGACACCAGCTCCGACCCTGACGAGACCTTCATCAAACAACGCTTTGGAAAGTGGCTACCACCAGCCTGGGTGCGGCCTCCCATAGAAATCGTACGACAGGCTGTTGCAGAGAAGAAAGCCCTCTGCGTGAACAGACGGTTCCAGTGGAAGCTATGCAACTCGGATTACTTTGCTGTTTCTCACGTCTGGGGGGAGGGCATCCGAGCTGACCATAGGGGCCGAGGCCTCTCTCGGCAACACTTGACCAGGGTCTTCAACGCTCTCGCCATCACGGGTGCTGAGTGGATCTGGCTGGATGTCCTCGCCGTGCCGAACGCCGATCCCGAGGGGAAGAATTTGAGCCCAGAAGAAAAGAAACTACAGGTGGATGTCATCAACACGCTCCCACAAGTCTATGAAAGGGCCACTGCTGTCATCGTTTTCGACGCAATGGTGCTGCAGATGCACAAGGCTTCGTCCATCGATGTTGCCGTTGGGCTGGTCTGCGGTGCATGGATCTCTAGGGTGTGGACATACCAAGAGATTCGACTGGCGAAGAAAGCCATCATTGTCACTGCGGATCAGATGTTTACCTGGGACAAAATCGTCAAGGATTTACGGGAGCTGGTCGACACCGACAAGTCACGCCAAGGAGGACCGCCCAGTCAGAGCAAGTTCTACTCTCTGTATCTTTCTATGGCGATTTTGCAATACGTCGGCAAAGTCGGCCTTTCTCTGACCGACATATCGTTTGCGTCGGCGACGCGGCAGTCGACGTATGAGATTGACTACGCGCGGTCGCTCTTCGCGTTGGTCAACCTACCCTGGAACCCGAAATGGACGACATCCGCACCTGGTATGCAAGCAATCTACCAGAATCGCCGTCAAGACGCTTCCCGGCTGGTTGCTATGTACGGAGCCAAGAGATTGAAAGTCAGTCCGCGGTGGGCGCCGTCTCGGCTGGCCGGCCTTGAGGGGACGGTTCACGGTGACATGATTTGGGAGGCTGAAGGGTTAAGGGGATCTTGGCATAAGGAGCGTATCACCAAGTGCACCGACCTCGGAGTCGGCAGAGCACAACGGGCCAAGAGGCTTTCGCTGGGTGGCCAGAGCTCCGGTTTGTGGTGCGAGGTGCTCATTGGCGCTGACGAGGAACCCGATACCATCAATAGCTTCCACAGGGCTATTTCGGATGGACGGGCATTCTTGATTTGCAGACATCAGATCGCAGACGGCGTCGGGTTCGAGCGGGGAACGGCCAGCCAGGCGTTGGTCGTTGAGACCATTGGAAAGAAAATGGACGATCAAGTGGATGTCCTGTTTGCAACGGCGTTGAGAGCGGTAAATGGAGCATCCAGGAGCGAGCGGCGTTCCGTACTGCTCAGACATTGACGAGGCCGGCAATACCTGGCAACTGTGCATGGCCAAATGTTCGAAGTCAAGGATTTGTATAAAGGAAAGGGTGACAGTGTACCATAGTCAAGCTAGTTTGCATTTTCGTGGAAATTGTTTCTTTTATTTCGGCACTTTGTTCTCGTGTCTTATATGTTTTGCTTTTTCAGTCTTGACCGCAAAGCTTAATGAAGTCTGCTTCCCCCGTCCTCGGCCTCACTGGCTACCCAGCGTCTTTCCGAGTTTGGATGACCACGAATATGCACCTAATGGAATCCCGTCGTGCAGCATCTACAACTCTCGGTGACGAAGGGACAAGGTAGGAAGGCTCTTTATCTGATCGTGATATGCATGCCGAGATGAGCTGGAAGTGTAAGCGTTCCAGGAAACTTTCGGTAGACCGGCCCCCAACGGTATGACAGTATAACTACGCTAGGCTGCTTTGGGTAATCAATCTCTCATTGGTCTGAGGTCCATGTCATCGAGGCCTCACGCAACATACGCCGCCTTTTGGGCGTCATGATGCCAGATTCTATACGTTGATATTGGTGTGCTTCTTTTTTTCCTGCTCACTTATACCGGAGATTAGAGAAGTAGGGCTCCGAGTGATGGCGGTGGCCGCTAACGCCGAGTAAACCAGGGAACGCACCTGGCCATGTTCAAATGATAGGGACATAAAAGGTTGCAATATACCTTCATAACAAGCGACCTTGAACCTTCTCTCAATACACGCACGACTACAATCAAGATCAACGAGACCCCCTATCATCCAAGCATTCCCTCGCAGTCATGAGCTTCCCCGAATTCATTAGAGCCCAGCTCCGGAACCTCCCCATCGTGCCGGACAGAGAGACCTGCACAGGGGGCACGTACATCGTCACGGGCTCGAACACCGGCATCGGCTTCGAGACCGCGAAGCACCTCGTCGCCCTGGGCGCATCCCGTGTCATCATCGCCGTGAGGTCCGTGGAAAAGGGTGAGGCCGCTAAGGCCCGGATTGAGGCCACCACTGGCATCACGGGGGTCGCCGAGGTATGGCATCTCGACATGGCTTCTATCGGCTCCATCAAGGCCTTCTCAGCGAGAGCCGCGTCCGAGTTGGGCGTCATCGACGCCCTCGTCGCGAACTCGACGGCTGCGCTCGATACCTGGACCGTCTCCGAGGGTATGGAGACCTCCGTCATGGTCAACGTCGTGGGCACCCTTCTGCTCGTCCTGCTGCTCCTACCCAAGATGAGAGAGAGCGCCGGGGCGACGAAGACGGCGCCTCACGTCGTAGTCGTCACTTCCGGTCTCGGGTTCTCCGAGCGAGAGGTGCTGAAGCTTGTGGAGGACGACGTCTTTGAAGCGCTGAACGAGGAGGGAAAGTCACACATACACAAACGGTAAGCAAACCACCCGTCGGAGACATGGAATAAAACAAAAAGATAACTTTACGAGCCGCCGCGACCAACAAGATCTATAGGTACGCCGTGACGAAGCTCCTTCAAATCTTTGCCGTTCGTCAGCTGGCCACGCAGCTCCCCGCTTCCCAATCAGGGGTCGTCATCAACCTCGTCAGCCCCGGGCTCTGCAACACCGGCCTGACGCGGTACGGGCGCACGTCGTTCCGCCTCTACTTTTACCTCTTCAACCTGGCGCTTGGGAGGACTCCCGAGATGGGGAGCAGGGCCATGCTGCACGCGCTCTCAGCCGGCGTCGACAGCCACGGTCGGTACCTTTCTGACTGCGAGATCAAAGAGTTTGAGCATCCCGTACCAGAAACGAGCTCCGAAAACCACTGCTGACTGTTTCCGCAGCCACTGGGTGCCGGGCTGGGTCAAGGACTCCAGCGGACAGAGGTACCAGGGACGGATCTGGGACCAACTGGTTGCGAGGCTGGACAAGATCGAACCCGGTTTGACTCGCAGGGCTCTCAGCAGGGGCGATGTCTTGGGTGTCTGATGGCTTTTCTATTCCTCGAGCTTTCTTAAAAGTTCTATTCTATAGCGTCTAGTCGGTATCTTTGAGCCCTGTCCCATACCCGCTCACCCTGCCCGTCGTGAACGGAGCCTATCCAGGGATACTCCATCAATCTCTTACATATCTCTTCCCAACTCCCCAGATCCGTCGACCCAGACACACGAGCTAGAGCAGGCAAAAGCCAGACGTCGTCTTCCTTTTCGAACACGGAGATGGATCCTACCATCAATAACCACATTATGGTGGATCGCAAGTACGGGTGATGGTATCCGTAAAGAAGCCCATGGAGGGACGTTTTCAGTTGGCAGGATAGCTTTGCGTACACCAGATGTCGCTGACGACCCAACTGCAGTAACAGAGATGAGTAAAAGCACATTACCCCCAGGAGGCAGGCATCCTGCGTGGCATCTGGACCTCGGGACCCGTGATCTCGAACCCGCAATAGGCGGTATCCGAGAGACAAGATAGTCGCTGAGAACTCGTGGGCTGTCAGCTTCCACTTGTTCCCGCAGCTGGATAACACAATACTGATATCGTCGAGCTCATGCACCATGTGCCGTGTTGAAGGTTCTGCGGTACAGAAGATAGCTGCCAAAGGCCTTTGCAAGCTCGCCCCTGCCTGGGAGATATGTTGCACGATGCGCTGCGGCATGGAATCGTAACCGTACAGCGGCGGAGTCTCTGCGTGGAGAGCGTACTGGATATCAGCCCTGGCGATATAGTCAAGTTCGGCTCCGAGACCTTGGTTTGATTACTCGAAATTTATAGGGCAAGGCTCACCGGAATATCTTGTGCACGACGTCGTCCTTTTCTTCCAAGACGTGTATGCCGCCTCGCAGCTCGACCATGCGCGTGAGGCCGAGGAGATGAGTCCTGTACCTCTCGAGGTCCCCTCTTATCGACTCCTGACAGACGAGCATGCACACCAATGCGATCGTCTGGTCCGATGTGCTCTCCGGGCCTGAGAGCCTCTGGTTGACGAGGGCAAAGGCCTGCGTCATGTGGGCGATGGCCGCGGGTGATTCGCGCTCCTTGTACTCGAAGAAGTCGAGCCATGCCGCCGTCACTGAGAGGGAGACGTGGAAGACTTTTGAATAGTGAGCCATCGAATTTAATGGTATGAGACTTTTTAGATCTTTTGTTTTTCGGCTTGAAGCACTCACAGGCTTTGTCTGTAAGGAGTTGGTCGAACCACGCAGACTTGACGGGGTCTTGCGGATGGCAGAACTCGGAAGGGTACAAGGCTTCGCCAACGGCACAGAAATCTGTAGAAAAAGAGTGTCAGACGAAAAACCCTACCCAAGACCTTGTCGGCAATTGTTTAAATGGGATGCTTGCGCTGGTGAAGTAGCAGCCGAGTATGGGGCGGTAACTCGGCGCCAGGAGAGTACGTCGACAGGTCGTTCCCGACCATGCGGCGGAACGTGGTAACAATGTCCCCGGGCGGCGGCGGAGCGGGCCCATCTGGGGTCTCTTGCTTCCTCCTCGTCTGGCCCCGGGAGACGTGCCTCTTTCCAGAGTTCTTCCCCTTCATGACGTGGCTACGAATGACCTTGCGGTTGTTGGGGCGGCCAGGGCCGTGATTGACGAAACGAAACTCCATTTTTGAGGGCACCGGACCGATGCATGCGTGTATTCGCCCAGAGGCGGTCTCACGATTGTTTCTGGCCGTGCGAGAAGGGCCTCGTAAGAGAGATCATGACATGTTCCGTATTTCAAGGAAAACGGTCTGGTGATGAAGAGTGAAGGTAAAGCTGACGTTGCGTTGCGCGGAGGAGCCACAAGACGGTAGTAGTAATAGTTGTCACCCGGAGATAACGGGAGTAACGTCATACAGTCTTGGTTGTCACGCTGGCCTGTAATACATTATCGACTTTCCTATTTGCGGCCGTTAAAGTGCTGCGGGCAGAATGACCTCGGCCCCAGTAGTGATTAACAGATAGTTATTGGCGGCTAATACGAGACCAACACACAATGCGGGGGGAAAGTTGCGGAACTGGGCCACGAATCGAATCTTCTTCCAATTCACGTTATCTCAGACTATTCGTCTGATTAGGCTCATTAAAAAGATAGAGAATATATACTAAAACTATCAAAAGCTATATATAAGTTGCATCCATTTTAGTTAAGATCGAGATTTATAATAAATAGTCGAAAACTACTCTTTAAGGTGCGATAAAAAAGTATGTGACTCGCTATGATGGGCGACTCGCTAGGCATGTACGTTAGATAAAAAGTATCAAATACTTTTAGGCTTTTACTTATTATTGCGTTTTTAGGCCTTTCATCTACTAAACAGTCTAGGGGCCATCTTTTATTATTTAGAAAGTTACTAGTGTTGGGATATCAACTAGTAGAGGGTAGAGCTAGTCTAAGGTCACCTGCTCCTGCATATGACCCCCTTGGTAGCTTACTCACACTACAGATGTCTATAGGAGCAGTCACTTTTTCCTTTTTATTATCATCAGCAACTTCGATACTAATAGTCAATATACCCTATTGCTGCTACCTGATCGATCTACCTGTTACACCAACAGAAGTCTCTGTCTTTCCCGTAATTCGTCCCAAAGACACGTCGACTTCACTGGTTACCTAACGTCTTTCCGAGTTCCTCACCGCGAGACGTTGCAGCCTTGACGGCCTTATCGACGATGTCCTTGAATCCAGAAGCCTCGAAGCTCTGGAGTGCCGCGTACGTCGTGCCGTTGGGGCTGGTGACGTTCTTGCGTAGCTGGCTGGGATCTTCCGACGACTCGACGAGCATTTTGCCGGCACCCAGACAGGTCTGAGTGGCCAGGCGCTTAGCCTGCTCTGGCGACAAACCGAGGCTGACGGCGCTGGAGATCAGGTGCTCAACCATGGCGAAGAAATACGCGGGACCGGAACCTGCAAACCGATTAGCACTACCTCCCTTCGCTGCGATGCACGTCGTGGATGCAACTCACCCGACAAGCCGGTGACGACATCAATCAGCTCCTCCTTTTCGACCCACTCGGTCGCCTTGCTGACGCTCGCCATGAGAGACTCGGTCAACTCTTTCTCTTCCTTGGTGACATCGCTGCCCGCGAACAGACCCGAGGCGCCCTCGCCCACGAGGGCGGGGGTGTTGGGCATGACGCGCACGACGTGGGGCGTTCGGCCATCGTCGAGCGTCAGCCACTTCTGCAAGGCCTCGAGGGTGATGCCGGCGGCGATGGAGACGACGACGGGGGTCTTGTCGTGTCCCGAGACGGCCTTGGCAAGCTCGTTGCAGACGCCCTTGGCGACTTGAGGCTTGACGGCCAGGATGGCGATGTCGGCGCCGACGAATGCTTCGGCGTTGGAGGTCGTCGTCTTGACGCCGAGGGCGGCCATCTTCTCGCGGTTCACCTCCCACGGCTCCGAGACGGTGACGTGCTGCTTGTCAATGCCCTTGGCCACCAGGCCTCCGATGATGGCTGCGGCCATGTTGCCACCACCTAGTTTACCCCGCGTTAGCTCACCCCAGTCTTGGGGGCATAACATCACGGAACCTTGAACATACCGATGAAGGCGATCTTGCTAGATTCAAGAGTAGGCGCCATTTTTGAATGATTTGAGTTGAGACAATTTAGATCGGCGAGATCCAGTACTACTGTGAGGACCTCCGGGGTGATGACTACGCCGTACTCGGAAGAGTTTGACTCAGCTCGGAAACAATGGCGCCGTGATCGGACCCACCTTTTCACCCGAAGCGCGGAGCTTAAATACAGAACCACGCAAGAAAACTGTTTGTGGCACCCTCACTGCACTCTGTGATTGCACAGCGTCCATATCTATCATGATTATGAAAGTCGTGGTCTTTCAACCTTCATCCGAACTCTATTAGCACGAAACTCGTACATAGTAATGAAGGCTGTTATTACGCAAGACCCTTGGTTTGGAAGTCATACGTAGCTTCAACAATACTCCACTGAAAATTAGAAGAGATCCGCAAGGGCTTCACAAAAAGTGATGAACTTGTTGTCAACATGTCAGAACTAGCGACCGTATCCAACATGTCTGGATAGTGTGAGCTGCAGACACATAAGGAACCACTTCTCCGCCCATGCCGACGGGCTGTTGATCGCATATGAGCTGCTCCAGCGCAGTCACTAAATATTGAAAGTTTATACTCTCATTGACTAGCTGATAGGGCCGAGAAAATCACCAGGCCTTGCGGGACTAGGGACAGGTGCTTGACCGTGACGTGCAGCGAAACTGCAACAAACAGGTTCTTATCAAATTATCTATTAATATGGAATTACTTGGTTGAATTAATGATACCGTGACAACCGATGACCCCTTTCGCCAACTAGACATGGAGAGTGCCATATCCAGTCTCGCCACCACCGACGACATCGACAGAGATGGGTGCCTCATACGGTGCACCGGAGCTGCTGAACTCTCCCGCGAGGGTGGTAAACGGCGTCTCCTTCCAGGTCTGCTGAATTTTGCGCGCGCTCTCCAAAAATCTCTTCTTGACATCTGAGTAACCGGGAACTACGAGCTTGCGATCCTTCTTGACAAATTTGCCGTCAACGAGGACATGCTCAACATCGCCGACGCTGGCGTGAAGGATCACGGCGGCCACAGGATCGACCCAGCCGAGTAGGGCAGGGCTCTCACCGTCCCAAACGATGACGTCAGCCTTGGCGCCCTCGGCGATGATGCCTATGTCAGAGCGGCGCAGGGCGAGGCCACCCTTTCGGGTAGCCAGGAGGAAGGCCTGGTTGACAGTCATGGGCGTGGTGGTGGGAATGCGCCACCGGGCGAGTACCTGCTGATAGAGCAGTCTTCTAGTGCTCTGCAGCCAGATGCGGGCTTGCGTGAGCACGTCGGATGAGTAGGTGAAGTGGGTGTCAATTCCCAAAGCACCCTGATCTTGAATGAGATGGCTGTGCGGGTGGGTATGACCGTAGTGCATTTCCGATTCGGGTGTGATTGAGATATACTGATTGGTAGAACGGAGAAGGGCAGCGCCCCGGTAGGTCAGGTATGAGGCATGGGAAAACACGACGGGTATGCTGGTGTTGAGAGCGCCGATGGCATGAAGATCCTCGGGGCTGTTGGTGACTGCGTGCTTGTCAACTTGGATGCACGAAAGATGGGAACCATTGGTGGTGACTTACTACCCCAAGGCCCCTGAAGGCTGTGAGTGGTAATGACGGAGACGTTGAACTCCTTGGCGAGATCGACTACAGCGTTTACATCAGCAAGGATAGGGTCGGGGCCGAAGAAGTCGCAGGCAACGCCGAGGCTGGTAGCAGTGCCGTCGAACTCGGCCTTTGTGGCGATGTCCCTGAAGTTCTCAAGCTGCTCTGAGACGGTGTAGTTGGTGACGTCGTGGAAGGCGTACGACCAGAACACTCTCGCGCCGCTGTCTATGCTTGCCTTCAAACCCGCCTCAGCGGTCTCATTAGACCAGGTGTGATGGGCATGGTCCAGAATCGTGGTGACGCCGGCATTCAGCGCCTCGTACAAGCCCGCGAGCTGGCCGATGTAGACATCGTCAGCATTCAGAAGACCGGCGGCGGCATACTCGCCGTAGCGGGTGAAGTACTCGGCCAGCGACGTGTTTGAACCAATGGTCTTGAAGGCCGTCTGCCAGCCATGACGATGTGTGTCAATGAAACCGGGGGTAATGATCTTGTTCGTCGCGTCGACGACTTGGGTGTTGTTGGAGGTTTTGGGCAGCGACTGGTCTGCGGTATAGACGGACGTGATGCGGTCGTCCGTAATGAGGAGCGAGCCGTTGCGGATGACATTGAGGGAGTTGCTCCCCTCGTCTAAGCCGATAATAGTGCCGCCCCGGAGGAGGACCGAGGACGCGTTCGCCAGGCTGGCGGTGGCCGTGAGTGCCGCAGCTAATGTGAAAGCGTGCATGGCGGATGTATGCATAGGTTGATGGGCTGTCCCTTGGCTCTTGTTCTTACACCGCTGTTGAGTACAGCTCTGTGCAGAGGCAAGTTGATCTTCTTCGAGCTGGCTTATGTACCTTTCGAGGAACCGACTCGAGCCGCATCCCGTCCAGCTAACGCCAAAAGAAAAAAAGAAAAAGAAAAGAAAAGAAAACCCTTCATCGGCTGACAAAAGGACCTACAATCAAAACCTGGACACAGTCTGGCTCGGCGTTCTGGGAGGTGGGATGTGTGGATACCAGAGGATGCTAACTATCGACTTGAGCATTGCTCACGTCACCGAATATGCACTAATGGATATGTGCTCTTGGTCCCACTCTAGCCTAATTGATTGAATCCCCGAAGGAGCGCTGATTATGTCGTCATAAGGACGTGGAAAGGAATCGCTGGCTCACTCCGTGGAGCTCCATGGCGGACCGGTGGGTTTGTCATGTTTTTCTCAAGGTTGCGGCTACGAGATGAGAGTGGCAGGTAGACCGCCAGTCTCCAGTCACTGGTTGTAGCTCCGCATCGGGTGTTTTCGACTGTCTACATAGGCTGCCCTGCGATTCACCTCCTCGTGGTAGCGATGGTACACCATTGTTCTCCCGAAGGGATAGGGAACGCGGAAACCAATACGTAAATGGAACGATGTAGAATGAGATCTCCGCTCTTCGGCACTTCGCGGGACCCACTCGGTATCCCGACGATCCTAGCTCTTGCTAGTTAGTGAGTTGCATAGGTACTCTACAGTCTACTGCTGGGGCAAGGGTTCTTGTGTTGCTTCCTGTATTGTCCCATAAGCCGATGTACTAGAGACCTTGCCTTGGTACAACGACTAGCAAAAGTTCCGTCTGTTCTTTATTTGCATCGTATATAAAGCTTTTGTCTTATCTATACTGATACTTAGTGTAGTAACGTTTCACTTGAATACCTGCCCATCGGTATAGTACTCGTAACTTGGGAATTTAAACACTATTTTCATAGGCCTTTTGTAAACTTATAGTGTGAGGTAGGAGTAACTCGGTCGAATTTTGGCATCCCCACTGTACGTTTACATGGGCTGTTATTCCACCTCAGCCAGTGTTAGTGATTGTTAGGTACCACCTGACACGAACCCTCAAGTCATATGATCCAGGTGGTATTACTGGTTGTGTATACTGTTGTATGTAAGTGGCTTCTTCCGCCAGTACGCGGATTTAGCTTCACCTCACCATCTTCGTTCTGCCCCTATCAAGGACCGCAGGAGAGTTTACAGTAGAGAATTCCATCATGCAATTAGCTAACGCTAGGTAATCTGAAGCCGCGGATTTACAGAATTATAGATTTGCACGCATAGCTGTACACCTGTTAAATGTGGCGAAAGTATACGTGAATTTACCAGCAAATGCACAGTTGTTAAATAATAGGGATTGTAATAGTTAATTAATTATGTTATGTATATATATAACTGTAGTAAAATCCTATAGGAACAGGGAAATCCCCCTATTCCTTAGTTAGAAAATCACAGGCTAATCCTAGTAATATTATTAGTAAAATCACTATTAAAGTAAGGTAATTTTACTACTTATTCTCTAGTAATTTACTATAAGGTAACTATAAATTAACTAGTAAATTTATATAATATAGTTAATAAGTAAGTATTATAGATAAGTAAGTGTTATATATAATAGCACCCTTAGTATATTATATAAGATATATTAGTAATAAAATAATTAAATTAATTAAAACTACTTAGATTTCTTCTCTCTAGATATTTCTTTATTAGACTAATATATTTATATATTATAACCTATATTCCTATAGACACTATATTACTATTAGCCTGTCTTAGTTCTTAGTTAATAACTACTACTTTAATATGTTTTGTCTTTAATTTAAGCTATAGCCTCTCTTTATAATTAAAGGTCCTCTCCTTTAGCTATAGTAAGACTTTTTCCTTATTATAAATAGGTTTTTTTAGCTCTCTAGCACTAGCTAAGTAGGTTATTTTCCTATTAAAGAATCTAAACCTTAGATGTTAATAAAGTAATTTTATATATAAATATATATAATATAGTTAATAAGTAAGTATTATAGATAAGTAAGTGTTATATACTATTATAAACCTACTACTTATATTATTATAAAGTATTCTCTTTTTACTATACTAATATTTATATAAAGTAAAAAGCTTAATTAAAGTTAGCTATCTAGAGTATAAAATAAAACCTAAAACTTAGCACTTAGGCTATAAGGAAGATCTACTTAGTCTGCTTTAAGACACTAAGCTAATAATTAAAAGGTATACTATTATAACATAATAGTATACCTATCTTAAAGATATTAACTACACTTAAAAAAAAGAAGCTAGTTAAGTATATTCTTAACCTAGACTTCTAATTATTTTCTCTTTAGATTAGTAGTATAGAAAATATAGCTAATTAACTACTTACTAACTATAATATACCTCTTATTAGGAAGCACTAAGGCTTAACCTTTATAAAGTAGTAACTATAGCTTTAGGTGTATTTTTTTTAAAAGTATAACTATAAAAAGGCTTAATATAAAAATCTTAATATAATAAATATATAGTTTTTTCTATAGTAAATATAATTATAAAATATAGTATTATAAAGCTAAATATTTATAGCTTTAATAAGACTAGGTTTATAATAAGCTAGATTATAGCTAGAATAGTTATTATAAGACCTAAAAGGTATTTAAATATAATAATAATATAGCCTAGTAATTATAAATAAATTATAGTTATTTAGGCTATTAGTTTATTAGGCTATAGTATTTTACTATATATTATTATTATAAGCTAATATTACTTTTTTCTTATTAATAAATATAAAAGTTATTACTTTATAGATTTTAAACTACTTTATAAAGAAAATAATATTATTACTTTTTATATACTACCTTATTTATCTTATTTACTTTAGCCCTTAAATATTAAATATTTTAGGCCCTTAAAGATAATATATAGTTAAGGAATTAAAAAGAAAATATATAAAGGTAATACCTATATTACTAAGGAGGACTTTTTTCTTATATTTTATAAGGCTTTTATAAAAGTAATTATTAAAAAGAATATTAAAAGAGGTTTTAAAGGGGCTAGTCTTATCTCTTTAAGTTTAAAAATATACTTTCTAAGCTTAATATAAAGCTATATATATTAATACCTTTAGGATCTCTCCTAATAACGCCCCCTCTATAGACTTCTTAGACACTAAATAACCTAATAAAAGCACTTTTTTATTCTAAACTTATTAAATAAAGAGTCTTTTACTATTATAGTAGCTTACTAACCTTAATTATTAAAGCAGTAAAGTATCTTTTAAAGAGGATATATATATTTATATATAAAATTACCTTATTAAAGTCTAAGGTTTAGATCTTTTAGGAAAAAAATAACCTACTTAGCTAGTACTAAAGAGCTAAAGAAACCTACTTATAATAAGAAAAAAGTCTTACTATAGCTAAAGGAGAGGACCTTTATTTATAAAAAGAGGCTATAGCTTAGATTAAGAATAAAATATATTAAAGTAGTAGTTATTTACTAGGGACTAAGGTAGGCTAATAGTAATATAGCGTCTATAGAAATACTAGTTATAATATATAAATATATTTATTTAATAAAGAAATATTTAGAGAGAAGGATTCTAAGTAGTTTTAATTAATTTAATTATTTTATTATTAATATTTACTATATAATATATTAGGGGTTTTATTATATATTTTACTTACTTATTTATTTTACTTACTTATTAACTATTTTATACTAAAGGTACTATTATATATAATACTTACTTATTTATAATACTTACTTATTAACTATATTAGCTTTTTTAATAAATACTTTAATACTTTAATTATTAAGGTTAGTAAGCTACTTTAATAGTAAAAGATTTTTTTTTAATAAGTTTAGACTAAAAAAGTGCTTTTATTAGGTTATTTAGTATTTAAGAAGTCTATAGAGGGGGTATTATTAGAAGAGATCTTAGAGGTATTAAAGTATATAGCTTTATATTAAGCTTAAAAAGTATATTTTCTAAACTTAAAAAAATAAAGCTAGCCCCTTATTATAATCTAACTAGTTAGGTGCTAGCTAATATAACTATATAGTATAAAATAAAAGATAATAATATAAGTATATTATTACTAAAGCTTTTACTTTATACTAAAGTTAGTTACCTTAACCTACTTATAACACTTTTAACCCTAAAGTAGTTATTTCTTACCTAGACTTTAAGCTAAATATACTAATACCTCTTAGTTTATATCTAACTAGCTTAGGCTTATAAGACCTAAAGATACTAACTATAGCACTAAAGGGTATATAACGTACTAGTTTACTTAAGAAGAAGATCGGAGGTTATTAAGAAAGCTTACTAACACTAATATATAAGGTAATTAAACTTTAAGCTAAAGGTATTAGTAAGTTAGTATATAGGCTTACTTTTATTAAGGCTAAGAACCTTAGACTTTATATAAGGGTAGATATACTAAGTAAGTAGTAGAGGGTAAAAAAGACCTAACTATCTCTTAGAGGGTTACTTAATATAACTAAAGTAAAGGCGCTATAAGAAGAAGAAAAAGATATTAAAGCTAGAGGTAGGAAAATATCCTAGAAGGAGGGTTATAAAGAGGGTAGTAAGCTATATATATAATAATATAGTAATTATAAAAAGACTAGATATAATATATAAACCTATAAGGTAGTTTAGAATAGTAATAAAAAAGATAGTAATAAGTAGTATTAATTAATTTTATATGTTATAGCTTAATTAAGTTATAGAAAAGGTAAGAGAGTAAAGAAAAGGTAGTAACTTACTATAAGTAGTAATATACTATATAGGTATATTAGCTTTAGTAAAATCTATTTTATAAGATTACTTAGTAGCTACCTTAAAGTCTTTATAATAATATATAATCTTTTATAATAATAGAATTTAATAAAAATATATTATACTACTTTAGTAGTAACTAGTAATAAGG